TAGTTTTGTTTGTTTGGATCTAGGCTATATCGAGGCAATACGCACAGTATGCACATATGCTAATTAGAGACCGACCAGTTGCAGTTCTAAAAACATAAATGGGAAGATCCAAACAAACAATACTAAGTAAATTTTGATTTATAGGTTGCTTTCATCATAGATTGATATCGGCTTGAACCAGATTGCCAAGCGAAACGTTGAATTTACATCAAATTCATTCGTTGAGATTTTACAAATATATTTTTCTCCCTGTTTAATGTCTTAAATCAACTCGGCGCCCAAATACTGTGAAACTATTCGCTCTAATTTAAACAAAAGTTCTTATATAAGTTATGAATAATCAATTGACTCTATGGACATGTTTAGAATCAAACTCAAAACATGAAGGTTTCTTAAAATGTGTGTAAACTTTAGATTATTAAATCAAATTTAATGAAGTATGAACTTATTACTATTCTTTATCTGTAGATTTTTGTTATATAAAAAGAAACTTTCATAGTTTGAATCACGAACTGATCCCAGTTAGAGAACCATCAAAAAACCTGGATGCAATGAATATCTGTTTTATCTTCATACGAGACTCCTGAATGGTGCACATCCATGATCATGTCCCAAGAACTCAAACTCAGGATTTTTTGTATGGTGCACAAAAACAACGTTCACACCTGGAGTCTAACAGTATGCATATGTAACATCAGTAAATTCACGATATTATGTGATAATCTTCAATTCCTTTGAGGTTAATAACTGTTTCATACTCAAACGATTGATTCTAATGGGCACACCTCACTAGAACTCTACTTACACCGACGGATCTAGGCTCAGTAGTCTGCATGTAAGGCGTACGCACGCGAGATCGAAGGTGTTGAGCCCGATTACTTGTGTCAGGGTTGTGGATGCTCATTGTTGAAATGTTGGGCACTAAGACAAAACAGCTGTTCAGTGCATTTTAGTTTAGTCCATGAATTGAACAATGTAAATTCTACAATCTCCTAACAAGCCCTAGTAAAAAGAAGTTGAGGGATATTAGATAGTTATGTCCCAAACGAAATAACAATTTAACATAAACATTATTACAGGGTGTTGCGGAGATTTCCGAACCCGTAGTTTTGTGATAAAAAGATTTATATTGTATAAATGATCATTGGAAACTAAGAAGCATTGTACATATATTTCGAACCAAGGGTTCAATCTCTGTTATAATCATTGATATGCAACGTTGCGTCTCACATATTAGAATGAAATAACCATCAATTACTTGCTGGTTCTCGATGGTTTTCTAAACAAAATCAATCTGTAATGTGAAACTTTAGTATCAATATTATTGGTATAACAATGATAACAAAAACGGATATTTTGCAAGCCCCATTTAATTATACTCGGTGATCGAAAAAGTATGGTTTCATATGTGTGAAATCCACATTCATTTACACAAATTCAAAAATGGATAATGAAGTTTTCTGTAGATTATATGCATTAGGCAATGGATCCAGAAGAAGTAAAAATCTCAATCATATCAACAAATAAGTAATGTATACTGAATAGAATTAGGAAATTCCTCTTTTGGTACTATAAATAATGAAATATTATCTATTTCTCGAAACAAAATCATTCAATCATTGTAAATTACTCAACAATATGTTGTAACAAACAATTTCTTTCCTCTCGAAACATAAACATCATATATTACATAATAAATGAGAATTATTCTCGATCATATTGTTGTGAAACATGAATGAAATTTATTAGTTGAATTCATGAGTCAATTGAAGCTAGTATACCATAATAAACTTGGAAGCCCTGAATGACTGTTTCGTCCTAATATGGGACTCCTGGGCAGCTCGCATCTACGATACTGCCCGGTGGGATTCAAATCCAGGACCTATCAGTCTCGCACGTGCATGCTTAAACTCTAGGCCACTAAGTCGGCATCCAACGGTGTTAATGTCTAACTTCAACCACTTGACGGATGAAATTGATTAATGGTCACAAGTCACAAAACAGGTAGATAAATTATATTGTATTTTCAACAAACATTAACCTTGATAGTATATTCATTGACAAAGTCTAATGATTGTTAGAAAACCTAATTGGCGAATAAATAAAAGATTCCAAACCGAAATTTCTCATGTACAAATACTTAGTCAGTCAGCTACAACGTAGGAACAGGCACATATATGGATCGGTTCAAGTTGCCATATATATATATATATATATATATATATATATTTGTCAGACTAATCCCACTATGGTTATCACAGGATGATTTTGGCCCTTTCTTATATATTGGGACAATAAGTGATTATGACCTAGTCGCTAAAATTGGACCACCATATTTAAAGACCTCTGGAGTCAATCCATCTGGACCTTCTGCTGTTCCTTGTTTCAGATTAGTTATAGCCTTTTGAACTTCAGGTAGAGTCGGTGGACCTACTTCAATGTTCCATTCAGGTTTTCTGGGAATAGTGGGTAGTTGTGCCGTAACTGAAGGCCAGCTAAACTGGTCCTTGAAATGTTGCGCCCATCGTTCTAAACGTATGAGCTGAAAGCAGATAAGGGTTCCGTCTTTTTCCGAGATTGTCTCACACTTGACTTCTAAATTCCAGTTTCTTTTATTAGTCTGAAGAGTTGCCTGATGTTGCCTACAGCTGCTGCCTTTTCCATCTCTTTTACTTTCGTTGCCCACCACTGCTCACGATCGTTAGACTTTTAGTTAACCTGTATTACTTATAACAGATATATCAAAACAATTTTCAATAATATAATACAACTTTTAGAATTGAATTATGAATGAACGATGAACTCAACTAACAACACCGTCTACTTGAATACTTTCATGAAGTGATCAAGTATTATTCATCTGTAGAATGGACATATTCTATTTGATACATTGATTTCAGTCGGAAGATGTTTGATATTAAATAATGATATTCCTTTCATTCTCTGTCCAAATTCCATGTCCAATCTGAATATACAGTGTTGGATACCAGTTTTGAAAAACTTGACTGTTTTGCTAAAGAAGGTTATTCCAGTCTTCTAAGATTATATATAAATTTGTAGGCTAATTAACGCTGGATACAGACAGAATAAAATATTGTGACATTAAACCTTGTTGATCCTTCAAAGATCATAAACTGATCTAATTGAATATTAAAGCATATTAGAGAATACAAACAACTTGAATTAATTAGATAATGATGTACAGTAAGGAACGAAAAAAAACAAATCACGTTGATCAATATATTTTATAGCTAGTAGCTAATAAAGTAGATCATCAGTTATCTTTTTAATGTAAGTAGACAGTTTATGAATGTTGTAATAGTTGATGTATTTGAGACTTTTGTCAATCTCTATATGAAATATTTGATCAAACTCAATAAGAGAGTATAGACTTATGCAATCAGTTTCGAATAGTATCATTTATGTAATAACTAGTAATACTTAATTGAAGACTCAGTGAGTTCGAGTCTACAACACACATTTTCATAAAGTTAAGTTTCCAATCACTAGTTTGATAGTAATATAGCAATGTGTGTATCATATTATTATATACTAACAAAGAATAAATGAAGGGTAACTGCTAGGAATTATTTATGAACTATTATTGCATGTATTCTTGTTGGATAACCATTAAGTAACTAGATTACATTTATATTCTTTTCATTGCGAGCTTTTATTTGACCTACTGACCATTATCATACGATTTACTGATCTTGAGATATTCCCAATTTATTCGTTACAATATCTAACACTTAATTTTGGCCTGATCTAGTATGATTGTTACTTTCTATCTTTATAATACAATGCGGTCTGATTTGCATGTATATAAACTGCGTATGTCTGAATACATGATTCATACAGTAGAAGCTGAGACTATGTTCTGGACTCAAACGAACAGGGCTAGGCGAGAAGAACTAATAAACACTCAGAGTTGACTCTAGACTGCTCGTGCTGGTTAACGCGTCATTGGTTTGGTACAGTGCCAACGTCGCATAAGTCAATGTTCTGATTAGTGATTTCGTCATGTGATAATTAACAGGGTATAAGAAGATAACATACATCACAACTTACATTAAACAAACTTTTCACAATGTTATATAAACTAGATTATGCTATATGATCTCACAAGTAAGTTACATATAAAATTATTCATGACCTAAATGTGACAAACTCATTTAAGGTGTAAGGTTAACCATCTGTCAATTAGTGTTCAACAAAAGTGTGGTGTCAAACAATGCTCTATCCATTTACTGAGTGCATAATTCTCACTGGAAATATCATTTCAAACTTAAACTTTCATTTTAGTTGTGTTCTTCATCCGGTATGACCTACTACGTTGACAAGTTCACAAAAAACAGAGTTAGATGACTTCATATACTTGAAATGAAACCCCCAAAGAAAATTATACTTCTATAAAATATTCCCTCACTAAATGGACAGGAAAATAACCAAAAATGCTTGATATATCACATTTATCAAATCTCACAGCTTAAATTTAGCCTAAGTCTTGTTGATTGAAATACACAACAACTTGAACATGAGAGAAAAGGCGAAAAATATGAAAGAAGCACTTTACTCCAAAAGTTCATTTATGTACAGAAAATATAGGGTTTTAATGGTATTTTAGAAGTCCTTGGGTTTTCCCGAAAATTCTAGAATACTACTAAATATAGTAACAGTGTAGTAACCGGCCAATCAGAACCTCTACATGCGATATTTCTAGCAAAACCTCTAATCAAACGCTGATTGGATAAAATGTTTCTTAATGTATCTTGAGCTTGTCATGTCTATTGCGAGAAATTTTCAAGATTGCCCCAATATAGCCATTGTACATTCTTGTCGTAAAAAAATTATATTTCTTTTCAGATATAACTAATTCATTACTTTACACTACTATTAACCGATCATTGAATATATAACAATTAATTACACAGGGAACATCATATATACCTAACAATGATACACCCCCTCCCCCAATGGTAATATAAGAACAAGATGCTAAGGGAAAAAAAGTCTGTTATGAAATAATTAACAATATTCTTATAAATTTCGTTGTTATGTAATAGGCAAAAAACAATGATTACCATAGGGTAAAATATAGTATATATCTATGTATATATATATAAATTTAATTTTCCACACACACACACACACACACACAAATCTGAAAAAAAATTTAATTTTCAATACCAAAAAATCATTTTTATAAACAAGACAACGTCATCTCAGTACGGATAACTTTTTTTGACAATTTAAATACATGGAAAAGTACAGAACTGGTGTAACAGCAGTATAAGGGAAAAATAATAAAAAAAGAAGACTATTAATCTTTCATTACACATACATACAAAGGGTACATTTATATGTTTATGCATGTAGTGAAGGGGGGTGGGCACAAATCTAAATGAATTTATTTGAAAAGATAATTAATATAAGATTTAAAAATAGAAAAACATTTATCAATGTCAAGTAAATTATTTATTTTAGTTTAATAGAAAAATAATCTTGTTTATTTTTTTTACATCCACAGAGTAGTATACATTCCTATCGTAGTGGTAACATGAAGGATATACTCGAACAAATAGATATGTTTTTGTATGTTAAACAAGAAAAAGGCCAAGATGTAGTAATGAAGAAACAGAGAGAAGGAGAAAGTGAATGAAGGTAAAGACAAGAGTAAAATGTACATTTTACAGAAAAGAATTGAATGTACACAAAGCAGGTAAGCATACATCAGTACCGATAGTGCTGAAGCATTATTTAAGAAAAAGAAAAGAAAACAGAGAACAAACAAGAAATTAGACACTTACAGTAGGTAGTGGTTTAGGTGATGATTTTGGATCACCATCATATGATAATGCAAACATTCTTACTGGATAAAATGATGATGGAAAATTTGTTTGAGCACGTTCACCAATTAATTTTAAACCAGTATCCGTAAACGCACTTATATAAGCTGATCGTGGTCTTGTATAACTACTATCGATTTCATCAAAATTGATTTCTTCTGAATTCATGATTGATTTTTCATCGTGTCCACCAGGTGAAGTGATATTTTCTTTAATTACAATTACACCACCTGGAGAAAGTCCATGAGCACAACGTTTTAAAAAGCCCAACAAAGCTAAATCTGATAAATGACCTAACACCCATTGAATCCAAATTAGATCATAACGACCAGTTGGTGGAGTGAAGTCCTGAAATTTTGAAATGATAGAATTTTCATAAACGCAGGGATGTAATTCCAATAAATCAACACACATATATAGACACAGAGTTTAGAGAGGAAATTATCGGACAGTTAATTTTATTGTAATTAATGAAGGAAAATATTATCCAACAAGCTATTTACGAACATATTTCTCTAGATACATGTTTTGCATATGGAAGGTATTAGATCATAACCTTAAAAAAATACCTTTTTAAATAGCTATTGGATAAGAAACAGCATATCAACATGATTTGTGACTAACATATTTGACTTTTGCTAATCACATAGCAGTTTTCACAAAAATAAGTTAAGTTTTCATTTACTAGCAGAATCCTGGATCCATATTTCGTCTCCTTTTAAGTTTGTCAGTTGGATATACCGATATCCCAGTGTGGATATTCATATCAAAGTTCGAGTACAGTGTTTGTCAATTCAAACGCTAAAACATTAACCATTAAACTACTGAGTCCATATAGGCATCAACTTTTTTGACGGATATGATACTTATCTCATCAGTTAAAGAACCAATGTGAACATCAACACTGAAATATAGATATATACAGTTGATGAGTTTTAAATAAGGCAATATGTGTACACTTACAATTACACTGCTATCTATATCTATTCGTGAAAAAAATGTTTAAAAATGATTATATCGAAGCAAAGAGCAAAGGATAAGCATGTACTAACATAGACCAATCATAATTCACTCCTAAATATTAGTAACCGGATAATTTAAACGTTCGATTGTGACAAAAAATATGTTATTGATTTTAACAAACATAATTCTAAAAAAAAAGTTATATGTACACCGTTTAGATAATGAGGAATATTTGTACAATAAAAAGGTGGTATTTTTAGGAGTTTACCAGATATTCTGATTAAAATGGGAAACAATTTATATATTACCATGTCCTTACAGACATACACATTGTTTTAATCAAAAATTATAAAATACTTACTTGTAAACCAATACAAAAGCGTTCACCAACTCTAGGAAAATCTTCAGGTCCAATATATTCTTCTGCTTGATTAAGAAATGATTGTGTTAATTCAACCATATCGACAATAGAGAAACGTGGTAATAATAATTGTTTAGTAACACGTCCAATACCTGCACCACAATCTAATGCATACGCTGTAGTAGATGGTCCAAATTCATCGAGAAATATTTCAGAATCTGTAATATCTGGGACATTTAACGAAGTATAACCTGATAACATTCCATCAACTGTAGCTGGAACTTGACTCCAATAAATTTTTGCCTTTGAATAAAATGTAACTGGTGTTCCAACAGGCGGTTGAGAGATAGACATATGTCGACGTATTAACTGTAAGTCTAATGGAGTACCAACAACAGTTTTTGAACGAAAACCATCATGTTTATTACTGGTGTTCTGAATGTGTTTTTTAATTACACCACTATGTGGAGCTTTTGCTACTGGAGAGGTTGCCTTGTACAGAGTTGAAGAAGAGTGAAAAAAATGATGAAAATACACTTAATGTTTTCTATACGTAGACCAAAATTTAACATAAAATGTATATCCATCACAAATTATACGTGGTGTGTGGTTATTTGACAGGTGATACATAGTTGGTCAAACTGAAGTATTTAAATGCGCTTAGAGATGCAATTTAGTATGATAGCTGGTGGGTCGCCATGTAGCACAATTTGATCGATCAACATGACAAAACTCAATAAATACATAAAATAACAAAAAATGAACTAATGGGTGGGACAGAACGAACTGTCGCGTTTATAACTTACAGAAAAATTATGAATAAATACAGCTGCACTACTGTGACCGTTTATGTGAACAATATGTCACCTAAACTCTTCTGCTATATAGGAAGAGGAAATTTAACCAAAAATTCAAAAAGCGATGATAAATCTTTCCAAATTAGCCAAGTCTAGCCTTTGAATCCTTGATCTAAATAAATATACTTACATATACACGCATAATGACAAAATCAGTAATCAATTGAGCAACAACCATCATACACAGATTTTCTCAGACAAAATAAAAACAACAAAAACGTTCTACATGGAGCTTTATAACAAAGTGCTGAATATTGTTGGGATCACGAGTCAACCAAAGTTAGACAACTATCAAAAATGTGACAGCACAAGACAAATGCTTTGTCCTAGCATGGAGCACCTCAGCAATGAGGATTCATAACCCCATCACCAAAGACTGAACTCAAAATCCCCTGTCTCATACTTGAATGTTTAACCATTAGATATCTGTCTCAGAGATCTAGAGGTTAAGCACTAATGTGTGAGAAAATCCTCAGTGATAGAATAGTGGACATGCACTACTGAGGAACTCCATCCTTTAAACGAAACAAATGTCCAGTACTATCAGATTTTTGATGGTTATTTTTTTAAAAAGAAATACATACATCGAATGAGGAAAAACTAAATGCTATCATCAGAAAAGAAACAGATTTATTGATAATTAACATTAAACAACAACAACAATAGATAACAAACTGTAAGAAATTTTACAAATGTTTCATAAGTTTTTTTCTCGGTAACTGTTATCAAGTTGCAAGAGATAAAACAAATGTTTCATATTGACAAAGTAATATTGTATACAGATGAAAAAATTATAAGATTTGAGCATGTATTAAGCACGTCTTTGAGTAAATGAAGGACTAGTACCTGTATAAGTTTGAAGAAGATAAAGAAATATAGTTTCAACAAATAACATCGTATAATAATAATAAAACTAATAATGAATACATCAAATAATAGTTGAATTTATGAGTCTATTTAGGCTAGACCACCACGGAAAACCTGGAAGCACTGGATGGCCGTTTCGTCTTAGTATAGGGCATATTGATTACAAACATTTGATCAAATAAATTAAACAAATCGACCATTTTTCAAAATAGAAATCATGAGTCAGTTGAAGCTAGATCACTATGGAAAACCTGGAAGCACTGGACGGCCGTTTCGTCCTACTATGGGACTCCTCAGCAATGCGCATCCACGATCCCACACTCGCGAGACTCGAACCCAGGACCTACCAGTCTCGAGTCAGAGCACTTAACCGATAGACCACTGACCCGGCATCCAACGGTGTTAATGTCTAACTTCAAATCGACCGTTAGTAAACAGATAGTTTATATAGTAATAGTTATTACTATTATTTTTATTATTAGAGTTCATAAACAACCTGAAATACATGTACATCAGCTCAAGCTGTTACATCACATCACTACACTCAGAAGAGGTTATCAACATCAATACCAATTAAGCAGTTGTTTTAAGAATATTATCAGTGGCGGTAAACAAGATTAATACTTGGAACAAAAAGAGGGAAGAATTCCAAAAATGAAAATCAAAGTGAAAACAAAAAGCAAATTAATTCATTTGGTCGATTTGAAACCATATCCTTCAATGACTCAAACAATTATTTGAGATGATCACACGGACTCCAACTATTTAGTCCGCACTTATCAGCATGGGTTAAATCAACAATCAATGACTTTATGGGTTGATCGTAGGAAGATTTCTTTCAAAATTATCCAACATTGCGTTTCGATGTAAGTAAATATAACACTTATCCCAAGCGCTTCAGTCGAAGAAGACGCGCGAACCTCATTAACCGATTTCATATCCTTAAACAGTAGCCTTTAGTAACAAAGTAGTATGTGTGCCAACGGCAACTAACTTTGAATTATATCACCTAAAATCTCTCACAAGTGAGTATAGATATCATGTGGATTAAAACATATCTATCTGCACAGCACGAAATGCCTCAGTTCCACAGTTGAGTCGAATAATTTGACGTTGAATCTAAAGACTTTAAATCACATTAAACACATGAATAAAAATATGCATTTTTAACCTAACGTAATTTGAAACTATTATATTTGTAAAATATGTATCCTTCATGCATATATATATATATATATATATATATATATATATATATAAACAGAGAAGTCAGTCAATTAGTCAACGATAAGCAAAATAGATGATAGTGACAAATATTAAACAATGAGTATGGTTCGATAAGGCGTAATGGAATGGTATGAATGAATACTGGAACTCCAAATATTGAGAATGATAAAGAATGAATGCATCTGAGGACCATTGTGGCAGATTCTGAGTAGTGTCACCCTTTTCATTCAACAACTAACTGATTGCAGTTATTCCCTCTCAAAAGGGAAACAATCTCAAAAATAGGAGCTCAGTGTTAGACGTTTTCTATCTGACAGTCATAAAGAAAGGAGAATCTTGAACACCTATGAAAAACCTTTAATCATATTATTAGGGTCTACAAAATGTTCTTTTCTATGTGTTGACTGACAGATTTAAAAAGAATAAAAACCTAACAACAGAACAATATTGACTAACTTGAGCATTTATTATTTTTCATGCTAAGAGTAACCTCAATCTGACCTTGAAAAATACTTTTATTTACCATCTAATAGATGATGGAAAATACTTTTTGTTTGTGAGAACAACAATGAAACAAGTCTAGGAGTCACATGATATTGAATTAGTTTATTTTAAAGCATGAAGGTAATCAGTATACTGTACAAATAGAAACTAAATAATTATAATTAATACATCACGGATTAATCTTAGTGCAACAACCATTCAAAAGCAGAAAGCAATGGACAACTATTATGTCCTCCTTAAACCTCCTACAATACTAAATTATAATTTATAATCTAAGTGTTAAAATGACTAATATGATAGGCAAATGTTCGTGAATTTGGTATCAAGTGTGAGAGCTAGTAGCACCTATTCTAGGTTTCAAATCCAGGTAGGTGAAGAATGGGTTTCAGATCTGCGAATTACACTTAGAAAGTTGAATGTCTTAACCACTGAGGTATCAGTGATTGGAAATTTACCTGACATTTGCTCATTTGCTAAAGTTTAGTGTTCTACGGTAAATCATTTATTTACATGAAAGTTTCGGTGCTCAACCTTAAGCAGAACTTTTATCGACTTCGAAGTCCACTAAAAGATCCTTGTTGCTTGAACAGAAGTTTTATTTCATGCTTCTAGGATTACATGAATGATTTGTTTTAACACTTATTGATCAGTCAAGAGTAACCAAATATCATATTTATTTAAATTTTAGTGTAGATTGAAATGAAATCGGTTCACTAAAGGATAATGACAATCTAGTCTAAGTAGATACTCATTTCGTTTATCACAGTCAAATAATGTGTTAACTATTGAGTCATTTGAAAATTTGAATCCAATGAGAAACAGTAACAGTTAATTTGAATTAGCAAATGTATCTTATTGAATATGTAAAAACCAGTACGTAAACTAAGTTCCGCGGTTTCCTGTTGACCTAGTGATTTGAAACATCAAATATTTAGCAAATGGCCTAAAAGTTTTGGATTTGATTCATGACTGAGTAGTGAATATGTGCTATCGAGATTTTTGCTACAATACAACTGTTATTCAACATTCTCTAATATTCCTACAACTGTATATTTAATTTATTTGTGGTCATAAACTAGGTGATAGCTTTTGATATTATTTAGGTTCATTGCAAATAAGTGGTACTATGAAATCAGTCATATCAGCGAATAAATAGTCAATCAATCATGCACAATGTAGAATCTGACACATATGTGCATCGATTCAAATTGTCCTAGAGTAGTAGAAATAACAGAGGTATCGGTAGTAATAGAAAATATTACAGAAAGAAAAAAAAAGTATATAGATATTTCGGGGCTCAAGTTCTAAGGGAAGATAAGGAGTGAATACGCCTGGATAACGGTGAACAATTCTGTCCCATGTCGTTCAAAGTCTCTAACTGCCAACCACAATATTCACGCAAACCTCAACAAGGTAGTTCATTCTAACTGTCAATGACTTCATGAACTGATTACGCGTTTTGTTTTTGGCTACCCTTAGCTTTCTTCTAACCCACTTTCACAACAAACAATATTAATTGTCAAATTAGGCGCATTTACCTATTTCCCTTCCTATTATTAATTTAGCCACTAATCCAGACTAATCCTAAAGTGGTATTTTACATGTACAAAGAGAGAATCGCATCCCAGACATGCTTGATATATATATATAACTTAAGAGTAAGATGAAAACATACCAAAAGGTGAAGCAGATATATTTCCACCAGGTGGTGAGTTTTGAGCAAGTGATCCAAAACTTAAATTATTTGATTTATTCCCTAAGCTACAATGAATAAAGTGTAAATTAAACAAGATATAATGGTTAGAATTGATAAATAAATAAAATTTAATAGACTAGTTAATAATAACTGATTAGTAAAAATAATAACGCTAAAACAGATGTATTGAAGCTTGAATACTATTATGATTCTTTTATTGATTATTTGATAAACATTGAACATATGAGAGATGTATGAACGTATTAAAAAGTTGCCGATATTCATACAGACATACACCGATGAATGGCGAGACTATACTTTATGGACGAACTTATCAGATTTAGAATAACAGGTGTCGGATTTTGGCGCAAAATCCATCCACCCATTTGTCTAAATAGTGTTTTGGCATTTTAGCTGATATCAGTTCGTAATGAAAACCGTAAATCTAATTCTGAACCATCATAATCCCTATTCTTCACACTTCTTTATAACCCTCATTTGGCCCTAATAAGTAGGTGGACATACTCAAGATTACTTCAGCGTCGCATAAGGGTCGTCCATAAATTATAGTCACATCTTATATAGTTTTACACAATATCAAATTTATTTGTATCGTGATCATACATTACAAACTTGATCGACAAAATTTATTATTTAGGACAGAGAAGTACAGAAAATAATAATTATTAATGATTATTAACAAATGATGAGTTAGCTTACAATCAGAATCCGACTTCTAATTTGGTCTGTTATTCACTCTATGGTTTAGTATCTCTGACTTAGATAATTACATGTCTGATTAGTACTATTAACCATTAGTACTATTAACCAAGTCAACGGCTAAGTTCTTATTGGTCCATTATTCGTTAGCTTCTCTCTATCCACAGCCTTTAGTTATCATTCTTTCAATCTTCGTTCTCATATATCAATAAGGTAATTCGATACACCATCGATAGGGTTTTAAGAGATTCATAAGAGAACAAGAAGTGTTTTAATTGTCCATAATTTCATATAAACTATGAGTACATGTAACCAGTGATGTGATGTTTTATCACTAAGTTATCAAAATAATTCTACAATAATTTGTACATTGTTTCGAATCAAGCAGTGATGCATCTTGGAATTTATCTAAATTTAAGAATATGAATCTGTTTTTCAGGAAGGAAAAGTAATACACAGGGCTAATCAGAATCCGTCGAATGAGAAGACCAAAACGTTGTGCCAATTAGAAAATCTCTTAAAGACAAGTACATATAATTGGTCAAGAAATGGTTTTATTTTCAAAAGAGTAGACATACATATATATGAGTATTATGTATGTGAATCGGTTTAGCCCAATAAACTTTTTCCTTTACTTTTAGTCTTCTCACTCAATAGTCATTTGGGGGCTTTTTATGGGAAATCGGTGTATCAGTATCCCATTATCCGACATTTTGCTCCATAACAGAAACAATCTTAGAAACGTAGTGATAATAATAAAAAGAAAACTGTCAACTTACGAGGCAAATAATCCACCACCTACAGGTGTGGGGTTAGAACTACCACCATCACCACCGAACAAGGGACCCCCAGCAACGGGCCCAGTCGAACCAAATAATCCGCTACTAGAATTAAATGCTGCAGGACCATTCAATCCGAATAAACCTGGTCCAACTGGTTTATTAAATGCAGGGCTGCCAAAAGTCGGTGAACTTCCAAAACCACCAACACCAGTAGTAGGTGTCTGTGAACCAAATAAACCTGTTCCTTGATTAGCACTTGTTCCGACATTACTAAACAAACCACCACCACCTCCGCTCATTGTAGTAACAGCTGTAGGAGAACTAAACAAAGATGAACCTAAAATTGAACTGCTGAAAAGACCAGACTGAGGATTTGACAATGATGGACTTGCTCCAGAAATAATATTATTCTGGGTGTTTGAATTGGGAGAACCAAATAAAGTTGAGTTAGCTAAATGATAGAGCAAAGATACAAAAGCGGACAAAAAGAGAGGGATAATTAATTTGCATCGATATTACGGAAAATCTAATGATAAGATGTGTGAAGGACGTACTATATAGAGCTTGATACATCGTTTAAAATGTCGACTCATACAGCAAATAACACTAAAGATTCAGGATAGACGTTTTCACTAGTTCTTAATAGCCAGATCACTTAACAGTTAATGGGTTAAAACAGTTTCATTACAAGTGACTTCGACCAAAATATTATTCTAAACACCAAATATACCGCTTTACAAAAAATGAAAGTTACTGAGCACGATCCAGCTTATATGCATGTAAATTTCAGTAACTCTACAGGTACTTGAGTTGAGGTGTTTTACATTATGATGAAACACCTGTTCAATGATTTCTGGTTTTCACTGGTTAACTAGCTAGAGTCAATTTGCGATGTGAACTATAAACCGGACAATCTCTACAAACCGACACTAAACAGTCAGCCGAGGTATACGTGTTTTTAGAAGTGTGGGTAGAAATGCAAATACCCAGATGAACATACTATAATAGGATAATCCATAGGTAAGGAAACAAGATAAACAACGGTCATTACAATGTGCAATCGCAGCTGCACGTCAAAGTAGTAGCTACGGTAGGGACAAACATCAAGCCTTATTTTAGGTTAACTTATCAAGATTATTTTGTTACCAAATAAATTTTTGTGTGATATACAACAACGACATTACCAAGACAGTGTATTTATCGTAACTATGCCGAACGAAGAAAAAAAATAGTCGATCAACATCTTGTTCAGAAAACCATGAGGACAATCCGCACAAACAAAAAAATCAAACAACTAACCTTGATTTGCAAAGGCTGTATTACCGAACGGTTTGCCAAAAGCATTTTGTGTAGGATTTTGAGATACTGAATTTCCACCAAGACTTAAACTTGATACAGAGAATAAACTGAAGACATAAAACAAATAACAAGAGAATTCTATAGATTGCATGATACACAAAACACAATAAAACTGTTTAAAGGTAGTGAAGAACCGATTCAACGTTACTGATATGAAAGTAAGATGAAATCCTCTGCTGACTGTCAAGGTTTAATCATATTTAAGAGTGAATGAGGGGGTTAGTAATCGACAGTGCTCATATCATTAATCCGCTTATATTTCTATAGCTTATATCACAGTCTGATCTTAGTTAGATGGTCGTTGAAAACTAGGAAGGACAGGGAAGCTGTTTCACTTTAGCATGGGACTCCTTAGTAATGCGCATCCGCCATCACACCAGGGAATAAATCTTAAACCCTTGGATTTCACCGTGAGCACCTAATCTTCCGTATTTTGTTATCTAACAATTAACTACGTCGGGTATAAAAGCACAGTAGTTTACAAGGAAAAAGAAAGTTTTATTCTTCTAATCAGTTATTTTGCCATTTTGATGATAAGAATTTAATTAGAAGTGGAGCTAACGTTATTAGGTATTTGTCACCTGTCTACATTAAACATCACTTACACCATGGAATGCAGCAACACAACACGAACAAGATAAGACATAGGAGACAGTTTTGAGTTGTTACACTAAAAAAACCGCTTAATACTGTCACGAAAAGCAGAAATTAATTATAGAATGTGAGTTTACAAAACTAGGATAACATGATTAATAATAAAATAATGATATATTTCTGATATCCCAATAAATAGAAATTCGAATTTGACGTTTCGTGACTTAATTAAAGCTACTTCATCAAAGTAAATAAAGAGGGTTCTTTAATCATCCTAGATCTTCAATAGTGTTCTCCAGTTGAAAACTATAATATTCAAATCACAATTTAACATAAACATTATTGAATGAAAGTAACAACATTCATCAGTTACCCACCTGTTTGTAGATTTTGTATCGGATCCCACAGGTGAACCTTTGTAACGAATACATATGAACACAATGATGATGTGAAAAAAAGATTAAGAAAAATCGGATTATGTAAAAATGCTTTAAAAAAGTCACACTTAAAGGAAAAATTCTTTGCATAGAAAGATTAGCATCAAGTTATATCTAAAACGTGATTATTTCATGTATTATTATTAGCTTTATTCAATATTATATTTTTGGTACAATATAGAATCCTTAGCACAAAGTACTTCAAGAAGTTTACGTTTCTTACTTCTTCGTCCTTCCTGACGATAAATATTGAGTGATCGCCAGTTAGAAGTTAGCAGCCCAGTCAATCGATATCTCTATAATGTACATTCTTCTAGCTGCATATCACCAGCAACCACGATATCTCTGATTAAGACTTCTGTAACCTTTATAGCGAAAGGTCTTACACTTTTCAGAAACGCACTTCTGCGATTAATAGGTATAATGATGTATTAAAACAAACAAAATTAGATAACTTGTTGAAGTACCTAGATGACAGGAACAGGTAGTCCAGATGCTTAAACAGGCCACCTAATGTACGGTTAAACATTGATTACCAGTGTTTTCAGTGAAAACATTATGAAAACATTTACGCTTTATTGAGTGGAAATATCAAGACTGATTAGCATTTTTGAAAAAACGGCACATTTATGGTAAAAATGGTAAGACAAAAAAAATAGAATTTAAGGTGAGCAAAGAAATAATGGTAACCTATCTTAGTTAATTACATAAAGTTTATACAGTATAGCAACCATCCTACAATCAATTTCGATTATAGCCAATTTTGGTTAAGCCCTTTTTATAACTTACTTAACAGACATTGTCATTTGGATAGTAACAATTTGCATATTCTTTGAACTGTTATACCATTAGAGCACATGACACTCTAGCCGAAATGTTGACTGCTTAAATATCATTCGATGACTCATACTCCTCCCCATATATGTACGCACACAAATATTATTATCAGCCTTTGTTTTGCTTTGCTGTGCCCTTATTAAATTTGACTATAAATTGCCTATGTAATTGCTTGCTACTCTCTCGCTCGCTCGCTTGCTCCTCGTTCGTTCCCTTCGCTTGTTTGCCTGTTCACTCGCTCGTTCATATTCGCTCAGGTGTTGTTAACTTTCGAACCTGAGTCATTCGACAATAAACTGTAGTTGCTGCTATCCTTTGTCTTCTGATTTTACGCACCGTTAAGTTTAGAATTATAACGGTTATCGAAGTAAACGGTTAACGAATCGCGGCACTACAGAATTGGAGGCCTCGCCGAACAAGCACGACGCAATAGAATTGGATATCTCGCCGAACAAGCACGACGCAATAGAATTGGATACCTCGCCGAACAAGCACGACGCAATAGAATTGGATATCTCGCTGAACGAGCACGACGCAATATAATTGGTTGCCTCGCCATACGAACACGACACTACAGAATTGGATGCCTCGACGAGCGAACACAAAACAATTTTCGACGAGATAATTTCATTTCGAAAATTCAACGTACTCTGTTTCTATTCGAATTATTATCTGGATTATAATCATAATTGTGGATTTATTATATCACAATTTTAATCGCACGTTCATCATCCCATAAGCATTATTGAACTTAACGATAATATTCATAATAAATAACGATTATTCACGAACAATTGATATATTGGTGCAATTTAGTAAGTCTGTTCCATTTTATATATTGTACCTTTTGTTATTATCATTTTTTTCATCGATTCATTTCTCTTAGTGACAATAACGTTATATTCGCATACTACTTAATTTATTATTATTATTATTATTATTATTATTATTATTATTATTATTATTATTATTATTAGTAATGTCTTTAAATAACGAAACAATCGATCTTTCACAGTCACCATCCGTGGGAGTTATTAATGTTACTATTCCCTCTTTTAATGTTACTGATCCTCAACTCTGGTTTATTAGACTTGAAAATTACTTCGTACCAATCGTATTCTTTTACAGCGACATAAGTTCGGCTACGCAAGCTCACTACTTCCAGATGAAGTAGCAGACAAGGTACGAGAGGTCCTAACTAAGCCGGATGCGGTAAATCCGTACGATGTATTGAAACAGGCAGTAATAAAAGCTCTCTCGTTAAACGACCGGCAAGCTGTCGAGCAGTTGCTCAGTGAAGTTCAAATCGGAGATAGAACGCCTTCGCAGTTAAAAACGTATATGAGCAACGTAATTGGAGACAGAAATGTGGATAAAAATATATTTTACCACTTATGGTTGCGACGACTCCCACCGAACGTACAGCAGATCCTCGCTGTTGGAGATAGCGATGTAGACATAGACAATATCGCTAAAATAGCCGATAAGATTTACGATAGAATGAGAAATGCGACTTCACAAACGCTCAACTTCACAGTTGACGAAAGAATCGAGGCCTTGCAAAAGGAAATTAATGCGCTATGCCACAAATTAACGAGTCTAAATCACAACGACAGGAAAAGAAGTTGGTCGCGCAGCAGATCAAGAGATAGAAACCGATCATTTTCTAAGGGACTACCAGATCCTGCTATATGCTGGTACCATCAAACATTTGGGTACAGAGCTCGAAAATGCAGGTCTCCATGCAAATTTAAACGATCCCAACGATTCTCAGTAACGACTACGAAAATCAACGCAGCTCCCACGAGCAATCGTTTATTCTATGTTCAGGACAGAGTAACGGGCGCGCAGTTTTTAGTAGACACGGGAGCAGAGATAAGCGTCGTCCCTCCATTGAGCAACGAAAAACAAAATATCGATACTGCGCTAACTCTTAAAGCAGCGAATAGATCCGATATAAAGACATATGGCAAACGAAAACTAACCTTGAATTTCGGCCGTAATATTTCACTTCGCTGGGAATTTGTAATCGCTGATGTTTCCGTACCCATAATTGGTATCGATTTCTTAAAGAATTTTGACCTATTAGTGGATTCTCGACGAAACCAACTAGTGAATGGAGAACGCTCAGTAGTCATAAGAGGAGTGACCACCGATCATGTATCTATGAATTTAGTAGTGTCGAAAGATAAGAACGAGCAATATAAGTCACTTCTAAATAAGTTCGCCGATTTAACGAGGTCATCATACGACAACAAAGATCTTAAACATACAGTACAGCACCATATCGTCACGAAAGGTCCACCGACTAGAGTAAGAGCGCGAAGGTTGGACCCAAAAAGGTTAAACATTGCGAAACGAGAATTCGAAAAACTAATGAAACTTGGTATCATAAGGCCATCTAATAGTCCCTGGGCATCTCCGTTACATATGGTTCCCAAAAAGAATGGAGAAATTAGACCATGTGGAGATTATAGAGCCCTTAACAAGCAAACGATAGCAGATAGATACCCAGTGCCACATATTCACGATATCACTACCGAAATGGAAGGTGCTACGATTTTTTCGAAAATTGATCTTGTTCGGGCGTACTACCACATTCCAGTGGCCCCAGAAGACATACCGAAAACGGCTGTAATCACTCCATTTGGTTTATTTGAGTTTTTACGAATGCCATTTGGACTAACTAATGCAGCTCAAACCTTTCAGCGATTTATTGATCAGGTTGTTAGAGGTTTGACAGGGGTATACGCATATATCGACGATATATTAGTAGCTAGCGCTACCGTCGAAGAACATCTACAACATCTACGACAGTTATTCACGAGACTTCAAGAACATGGTGTCACTATTAACGTGGAAAAATGTGAATTTGGAAAGAAATCATTGCAATTCCTAGGTCATATGATAAATTCTCGAGGTATTATGCCAGTTCCAGCAGAAGTTGCTGCTATTCGCAATTATCCGTTGCCCGAGTCACAAAAAAAGTTACGACGATTCTTGGGACTAATAAACTACTATAGGCGATTTATTCCAAACTGCGCAGCAATACTACAGCCATTAACGGACGCTTTGCGAGGAAATACCCGAACATTCCATCTATCGACAGAGGCTATACAGGCTTTTGAGAACGCTAAGCGAGCACTTCATGAGAAAATGATATTAGTTCGACGAAAGAGCGAAGCGCCACTAGCCATCATGACGGACGCATCGAACATAGCAGTAGGAGCTGTACTGCAGCAGTTAGTAAACGGTACATGGGAACCGATTTCATTTTTCTCGAGGAGATTAAACCCTACACAAACGAGGTACAGTACGTTCGGAAGAGAACTATTAGCGATTTACTTGGCAATCAAACATTTCCGACACATGATAGAGGGTACCATTTTTACAGTGTATACAGACCATAAACCCCTCACGAAAGCATTAAACGCCAAGCAGGATAACTATTCGCCGAGGGAAATTCGACAATTAGAATTTATTTCCCAATTTACTTCTAGCATACAGTATATTGAAGGTAATAATAACGAAGTGGCAGATGCGTTGTCCAGAACAACGATAAATGCGATTATTACAAATGGAATTGATTATCACGGTCTCGCGAAGTTACAAGAGATAGACATCGAACTAAACAAGCTAAGATTCGATGACACGACGTCATTATTATTCGAAGATATTCAGTTCGGCAACGCGAAAGTAATATGTGACATGTCAACTGGCCGACCTCGCCCATTCATTCCTAAACCATTGCGACGGAAAGTATTCGAAAGTATCCATAACCTATCGCACCCGGGAATAAAAGCCACGATGAAATTAATCAGTGAGCGTTTCGTATGGACGAAAATGAATCGCGATATACGAAATTGGACGCAAGCATGCATGAAATGTCAAAAAGCCAAAGTACATCGTCATACTAGTTCGCCAATGGGTTCGTTTTCACAGCCAGACACTCGATTCGAACATATACACATCGATATCGTGGGACCACTGCCAGTTTCGAACGGGTACAACTATATTTTTACATGCATCGATAGATTTACCCGATGGCCTGTAGCGGTGCCAATCAAAGACACCTCAGCCGAATCTGTAGCAAAAGCCCTAATCGAGAATTGGATTTCTCACTATGGTATACCGGCAATTATCACGACCGATAGAGGAGCTCAATTCGAAAGTCGACTCTTCCAGCAGCTTACAGAACTCCTCGGAATTAAACGTATACGAACGACATCCTACCATCCAATGGCAAACGGAATGGTTGAACGCCTACATAGGCAGTTGAAAGCATCCCTTACATCTGTCATTGTCAATAACGATTGGGCTAATAAGCTTCCTTTAGTCATGTTAGGTTTAAGAACAATAATTAAACAGGATATGGGATGTTGTCCAGCCGAGTTGGTATATGGAACTACTTTACGTTTACCCGGAGAATTTTTCGCTTCAGGTAAAAGTGTTCCGACTGATGTAGCCAACTACGTCCAACGCCTGAAGAAACACATGAGCGATTTAAAAATAGCACTTCCCAGACTACAACAACGTCGAGTATTCGTACCTCAGCAACTACATAATAGCACGCACGTATTTATCAGAAGAGACAACGTACAACCACCTCTGCAGCCGAACTATGAAGGTCCATTTAAAGTGATTACGAAGACAGATAAGACAGTCACGGTAGAAAAAGCTGGGAAGACAGACGTAATCAGTATCGATCGTGTGAAGCCAGCTTTCATCGATAGCGATTTTCAATCGACAAGCACAAGCCTCTCGAAGACGATCACACCTACGAAACACGAATCTCAGGAGTCAACGACGCTAACGCACCAAAACGAAGAGACTCCGATAACGACAAAATCTGGTCGCAGAGTAAGATGGCCGCAACGTTATGTCGCTACAATCTTTTACTGATAATTTTCTGCTACTTTGATTATTAATTATAATTCTTCCTCTTCATTGTATACATATGGATTATTAAATTCATGCTATACGCTATTAAACTTGGCACAGCTTATGTACACCCTTATGCTCATACGTGTAGTTTTTTTTTCGAAGCGATACCATATCCCTTCTATTTCTTACAGCTATTTTGTATAGCCTAACGGACGGGCACGAACTAAATACACACTAACTTCATTCTAATTTTATACAGGCCCATATCTTCAAATGATTGTAACTACGCTATCCAATTTACTGTACATTATGCAAACACAGACATTTTTTCATATATCTTTGTTTGCAGGGGGGAGTAATATAGCAACCATCCTACAATCAATTTCGATTATAGCCAATTTTGGTTAAGCCCTTTTTATAACTTACTTAACAGACATTGTCATTTGGATAGTAACAATTTGCATATTCTTTGAACTGTTATACCATTAGAGCACATGACACTCTAGCCGAAATGTTGACTGCTTAAATATCATTCGATGACTCATACTCCTCCCCATATATGTACGCACACAAATATTATTATCAGCCTTTGTTTTGCTTTGCTGTGCCCTTATTAAATTTGACTATAAATTGCCTATGTAATTGCTTGCTACTCTCTCGCTCGCTCGCTTGCTCCTCGTTCGTTCCCTTCGCTTGTTTGCCTGTTCACTCGCTCGTTCATATTCGCTCAGGTGTTGTTAACTTTCGAACCTGAGTCATTCGACAATAAACTGTAGTTGCTGCTATCCTTTGTCTTCTGATTTTACGCACCGTTAAGTTTAGAATTATAACGGTTATCGAAGTAAACGGTTAACGAATCGCGGCACTACAACAGATTCAAAGGTCAATAATTTACTATTCTCTTTTGATTCAATTTCTTTATTCTAACAATGACTTTTATGGCTCTGACATGGCTGAGGATAAAGAGAAATCACTTCAACTAACAATGACAAACTTTTCTTTCTTTTAACTTCACACTTTATGTTATTTGTCTTCTGTACAGCATTCAAGTGTAAGAAAACGGTAAGAAGACCGAGGAAATGATTAGAAAGTGACTACGAAGAGTTGAAGTACCAGACATATTACAATGGTTGACAATACTGTATGTAAATGACAGCTTCAACACGTTATGTTTCTTCAGTCAGGCAATCGATGTTTCTATATTCCGAAATTAACTTTTTCAATATAAAGGCGGGACTAGTGTATACCGAGAGTGAGACAACCTGTTTGATCATTTTACTTATCCTAGAACCCTATCGAATCAATTAGCCGGTTATTGCAATTTCCCCAGAAGATCGAACATACTCGAAAAATTCACTCACGTTAACAAAACCATTGATATTTTTTTGATGTATTAAAGTCAATCAGTCAATTATAAGTAGAAACTGGTAATCTTTATTTCTACACCTTGAAAAATCAATCCGTTTTTCAGTCAATGGTATGCACTTGTCCTTTAGGACACTTTTGATAGGCACCAAGTGGCTTTCTCATTCGGCTACTTATTGTTGACCCACTATATCAAATAACGATTCGACTATTCAACTATTATTTATGACTATCGTGTGGACCCGAACCAGGTAGCCTCCATCTACCAACACGGAGTAGTCGTTCAACTGTCAATGACTTTTCATGGAGTGTGATGCCAATACGTCTTAATTTGATGAATACGATATAATGAGGACGAAAAAAGCAAACTTACCGAAGAGGCCAGCACCCCCACCGGTTGAATTTGATGTAACCTGTTGAGAATTGACGGTCGCCGCTGCTGCAAAAAGACCGGTGCCAGGAGCCATTGAATTCACCTGGCTAGAAGTTATTGATGCACCACTAAATAATGAAGATGTGCCCGAAACGAAACTAAACAGACTAGAACTTGTAGTTTGTGCTGCTTTTTTTTTAAAAATGAATAAAAATATAGGTAACTTAATATTGTTATTGGAGAATAATTGAAAAAAGGGGGTTATTGTACATGCTTTTATAGTGTACTTAGTGAGGTATTTGTTTTCGGTATTTTTTATATTGTCGAATTTGGCAGGTCATCGTTGAACTCATTAACTGTTAACATACGTTTTACCATTTACAAGATACAGTTGAATGATTATGTACCTGTTATTCAGTTTTGTTTCTGGTAGTTTCATTTTCTGACCTAGGTTCAATATTAGCTTATGTTGATGCAATCGTCCAGAAGGACAACAAAAGCTTCACGATTAAATCATCTCACTAAAAGAACGAAACTCCACCAAAGTTATCTATCTGAGGTACAAATCTCCATTAACTCAAAATCAGTTTTGCACTAAAAATGAATTATTTATGCAATAGATTGTGATTTCTCATTTACTGTACTTTATGGTCTTGTAAATGACGTCATAAAATATACAGAGCGAATCTGTTGTATGTTCTCGTGTTCTAATTGAACAGACTGAGAGTAGAAAGAGGTTACATGCGCCAGTATTAGCCTCAGCATTTTTAGTGACTATAACAGGTTAAGTGAATGTCATTCGTAATAATGGCTTAAGCGAATTCATGATGAATGGACACAATAAATTAGTGGTTGAAGCTGAATTCATAACAAAAATATACACCTGTATAACTACTTTAACGCAAATGAAAAGAACTTAAATAAGTAGTATTAAAAAAACGAAACAGTACCACTAGGTCAAGAAACCACATATGAATCAGAAATAAAATAAAAATTGGAGCAAAAACATATTCAGAGCTGAATACTAGAATTTATATACTATGAAACAAACCTGGCACTATAGGTACAGTAGTAGTGTTATTATTTCCCGGTGAATTTACAGATGGTGTATTAAACAGACTAGCACCAAATAATGTAGATGACGAAACAGTAGCAGTAGGGTTTGAAGTATTGACCTGAAATAGATTGGGACCACCGCCGGATACTGGAGCATTAAACGGAGAACCAAATAAAAAGCCACTTGACTGTGTAGCCGGCTGTGAGCCGAACAGTTTGTTACCACTGATGGCCAATGTACCAAACAAGCCTGCCGATGACGACACTGTTGCAATAGTATTAGTTGTTGTTGTATTTTGAAATAAAGACTGTCCAGGTAAAACGGAATTACCACCAAAAACAGAAGAGCCAAATGGACTAGAAAAACTAGAAGTCACTGAAGTAGTAGTAGCAATAGTAGTTGCTGTACTGGTAAGACTGGGTGGTGTAGTTACTGAATTAGAAACACTAAAAAGACCAGCTATTCCAGGTGATTGTAGAATGGAGGAAGAAGTTGTAGTTTGAAACGAAGAAACATTTGTACCAGTGAATAAACCACCGCTCGAGGAAGTACCTTTACCGAAAACTTGTAAGAAAATGAATAGTTTTAAGCACAAATAAGTTCCACTTTAATTAAAATTAAAATTAACTAATCTTTGTATTGTAATCTACCTGTAGTACCAAACATTGGAGACGCTGGAATAGTTGTGGTTGGAGCAGATCCACCAAAATGTGTAGACATATGTGTATTAGAGGCGATTCCACAAGAAGGTACAGAAACAGGTATACTTAAAGCAGTACCACTGAAAAGTGGAGAGACGGATGTCGTCGGTGTTTTATTGAAAGCCTCACTTTTCGAAATAGGAGTTCCAGTGAAACCAATAACAGGGTTTGCAGGCGAAACAGTGGTTACAGATCCTGTATTATTCGTAGAAGACAACTGATTTGGATTGCCAAACAAAAAGATATTAGCACCAGTGCTACAAGTTGATGAAGCAACAGTAGTGGCTAAAATAGAGGAAAAGGACAACTTTGAATAACTAATGTGTAAACAAAATGCCCCATAAATTTACATTTTGACAGTTATTTCAAAAGAATATATATGGAGAAAGCATAAAATTTACCTACCTAAAACCATATTTGGAGCACCGAATAATGGTTTACTATTGAATGTAACATTTGACATTGTTGTAGTATCTGAATTTGTAAATATTGTACTTGTGGTGTTCAATGGTATACCAGTGAAAAGAGAACTTATTGAAGAACTTGTCGTAGTATTGGTAGTGGCAGTACTGACATTTTGACTTTGTCCAGACCCAAACATTATACCTGAACTACTACATACTGGAGTTGGCAAGAATGAGAATAGTCCAGATGATTTAGAAGAAACAGTAGCAGTTTGAGGTAAATTAACTGAAGATATGTTTGGAACAAGATTTTCTTTTTTAATTTCATCTGTTCCTTTACACAATGAAGCATTATTGAAATCATTCGATGGATCGGTGACAATAGGTTTAGGAATAACTGCAAAAATAAAAAGGAATCACTGGATACACAAAAGTAATTTGTTAAAAAAAACTTAAATAGAGCTTGACTAGTAACATTATCATGTTCATATAAACATCCTTTCTTCAAAAAAACAAAGATATCACAGATATGATACTTAGCAGTAAGTTTAAAGATTATGATTTACGCTAATTAGTCTTCGAGGTTAAACCAATGTGTAAATATTTGATCATGTGTACTCAATGAAGCATTCGCATAATGTGAAACATTAAGAGTAAGTAAAACTTAATAGATAAGTGAGTTGGATTATTATATTATCACATATTAATATAAAGTGAGTAAGAATCAGGGTACTAAGTAAAGATAACAAATCCGTTGATAATGTCATAATTCTTCGTTGACTAGGATGATCGAAACATGCATTAGATAGACTCAACCACCGCTGACCTCGACAAGTAATTTTGGTTAACATAGGAGTAGGTTAGAAGAAATTCACGAGTAGGCAAACTAAAATATGGAGTCAATCTACAACCCCATACTAATAATTATTGTGTCCTCACTGGTGACTAGCTTCGAGAGGAAATCAAAAGGGGCCATAGTGGGAAGCCGTGAACAATGGAGCTAAACGATGTCGGTATAAGGCAGTTACCTACAAAATATAGTGAAAGATGGTAGCTTAATGTCGTGGATTGATTCGAGTTCGACATTACCACTGTTGAATCTCAACTAAGTGGTCTAAAACTTAAGTGTTCACACGAGACCAAAGCTCCTGAGTCTTATTCCTGCGCACGGGGTCATGGGTGAGCATTGCAGAGGAGTCCCATACTAGGACAAAAAGGCCGTCCACGGCTTCCAGGTTTCCAATGGTTGTCTAACCTATATCTGTTCATGATTTAAAAGAAATTCAGTAATCTCCACAACCCCTTACTGACAGTCAGTCCATGAATCCAATCAATATTAGTTTCAGTTAAGTAGATAGGTGTTAGTGTGATATAGCAATTTGGACCAATTTACATTTTTGTTAAGTTGGTACGTTGTTTATGACTGATTGACTGGCTATAAAATACTTATGAATGAATACGTTGAAGGGGATTAATCAAAATTGGTAGCAATGTATGTGTTGCTTTCGACTTTTTTTAATTTTTCTCTAGACTGTAGGGTTAGGTACGTTATTAAGTTATCAACAACAATGCAGTACCAAGCGCATAAACAGTCGAATATTGATGCAATACTGCTATGCTCCATGTAGTCATATCTCGAAATAAGTATTAATATCAATAGTTATAGGAGACCCAAAATAAGGAATATAATTTAAAAGAACAAAGAGAGAAAGAGAGATAAATAAATAAATATTGATACAAAGGGGCACCAGATAAATATGCGCCACACAAATCTTACTTGATTTATGTGAGGACTGTGATACTACCCGAGTGCCCAAACTGAAGCACGTGGTTTTCTTAGGGGGCCACACTCAGAGCCTTCGACCTAAAGATCTGATCCACAAGGCTGTGGAGCATCGTGAGGAGATGCAGTCCCATGGTAGCCGGTCACCGACAACTGATTCATATGCCATTTGTTCCCTCAGGATACTCGAGCCCACGTACACCATTGATTCCAAATCAGGGTCTTCCAACTCCCCTACGTGGACTTTCCGTGTTCACCAACCCGGTTAAAGCGCCAGATATTCACTTTTCGTCCTCTCAATTTCGTAAACACCTCGTCCACGAGAAGGCAGTGAGTAGGACTTTCCCGGCAGAGGCTATATACGCGTGGCCGTGTACGAGCATTTCGAGAGGGAGGGAGGGGCCCTCCCCACTCTCGGCCGTACCAGGGCATTTGGGGGCCTACTACAATATGATATCTTAAATATACATTAAATCCCACTAAATATATGAACAACATATTAAGAACTTAAGACATTATTTACTTAAACTAATCAAATTTATACTTTGATCACATTGTAACAATAAGCAGTATACAATACCGAATTATTATTGCTTAGAGCTATTTGTGTAATAAGATTTATCTTCATAATATACCTTATGATGTCAAAAGTGTGACTATAAATTAATAGGGAAAAATAATGTGTTCTTTTGTTTTTTATCATGAATATACGTGATATACAAAAGTGAATACAAGTAAAGCAAATGCATGAAATACTCATGAATTATGTGATTATTAAATAAGGTTTTTAAATGATCTATCTTGTTGAGTGATAAATCAGAATAAAGATTGAAGAATTGGATATAGTTAGCCCCATTCACAGCCAATTTTGGCTTACTTGTGTATAATTATGATTTCTCAATTTATGCTGTGATATACTTCAGGTATGTTATATATAAACATACGAGCAGCTTGCATTAGCTCTATTATCTCTTACTATGCGGCGTTCGTCCCTTCAATGCATGACATTCGCGCCCCACTGAATGGTCTACTGAGCAAGAACAGTACGTGGAGCTGGACTAAAGAGTGTGATACAGCATTTTGTGAACTGAAGTCCATCATCAGCTCGAAATTGTTATTAACGCACTACGATTCATGCATGCCGATCATTGTAGCTGCAGATGCCTCAGCGTATGGCTTAGGAGCCGTCATTTCTCTTCAGTTTCCAGACGCGTCAGAGAAGGTTGTCATGCACGCATCCCGAACGCTGACCGCGGCAGGAAAAAAGTATAGTCAGATAGAGAATGAGGGTCTCGCCCTGGTGTTTGCTGTGCGGCGGTTCCACAAATTTTTGTACGGTCGGAGGTTCACACTCCTTACGGATCACAAGCCCCTTCTCGCAATTTTCGGGTCGATGTCTGGCATACTAGCCCACTCGGCAAACCGTCTTCAGCGATGCGCCTTGGTACTCTTGGGTTACGATTTCGAAATCCAATACCGACGCACCCAGCAATTTGGGCAAGCAGATGCTCTATCACGTCTCATTAATGATCATTCGGCGACTGATGAAAATACGGTAATCGCATCTCTATCAGTGAAAGATCACGCAGAATGTTATCTGACAACCGCTATACGAGCATTGACGGTGTCCGCGTCAGACATACAAAACGCTTCAAGGGATGACCCCGACATCAAGAGGGCTATGAGCTATATCACCAATGGGTGGTCGTCTGTCAAGTTCGATGGAGACATAAAACAGCTGTATCAGCGGCGAGATTCACTATGCATTGTGAACGACTGCGTGATGTTTGGTGAAAGAGTGGTTGTACAAGAGTCCCTTCGCGCAAAAGTGATGAAACAAGTTTACATTGGTCATCCCGGAATAAAGCGTATGAAATCTATCGCCAGAAGCTATGCTTACTGGCCCCTCATGGACCAGCACATCACGGATCTAGTAAATAAATGCGTTCAGTGTCAGCAAGCAGAAAAGTCCAATGCGAAGGTGCCGCCGGTTCCATGACCACAGCCTGAGTATCTCTGGTCTAGGATACATATCGACTTTGCCGGTCCAGTCAACGGAACCACTTATCTTGTCGTGGTCGACGCCTTGTCAAAATGGCCGGAGATTTTAACCGTCACGCCACCAACGACCACCCAGACTCTGAAACATCTGACTGAGTTGTTCGCACGGGACGGATTACCGGAAGTGATTGTATCCGACAATGGGTCGCAGTTCACCTCAGCGCAGTTCCAAGAGTTCTGCAAACACCTATCCATCAGGCATCTTTGCGCCCCACCTTATCATCCACAATCGAATGGGCAAACCGAAAGGTTCGTGGATACGTTCAAGAGGGCTCTGATTAGGTCAAAAGGGGAGGGGACGCCAGTGGAAACACTGCAGAATTTTTTATTCGCCTACAGAACGACGCCTAACAAAACGCTGCCGGAAGTCCCCCGCAGAGATCCTCATGGGGAGAAGTTTGAGGACTATCCATAACTTGATGCTACCGAAAATCACACCACCACTAGCGCAAACCACGTCCCGGAAGCTACCCACATACAACGTTGGATGCCCAGTATTCGCTCGAGACTACAGAGCAAATCGTGATCCTTGGATCGAAGCACGTGTGATTAGAAGGGTAGGTAGAGTCATGTGCGAAGTCGAGGTAGGAGCAGATAGGTGGACGAGGCATCGAAACCAACTACGCAAGCGTTAAGCCCCAGCGCGCCCAACAACCGAAGGAAAGATCCCGCTGGACATATTGTTAGATACGTTCAATCTGCCGGTCGCCCCTACACAAGAAACATCAGAGGTCAATCTACGGTCCCGAAGATGGTCACTGCGCCAACGGCGACAGACATTTGGAATGCAGGTGGACCCAAAGAATGTCCGTTACTAAAAAGGGGAGGTGTTGGGGATGTCAAATCCCCAGAACTTACTTGATAAGTGGCTTAATTTTGTAATTTTATTTTGGAAATTTGAATTTAGCTGTTTTCGCGCCAAACGCGCTCTTTTTACTTTCACGTCATATTTCTCACTTGTAAACTATCTTAAACGCTATTGGTCCATTGTTTCTTTGTGTGTGCTATTTATTAATGATGCTCAAGGACAATTTGTTGCTGTATAAATGCGCTTGACTTTTTCCCTTATTTGATTGCTTGTACTCGGTTGCTTACGGAATATATATATTCCCCTACTTGCCTTGGACTTATTCATCTAGTTAGCGGTGCCTGGGACAACAGATTAGATTAGCTTATAGTGTCATTTTGTCATTGGCTTTCGTTCGTTACCGCGGAATCGATTTAGTTCAAGTATATCAAGCTCAAAGTTAATGATGTAGATTGAATGATTTATCGGTGAAATCTAAGAAACTAGGCTATAGGAGAAATAGCAGACGCGGCATAGAAAGAAAAATTAAAATTGGAATTCTGATTGATGACTTCAGCACGTAATATTAATCAATGTCTTAAGCCGAAACACTAATATTTAGGATTAAATAGCTCAGTGGATAAAGCGTTAGCGTTGTTAGTGAAAGGTACTGGGTTCGAATTTCATTGTAAACAATAACCCTGAGATAAAGGTACACCCAGCTGACAAACACCAAACAGAAATAAACTTGTATTAAATATGTCTGCAAATACTCATGAATTATTATGCTCTTCTTGTAAATATTCACATTGGTGAAAGGGAATTAGTTACTATTCTTTAGTTGTTTAATTTGTGACGAGAAGTTACTCCATTTTGAAGTTACCTTTCTTGAAAAATTGTCATCAATAAGAATGTGTTAGTTAAACGCTGTTCTCCACTGTAATTTGGATCTTTTAATAAGTGAGTATTATATGATGACCCAAATACAAAATCAAACCTAAAGTTTCCTGATGATTATAACAGTGTTTATGGTATTTTTGAGTTTTACATTTCATCGCTTCCTATTATATATGAATAGCTGAGAACAAATCAAATTCCTATCACATTTTTGCTAATAAACAACTTTCACTTCTCAAGTAATACATATACAATTATAGTAGAATAGCAGAAATATGGTTTCAATCTTTACTAAAAAGTAAATAATACCTGAAGGACTGAACAATGGATTGGAAGTAGATAAAACTGGGTTAGAATTGATTAAACCTGTTTCATTAATTGTTGTGACAGGTGTTATAGTAGAATTATTAGTAGTGATAGTAGATTCACTTTTTTGAAAACCTGGACTAGAAACTTTAGAATTGTTTACGATAAATGGCGCAGACGATTGAGCTACAGAAGTACCACCACTAAATGTATTGGCGATCGGCAGTGTTGATGATGACGGTGATTGCGGCTTGAATAAAGTAGAGTTTACGAATAGATTACTAATATTATTGGCAGTTGAAGATACAGTGAAAGCTTGTTTATGAAATTTGGAAAAAAAAACAAATAAATGTAATGTATTATTTTACTCTAATTATTACATAACGAAGAAAATAGACAGAAACAAAATAAACATTACAACAAGGACAACCAAAACAAGTAAGATAATGACTAGATTATTTGTAGATTGGATGCATCACATAATGATCCCGAACAGGTTATCGGTGAACAATATGTAGTAATGGATAGCTATTTTTTTCTAATACCAGACTTCTCATCAGTGACCACACATAATCTTACTAAGAATCGGACACAAGAAATTCAGGTATCTCAGAAAATGTCTAGACATTAAAACCACTGGATAGTGGTTTTGATCCCCGCTAGGACCATGGATATGCTACTAGGACAAAATAGATATCCAGTGACTCTTCGTTTTGAACAGTACTTTAACAGGTATCAATCCAAAAAAATACATTTCAATCAATGAAAATATTAATAACTGTAGATTCACATTACCTGAAGTGACATTTGGTTGAGCGAATAAGGGCTGTTGAATTGATTTCATCCCCAGTGAGAAAGATTGCTGGTACGTAGTAGTTTTTGGATCACTTTCTTTGACATTTGAAACTGGTGCAGAATTTACTAATGGTGATACAGTTGGACTGTTTGCGATTTGATTTCTTGTCAAATTAAAAGCTATATTTGATGGTTTACTACTAATGACAGAAGCAGGAGTATTAGGGGAAAGAGGTGTAGATACTGATGATGGAACAGCTTCAGTTTTATTGACAACTTTCACACTTTTCTCAGTCGATGGCTTAGAAGGGGTTTTGGGAATAACAGAGACTTCTGTGTTAGAGGCAACTGTAATAAAAAATAAAACTTATCGTTATATACATCATACAAATATTAATAACGCACGTAAATTTAGCAAATTAACTTTGGTAGTTTTTAAACCGCGACTATTGAAAACAAGGTATGAAATAGTTCTAAACCAAGGCATCGGAAGAGAGTCGAGAAATATCGTGAACTGAATGGAATTGAACACTAACACCGTTGAGTATCATCTCAGTGGTCGATTGGTTAAGCGTCCATGCACGAGACTTGAGAGTCCTAGGTTCGACTCTCTGTGGTGATGTCTTATATGCCCACTGTAGGGGAACTTAATACCACAACGAAACAGCTGTTCAATGTTTCCAGACTTTAAATGGTGATTCTTAATTTGAAAATCATGAAAAGTGGCTTTGATTACTTAAAAACAGAATAAATGGACGAAAGTCATACATCTTTCGGATTGAAGGAGAGAAGACTAACAATTCGATATGTCCCAAAGAGTAAACAATACATATTACACTACATTCCAAAGGGAAATGGTGTTCTGGTTCCGCGAAAGACTCTACACACAACTGAGTTTGATAAAAGTGTAAGATTGAGGGAGTAAGAAATTTAATGATGAGGTATGTATACAAAAATACCGGACACAACAACTGGACGACTAACATCACAACAGCAACAACACAAGACTGAAACAAACGGTCTCTCCAAGGAAGTTTACATCGAGCAAAATAGACATTGTTACTTGCAGTTTAAAATAATATATTTCATTTTTTTTAAAAGAACTCACTTTCTCCTGAAACAACAAGCAACTGTTCTAATTTGGAATTCTTCATATTTCCAGGAGCTATAAAGAGAGAGATAGGAAAGCAATAACTTTGAAATGTTGTGATAATCAATCAATAAATTTCATTTCTTTTTATATAATTTTTAAAACTTATTACTAAGAACACCAAACTGTCGTAAAGTTTAGGTAAACCGGAAAACCGCTTATCACAGAGCGAGATGTTTGCTGATGTAGGGACAGGTTGGAAGTAAGCTTTAGGCGGCTAAACTACAACATGGAATCAGTTTATGAAATCACTAACTGTTGGTCTGATTTGTGTTGACAGGTGAAGAATATCTGTTTAGGGTCCACGTGATTATAGTAAATAATGGTTGGAGATGTTGAATGACATGACTCAGAATCGATCGCACAGATGCATTCACATTCCATAAAATACTTAAATCTTTTATTGTACGGATTGATTATATCTTCTAGAATTATATTCTATATGCTTAATCTTTCCTTATACCACTGATACTGTAAATACTTCTCAACTGGTATTTGTCTTGATAATTTCATCCCTCTGTGTTCCAATGGTGTCGCAGCTTGAACCTATGCATACATGTGTCAGGTTCTACATTGTATATGACCAACTGATATAGCGACGAAGTACTTTTTTTAAAGTATACAAGCCACTTTCATGATCAAGTTTTTAAGCATGACATTTTGTCGTACTAGATGTAAGACAGAAATAGCAGAAAATTTGGATAAATAGAGAAAAATATTTTAAATACAAAAGATAACCTGCGATCATTGATATACATGTTTGGATTTATTTTCACTAATTCATTCACAAGATGTTTGAGTATGAGGGGGCTGGCTGGCTATATTTAAAGTGAAGTGGGGTTCGGTACTGAAACCTAGAAGCTCGAAATCGAACGCCTGGCTTAACCACTGACCTACTGGTCCACGTGTGCAATATTTAAACTATATAGGAGGTGATTGATTAAGAATTATAGCACAATGTAAGTATCGATAAGCAAAATAAGATTCTTCTATATATGGTTGATAATGAATAATAATATTTCTTGTTTAAACCATAAAACTACTCAAAATACGTTTAGGTTGAGTATACGGTTATTGCCATATAAAGCCTGTAAAAAATCCGTCAATGTAGGATCCACTGGTATGTTTCTTAATACACTGTAAACATGGATAACTTATTGTTTGAAGAAAAGCATCTCATTTTTCTCTATCCAAGTAGAGTATGATGGCTTAGTGGTTATATCTAGGTATTCGACTTTGAGCTACTGAGTTCGAATCCTCCTTCACCAACTTCGGTTTGAAAAACTGCTTATTATTACTAGCCCCAACATTTAAACTATGTCTTGCTTCCTATCTGTACTCGGCAATGAGTTAATAATCATCCGCGGCATCAACTTAATAAGTTTAACCACTTTACTTCCTTTACTAAAGGGAATCAGAAAAGTGGATTACTATGTTGAATAGTCCTTTCTTTAATTATTCAGTGAAGTGACGAACATCTTCTAAGAACGTGACGATACTATGATCCCTAATTTCAATACACGGGGACAATCTTAATCACAACTCCCAGATTCAAAATGTACAATGGCACAAAAACAAAGTGACAATAAATAAACGGACTAAACATCATTATTCATTCACAGTAAAATAGATCCAGAATTACGTCTACATTTTCTTAAAGAAAAACAATCATCTGAATGACGGAAAGTTGAACATTAACACCACTTATCAGTGAAGACAATGTATAATATAGTGCTATCTTAGAGTTACACAAGTTAGCTTACGAACAGCATATTAAATATTTAAAACCTGTTTAGTCGACTGGATAGTATCTTTACCACACAATTTATTTATTTAAACACATAAATATTGGTACAAGGAAGCACCAGATAAATATGCGCCTCACAAATCTCATTCGATTTGTGTGAGGGCTGTGATACTGCCCAGGTGCCCAGACTGAAGCAGGTGGTTTTCTTAGGGGGCCACACCCGGAGCCTTTGACCTGAATGTCTGATCCACAAGGCAGTGGAGCAACGTCAGGAGATGCAATTGCACGGTAGTCGGTGACCAACAATTGATTCGTACGCCATTTGTTCCATCAGGATACTGGAGCCCATGTGCACCATTGGTTTGGAATCAGGGTTTTCCAACTCCCCTAGGTGGACCGTCTGTGTCCACCAACCCGGTTAAAGCGCCGGACATTTGCTTTTCGTCCTCTCACTTTCGTAAACAACACCCCCGCCACGAGAAGGCAGTGAGTAGGACTTCCCTGGCAGAAGCTATATATTCGCTGGCCATATGAGAGCATTTCGAGAGGGAGAGGTGACTCTCCCCACTCTTGGCCGTACCAGGGCATTTATTTAACTAAAAGCTGAATACATAAAACTGTAATTGATAAATGAATAACAATCAATAAAAATATCTAACTAATTAAAGTATCAAGAACGGACCAAAAATACGTGTCACAATTTATTCTTCTTAAATATGATCCATTCAAAGCTCATTATTTCGATAGGAATACCGCAAAATTATCTAGTATTTTTTACAATAATTTTTAATAAACAGTCTTAACAAGCAAACTGTTTCCCAGCCTATATTATACCATTGTTCTTTGTTCTTAACTGATTTCGGCCACGGTGATAGGTACGAACTTTGTTTAGTGAAGTTTTACGGTCAATATTTTTTGTATCAATTCTGTATAAGCTTTTTTGGACATGACAAGTGTGGACTCTCGTTCAAAGTGACAATTATATTCCCTTTATGGTTGATTGTGTGTTTTTATAATAACTGTATTCCCACCTCCCCCATGTGATACTACTATAGAGTGTGTGAAATTTGGTATATAAATGATTGTATTGTGGTTTGAGGATGTAATAATTTGGATGTGATTCCCGGACTTGTTTGGAGAAGTGTTTTTAGGTAGTAAGTGAACCTTCATTTCACCAGTCTTTTGTAGTGGTCCCCGTTTCCCTGTACAAGCAGTAGGATCGAGGACTGCAGTGGCTCCCGGTTGCCAAGTAAAAGTTGTAAAACTGAGGACTTAACGAAGTCGATACCCACATGATAAAAACGACTCCCTAGACATAACAGTTGACTACTTAGTTACAACAGTGCCGACGAACCAAATTTTCCAGTTATCAAAGTGCCGATTCCGAGATAAAAACAGATATGGTGTATTTGTTGTGTTCAAAGGACATGCATAGTTGCAGCTAAACACGCAGGTGTTCTATTAAAATTTGAAGTTTATTGAAAAATCAGGATTTTTTAAGCTTCTCACATCTTTCTATTCAGTCACATGAAGGATTACCGTTTTGTACTAGAAGTTCAATCTACGTAGTTCATGTTCTTATATTAGGAGAATATGCCAATTGTTTGGAATTCGAAATTACGGAAATCTATCTCAGGACAGAATAGACACAAAGGTTTCGATAAGACAGATTTATACGTCTACTTGCAATCTGATAAGCATCAATGTCAGACAAAGTAAACGACAACTATTGCACGATTTATCAAGGCATACAGAGTATCAATGTTCTGGAATATACTCAGTGAGCATCAATTCAGGAAACTGCAATAATATATATATATATATATATATATATATATATATATATACTGAGTAATACTTACACGAGGTAGTTTTTATTTGTGAATGATTTAATGTTGCTGACTGCACATCGGAAAATGATTGACTTTGGTCGTTGACAGTTTCACCTTCGGGTGAAATGGATGGACAAAGTTTTGATGGATAAATAACAGGTAATTTATAATTAGAAAATAGACGTAATAAAGCTTGATCTCGTTCAATTAGCATACTTCGATATGGATTCATTAAATCATTATCATCAATATCATTATCACCACTGGGACCGGGACCGCTATCCTTTAAAAATGAAATATTTGAAGAATTTAGACTTTTACGCATAGGTTTTTGTTTTTCTTTTCTTTTTTCGCATTTACTATCACATTTCACAGGGCTCAAACCTAAGCGTTTTAAATTTTCCACAATAAAATCAATTCGACCACGCTCCGCTCGAATAAGATTAGCATTTGTATCAATAGTACGCATGATGTTCGAATCATCATTAACACTAGAAGAGAAGTTGAAAGTAGAATACGATAACTATTATTAAAACAATATTATACATATTTGCATATTGTATTTATCTAAGACGAATTTCCTTTAGAAAACCATCGAAAGCAAGGGAACACCAAACAATCGTTCAGTTCTAGCATAAGACTCCTTAACAGTGAGCACTAAAAACTGCCACCAGGCAATGAACTCAGGACATTCAGGTATCGTATCGAAAAATTAATCATTAGAACTTGAGTCGTTGGCCACCAGTAGAATTTCAATCAGTTTGTGACATAGTGCGACGATCGAAAAATACGACCGATGACAATTGTTTGACTCCTGACAAGTGAAACACCATTAATTAGGACTTTCACCAGAAATTTAAGACCATTTTTAAGTCAATAGTGAGTTATGCACTGCTGGGGAGGCTCCTATTAGGACAAAACAGACTCATTGAATAATTTCAAGAAAAAACCTGAATCCAGGAAAACAAAAGGAAGTTATAAAAAACATGGAAAGTATTTCACTTTAAACATCTTTTGAGGAATTTGTGATGAGCAAAACTAGTTGGTAACAACGCAACTGGATTAACCATGTACGAATTTGTGTACTCAGCATTAGACAGTATTATTTTTACGAGAGCCAGTGACAGCCCTTTCCAGTCCCCAGAAATGAAGCAGGGTGACAGGATTTGGTTTGAGGTGATTACCTGACTTTGGATGAAACGCTTTGTGACAGGCTGTGTAGACAATTAGGTTCGATTTTGATAAACCAAAAGTGCGCTGAGTGAGTTCAGACGTATTACGTGCCTCTGCTCACAATGATCTCTCAAGATCGAATGTCAGGTGAGAAACTGTGAACGAGGCACGCTATTGTAGGAAACCAATTATACTACTAGTGAAGGTCCTAAAATGCATGTCTCTGTCCGGGTTAGAAGGATAAATGAATATGTGTTGGTGATTTTGTAGGCTTAGCTAAGAGGTTTGGCCAATTAAAGCTTCATATTTGTTTTCTAGCCTACTAATTAGAATAGTCAGTTGACTACAAGTATAAGATATATGTAAATCTGAATTAGATGTTGTAGATTGTAACAACATCGACTACAGTTTAAAGTTTAAAATATAAATCACTGGATTGCAAGCCAGAGGCTCAATGGTATCATACTCGACAAGAGTGAGATCTTAATGTTCCGGGTTCGATTCCGCTTGCGACCGTTGATGTGCCCGTATGGATTATAACAAACTATAAGGATGGAACAGTTATTACAACTGTTCCCTGATTTCTATTTAGTCTATGACAATTGATTTAAGGTGATAGTACAATATTCAAAAAACCCACTTACCTATTTCTCGTCAACAACTTTTCTTTCCTCTGTTGATTAGGTGATGACATTATGGTTGTTGATGTTATCATGTTTTTCGACTGAACCGTTGTATTTAATTCTGTAGATAAACTTTCAATCTGATTTTCTAAATCATATAAACCGGCTTCAGCTAAACGTGCACGTCGTTTTAATTGACTAAACAATCGACTGGTTTCTGGATCTAAGTGACCTGATATAGTGTGAAACCAATCACCGTTAGCATATAAACGTAATGCACGACGTAAACGTTCACCGAAATTAATCGAATTTGTTAAATCCTCTTTACGTTCATTTAACGCATTGGTTAATTCGACAATAACCTAGAATAGTCATGAAAGAAAAAAAGTGATTTTGACACACTCAGATAAACTATAAAAGCATTAATTTAAGAAAACATTTCGGGAGTGAAACAGTTTTCCCCAATGGTGTTAGATGATTGTTACACTGTTGCAGACTGAACGAAGTTTAGATTGTACCAGTGAATCCCAACACAGCAGTTCTAATTGGTAAGTGTTCTTTGAAAAATCTGAAGGCTCTAATTTTAATCCCGGATGGGCTAATGGGTAGTGTAATGGTAGGGAATCTCATACTGGAAAGAAACAAATGTATAGTGTTCCCTGGTTTTCAAAAGTACCCTAACAAAGAGTAATCTGCGATAAATGTAATCTATTAAAAAGAAATATTAAAATAATTATATATGGAGCCTTAAATACAGATGATTCAGTGATGGTAAGCAATCAATTAAGTTGATCATAAAAACCCAGTAATTAGCATAAATATCCACATGTTTAAACTGTTTTACTTTGCATCAGTACTTTGAGAGATGAAATTAATGTAAGAGATAGACAGAAACAATTGATATGAAATATGGCTCGCGAGTTGCTTAAATGTTTATGTCAAATATATTTACAACTTTATAGTTACGATCATGAGTCGATTGAAGCTAGACCACCATGGAAAGCCTGGAAGCACTGGACGGCCGTTTCGTCCTATTGTGGGACTCCTCATCAGTGCGCATCCACAACCCCGCCTCGCGGGATTCGAACCCAGGACCTACCAGTCTCGCGCCAGAACACTTAACCGATAGACCACTGAGCTGGCCGGCATCCAATGGCGTTAATGTCTAACCTCAACCAATCCACGAAATTGCACGACCAACTTCCATTGTCCTGAGGTAGATACCTGCCTCTACCTGACATGGATTAGATCCACTGGCCACGACTTCTCACTAGAACTCCAGTGCTTCCGGGTTTTCCATGGTGGTCTAGCTTCAATTGACTCATGATCTTAACTATAAAAATACTAAAATCTACACAACCCCGCCCTTGTGATATTTACAACTGTACAAATATTGCAAAAAATCTATTCATCTAACATTTTAACTTTATAATTATAGATGCTTACTGTCGTATATACTCATGGATTCTTATGTTTAAAAAAAAGCTTGCAACTGATCAAAATGATAAACGCTGAAAATATCAAACAAACGGATCTTGGTTCTTAGTATATTTTCCATCTTGTTTATCTTTTAAAGTAGCAGAAAAACAATCAAATTCAAAATTCAAGTATTCAATGTATGGTGGATGGAAAAGAGAAACAGTTGTGACAGGTGAACTGATAGAAAACTTCCATGATTAAAGATGGATATCTGGTCCTAACTACCACTGTGAAGCACTCACAAAAGACATTTTTGAAAAATTGCAATTCGAATCTACTTTAAAGAGAGAATTGTTACAATAATGCATAATTATTATTACTTGAGTTAAACGTAAGTGATATAATCAGAAAAGAATGGATGAATCTGTGACCGATTTTGAACAATTTCATCCAACTACGAGGATCGATGTCATGTCTTGATCCAGTCGTCACCGGTATGTTTTCTCTTATCAGCTCCTCCTAGTCGTCAATGTAATTAGCAGTAGATGGTAGTTAGGCATGTATGCGACAAGTTTCTACAAACTTAATCGATAAAGATTAACAACCTCATGAAGTGATTGGTCATTTTTATAACAATTACTATAAGCTTTTGTGATGCTCAGTCATTGGTTTTATCACACATAAGCAAAGTTTCTAAAACAGCTCTACATGTCCACATATCTTTTGCCTCCAAAAGTTGTTTTTCGCTACGAATAAAAGAGCGACCTCTTCATCAATATATTCGCCCATTGATAGACAGTGATCATTACAGTGGAACTTACCGACATGGAAGGCTATACTACAAAAGATACAACCACCGTACATCAGAAATTTAAAAAAGTCCATTCTTGAGAATATATATATATAAGCGGATGATATTGTCTTACTGTGCGATAATGCCCATGGCATGCAATCCACACTTAATCAGTTGGCAATCAGTGTCCGCAGGTACGGCATATGCAAAGTACTCCTACAAGACTGGCAGGATTCTCATCCTGTACTCACCCTGGATGGTGAGCAGATTGAGGTAGTTGAGAAGTTCGTGTATCTAGGTAGCTATATAAGTGCTGGTGGTGGCATTAGTGATGAGATTGATGCACGTATAATGAAAGCCAGATCGGCTTATGCCAATCTGGGCCATCTTTGGCGCCTTCGTGATGTTAGTCTGGCTGTAAAAGGTCGGATCTACAACGCGTCGGTGAGAGCAGTTTTGCTCTATGCTTGTGAAACCTGGTCTCTCCGAGTTGAGGATGTTAGACGTCTCTCTGCGTTCGATCATCGTTGTCTCCGAAAGATTGCTGACATACAGTGGCAACACCATGTTAGTAATGCAGAGGACCGGCATCGTGTGTTCGGGCGCAGAGACGATAATTCAATTGGTGTCACCATCTTGAAACACCGACTTCGGTGGCTTGGACATGTTTTACGAATGTCGTCCCAGAGACTTCCACGTCGTGCATTATTTGCCGACTCTGGGACTGGTTGGAAAAAGCGGAGAGAAGGTCAGTGTATGACATGGTGTCGTGGTATGAAAGAAAGCTGCAAAGGGCTAGCTTCTGTTGGTCCTTCACGACTCCCTGGCTGGGGTCCGAGAGATGGTACAACACAGTGGCTAGAGACGTTATCAGATATGGCTCAGAAAAGAAGCCAGTGGCCATCCTGCTGTAACCTTCTTTTACTTTCTTCATAAAGAGTGATTCTAACTTTCTTAACTGAAAGAGTCTTCTGGTTGTACATTTCAGTCCGCCTTATCTTTTCATCCCTTCTCTTCCTACTTTCATTATTTTGTGTGGCGCATATGTACCTGGTGCCCTTTTGTACCAATATATATGTGTTTAAATAAAATAAATATATAAAAGCTCTCAATGCACATTATGACACTTATTAATAAAAACCAAACAAAAAAACACTTCACACTTACTTCATTCATTGCTTTGAAAAAACGATCAACATTATGTAAACGTGCTTCAATAATATCTAAACCGATAGATTCATTAGACTTTTTATCAATTGTTCCATTTATTAATACACTGAATAAATTTTCCCAAGCATGACGTCCAGCTTCACTTTCTAATTGTAAAGCAGATGCAAAATGTATTGCAGCTAATTGTATAGATTTAGGCAATGGTAAATCACCTAATTGATTGATTGATGTTTTACATTGATGAGGAGAATTTTCTTTATTATCAGGAATAATTGTTGAATTTACATTATTATTGTTGTTATTAACGGAACTATTTGTCATTGAACTTTTGTGTAATGAACTACTGAGTTTGGATTCAGTTGATCTGTTATTCAAACTATTCACTATATAAAAATGATAAGAAAGGTAAGGAAAAAAGGGTAATGATGTGCGATGAATAAAAAGTGTGAAATCTAAGGCAATCAATAAGACCGGTAAGTCAGTTAGTCAAACACAGAGTAGAACCTGATGTATATATGTACATATGTTTAAGTTGCAATAGATCATTACAACGGTGATATGACATTGTCAAAGTAAATCCTAGAGTAGTAGAGGTAATAACCTTAATAAAACAATGACATGATAACAATGTAGTGAACGAGAACACAAGTGAGGACAATCGAATGCATATGAATACAAAATTACAGGACGCATTAGTAAAATCTGAGAACCGTACAGTATTTATTTATTTAGTTGAACACATAGATATTGGTACAAAGAAGCACCAAATACAAATGCGCCACACGAATCTCATTTGATTTGTGTGAGGGCTGTGGTACTACCCACGTGCCCATACCGAAGCACGTGGTTTTCTTAGGGGGCCACAACCGGAGCCTTCGACCTGAATGTCTGATCCACAAGGCAGTGGAGCAACGTCAGGAGATGCAGTCCCATGGTAGCCGGTCACCGACAACTGATTCATATGCCATTTGTTCCCTCAGGATACTCGAGCCCATGTGCACCATTGATTCCGAATCAGGGTTTTCCAACTCCCCTAGGTGGACGCACCGTGTCCATCAATCCGGTTAAAGCGCCAGGCATTCGCTTTTCGTCCTCTCAATTTCGTAAACACTTTCGCCACGAGAAAGCATTGAGTATAACTTCCCTGGCAGAGGCTATATACACGTGGCTATATGAGAGCATTTCGAGAGGGAGAGCGGACTCTTCCCACTCTCGACCGTACAGTAAATAATTCATTTTCAAAATTTCAAACTTGACCGTTCCTTTTGCAAATATCAATCGATCGCCTCAGACTTCATTGTTTTTTCGTTCCTACACCAATCATTCTTTATTCTTGTTCTCTTTTCTTTGATCTTCTTAACCTTTTGCCTAAAGGCATTTATTTCACTTTCGATTGATGATACATACTATTGGTATCTGCCAACATCAGTAGCACACACTAAAATATAACCTATTCGTACAAAGTACAAATTCTATATACTCGACTTTTAACCATAATTTAGCTGTGTGAAGATTAGACGATGATAGGAAACTACCCAGTTGCTTGAACCGAATTATATGAGGAGTGGGATTTCAACTTGTAGACTGTTGGTTGTAGGCTGAGTATTTGTCTTGTGATCTATGTATGGGAAAAAATCTAATTCTCAAGAAAACTGAAGAGTACATTAACCAAATTACAAGTATCATCACTCTGCCGTTGTTTTCACATCATTTGGTGGGGAAGGTGGTAGAACAGGGCAAGAATTGAACACGATAGTTGAATATTAATTCCATTTCATTTCTTCCAATAATTTAATTGTTGAATGACTTTCAAATATAATTATCCTTGTGTTCAATATTTCACATATAAGTGTATCATTTTATTAAAAGAGCAAACCTATTCCTCCGATCAATAGTCTTGTCTTCGATTTCAAATCTTTCGAAGGCTTACGTCAATAGTTCGGTTTTGTGAGCAGATATGATTAAACTTAAACGTATCACATCGATCAACATTCATCTCCACAATCGTAAATCCGGTCATAGAATTATAAAATCCGACTCTATAACACTTCTAACCATTAACCGACTGCTCCACACCCATTCAAATGATGAAAATCTCATTAGCTTTTTTTACAATATACTTTAAGTTTGCATAAAATATTTACACAATGATACTAATGTGATACGTGTGATATTTCTATACATATACAGAAAGGAAATTAACCGTCTATACATGAGTAATAACATTTACATAATAAATGGTAGCTACCATTTTCATGTTTCTATGTTTGTCTTTATGGGTTATGAGCTAACATATAAGTAGAGTAAAACTTTTGTCGTCGTTCATATAAGACCAACCAAACCCTTACGTATACTTTAATTAATCATTAATTACACATGATATTCTCATCACTTAAAAGATTAGTTGAATGATACAAGAAAAAACAACAACACTAAAGTACTATAAAAATGACACCCAATCAATAATTAAAAAAACATGGAGTTGAAATAAATGATCGATAATTGTACATTAACAAACATGTACACATCTGTTAGTATTTGTTGTTGCTATTGTTTTCATTGAAAAACAAAAGCCTTGGTGATACTATAATCACCTAGAATATGGTCAACTTCTTCAACAGATATGTAGAAATTCACATTATTTTCGTGCTATATATACATAGAATTAGAGCAGTTCATATTTCAAAAAAAAGTAATTAGAATTGAAGGAAAAAAAAGGTAAAAACACTAATCTCATATGAGAACTTGAACGCAATGGTGAACAGAAAGAAGCAAATGATGAGAAAACCATGAAAGTATATAATTATTTGTTTCTTTACAAAAGTACAATTTTACTTATTCTATATGACGACTTATTTCTGAATTACTGTATGCCTCGGTCATCAATAAGATTATGCTTAAAATGATAGTTTAAAAGGAAACCATGATATGCAAGACGGCCAATCCAAGACATGTCACTAGTCTATGAGGTTATTCACTGTTGATTGGTGCAGACTATCTTGATTAGAGTTCATGTGATTATCATAACCAATGATTGGAGATATCGGGTGATATACTTCAGAATCGATTGCAATAGCACAGATGAATTTACGCTTGTTTTCCCTTACATCTTGAGATTTTTTTAAGATTATGAGATAGAGAGTGATAGCTTAATCAATTGAAGCGAGAATGATATACGAAAGTGATTTTTTCCCAATCGTGTGTGACATACATTCACACCTCAAGAAGGATTATGGAAGCCTAGCATAAAAATATGGTAAATATCTGTTCATACAGTAGGTTATTGAATTATTATTGTCAAATACAACTTCATAGTTGAAAGCATGAGTCAATTGAAGCTAGACCATCAAGGAAAACCTGAAAACACTGAACGGCCGTTTCGTCCTATTATGGGACTCCTCGGCAGTGCGCATCCACGAACCCGCTCTCGCGAGATTCAAACACAGGACCTACCAGTCCCGAGTCCCATAATAGGACGAAACGGCCGTCCAGTGTTTCCAGGTTTACCTTGGTGGTCTAGTTTCAATTGACTCATGCTTTCAACTATGAAACGTACCAAATCTCCACAGAACCCCTTCTAATAATTAAATACAACTTCATTTAATTTATGCAAACCTGATTGTATATTTATTTACTTAAACATAAATAATGGGACAAAGGGGCACCAGATATATATGCGCCACACAAAAATTGTCATTTCATTTAATTGTGTAAGGGCTATGATAGTACCCGAGTGCCCAGACTGAAGCAGGTGGTTTTCTTAGAGGGCCACAACCGGAGCCTTCGACCTAAAGGTCTGATCCACAAGGCAGTGGAGCAACGTCAGGAGATGCAGTCCCATGGTAGCCGGTCACCGACAACTGATTCATATGCCATTTGTTCCCTCAGGATACTCGAGCCCATGTGCACCAGTGATTCCGAATCAGGGTTTTCCAACTCCCCTAGGTGGACGCACCGTGTCCACCAACCCGGTTAAAGCGCCGGACATTCGCTTTTCGTCCTCTCAGTTTCGTAAACAACAATAATGCCTCGAGAAGGCAGTGAGTAGGACTTACCTGGCAGAAGCTGTATACGTGTGGCCATGTGACAGCATTTTGAGAGGGAGAGCGGAATCTACCTACTCTCGGCCGTACCAGGGCATTTATAGGCTTTATATCTAACTGTTAATCTAAATTGTAAATGAATTATTTAAAAAAGTGGTGTGTTCCTGAATGGTTTTGATTTATTTTGGAAGTCAAATAAATCCTTATCACTAGTTTTTGGTTTTGCGTTTTGATCCTTTACTCCTATGCTTAAGTTGTAGTGTAGATTTAGTCTCAAGTTTTTAGAAGCGGCTAAGGTTTAGGATTGAACATTTAATTAATAGACTTATCTTTTTTTATTCGCGTAAAAATTATTTCCTCTTCTTGGATTAAATTGTCTACGTTTAATGTCTTTTACTAAAACTGAAACTGTTTCTACTTCTACTACTCTAAGATATGTCTTGGTAATTTCATCTGGTCGTGTTGATATCTTGCATGGATTGGGTTTCCAAGCACATACATGGTAAGTATCATGTTTCCCATGACTGACTAATGTTGTGTGGACGTATGAAATGTAAACTAGTGAGTACAATGGTAGTAAGAAAAACTACAGTTAAGCTAAGTATAGATTAATAGTGCATAATATTAGCAAAGTTAAATTAGTAGACTTGTTGCTTAAAAACGGAAAAGTCAAGTGAATTTGTTATACAATAACACGGGGTTTTGTTCAGTGAAATTATGGGTTGAAAAAAATAAATAGGAAGTAAACATTGAACTTAAAACGTGAGACATTAAAATCAACATACGTTGAAGTGAAAACATTACCCTAACATGTAACCACGAAATTTTTACAATGAGTAGAGAATACATGTGTTTAGAAAAGTTAAAGTCATCCTATCAGCAACAAGTTATATTTAATGAATGGTGAATAGAATCGGCCTGCTACTAACAACAGGAAAGTAAGTCAGTCATGTGAAAGTGCAGAACCTTAGACAAGTGCGTCAGTGAGGGAGGACATAAAATTCAAGATTTACGAGAAAACAGAAAAAGTATCCATCTCCATTATTGTTACCGATTCCGCATCGCCATCCAACGCATCCAGACGCTACTGATTACTGGTGCTCTTTGGGATCTGCACCTCCCGATATAGATAAGATAGAACAGTTAATAACTTAATGAGTTAATATTATATTTTGATCACCCTACTCCTGTCTTTCTTCTAACCTACTCATATGTCAGTCAACATTAGCTAGACATGCGTAACACATATCTTAACCACTTTAGTTTATGAAGGTTTACAACTTCCTCAATGACTATACAACTTTACCAACTAAACATCATTTACAAAAACGTACGGTAAATAACATGGTGAGCATAATTTTAATAATCTTAAAAAGGCCACCATTATTACTTCTTCAAAATAAGCTGCATTGACCTATCAAAACACCGATTTATTTCCCATGCAGAATTATTGAAAATTATCTTGGATTGTGTCACGGCTGGAAATAAAAAAGAGATTCCCCTCGCTTTACATGAAATCAACATATCAAGCACATTTACAAATACCCAACATGTTATGGAATGTTTCGAGTACTAATCGATTCTTGGAAATGAATAAATCATGTGAAGATAGACTAATGATTTGCAAAATGATAAAGCTACTTGATTGAACAGCTAAATTTGGAGAACAAAGGCAACAACAAAATTTTTTTAATAGAGTCAAAAATCTCTATTTTCGGTCAAAGGACTTCTTAATTTTGTCAAATGATAGATAAAAGTCAGTTAGCCAGTTATAAGCCAAAAAGTGGATAAACATGCCAGGTCCAAGTTTCTCCACCGCGTTAGCACAGAGATTATATTATTCAAGACAAATCCTAGACTAGTAAAAATAGTAACAGTATCTGTGGAAGCAGAAAAGACTAGGTATGGACAACACAATTCAAGAGGAAAGAATAAATTCGTGCAGGAAATAGAAAGTATAAGATAATTTTGAAACACAAAGTCTGAAGGGAAGCCCTGCTTTGGTTTGGGAGCCCGGGCCGTTATCCAGCGCCTACACAAATCGAACGACGAAGTGTGGCGCATATATATTTGGTGCCAATGTTTATGTGTTTAAAAATATAAATAAAATAAGGGAGAGTAGAATGCATGTATATACACCATTATGACCGAACCACGTTAACCAACATATGAAAGATAACAGTTTAACACTATTATATAGTTATTTTAAGGATGAAACAAGCAAATAAATGTAACTTACATGGAATAGAGGATGTTATTGATTGTAAGTTGCTGTTATTATTACTACCACTACAAATGGCTGTATTGACTGGTAAAATCTCTGCAACATGATGTTGATGATTATTAGCAGAATCAACCGATGAAGTAATTACATTCTGTTTTGCTTGATTAGCCATCATCAACACTGACGGGTTATCATTTGAAGCTGATACCAGTGTAGATGATTTAGATGTATTCAATGGTGATTTCTCAGTTGTTGAAAGTACTATAGGTTTTGGTATCGGTAAACTAATTAATTTAGGATTGTTTTGATTGATTAGATTTGACTGATCATTTGAGTTTAATAGATAAGGGCAAATATTTCCATTAGACAAATAGGTTAGTAAATATATTAAGGAATTTCCAACAGATTCATTATTCTAAGTAATGAAAAAAAATTAAAAACAAATAACAATAAAAATTAATTTAAACCAAGTGTGAAAAGAAAGACACTAGTCTTTATTGTAGTAGTAAAAGCTATTTAATCATCTATTTAGCAAGATACATCCGATTAAACAAGTTTGAAGATCAAATTACTAGTACAAACTCTTATTAATTTCTAAACAAGATCATAAATGTATACCGTGAGCCCAATGTACATGTTGAATAGATAGAAAATGAATAGTTGATTACTAACATTTAACTAAGTAGAGCAGGGAATTCAATTGTGAATCTTTATGCTGATATACAAAGTACACGAGGACGAATAATAATAATAATAATAATAATAATAATAATAATAATAATAATAATAATATGCTCAGAACTTACTGTATTCTGAAGAACTCCAACATCCATACTCATAGCACAACCATCAGCTGGTAATTCAATACTCATTACAACTTGAGGTAAACTCCCAGCAGCTGTAGGTAGTTTTAAAACAATTACCTCTTCACCGACACATGCCAATGTAACAATGACATGGTTAGGCCCAATAAAACGAAAACAATATTGTACTTTGTTATGATCCATATGACTATTAAGATTACCAATTGCGACAGCAGATGGTTCCGGAGATTTCGACTAGCAACAGAGAAAAAAATATGAAAATAAGGCCGGTGACATATTAGTTATTTGAGAAAAACTTTTAAACAAACCCATTCACCACGTATGTAGGTATAAAGCATATTCTAAATGTGAGGAGTAATGTAACTACTTAAACCGAAGTAGATGGACCGCGATCCAAACTTATTGACTTATTGATAGAAATTTGAACCCCTTACCCCTGAGTCGCTGAACTGAAATAATAAGGCTGTCAGTTAATTATCTAGATATAGGATCAGTCTGACCATGATGAACTATTCTTTTACTAGCAGTAAATTGAACTTCTTTATAAGTATTATAAGCAAAGATGGATAGTGGCTAGCAGTGGAATCCAGGACGCGCGTTTCATTCTATTTTGGACTCGTCAGCTGGATGTACCTGCATCTGAGTTGATGTTCACTCTGGGACCCGAACCCAGTACCGTCCGCTTCAAACGACATCGCGTTATCCACTCAGCTACTAAGTCCTGATAGCCACCTGTTAGTACAATGAGGTGAACACTGATCAATTGTAGTCCTAAATAACAATGGGAAGATACAAGTAAACAACATCAAGTGAATTTCTTTATAAGTATTTCTATTTTTCTTAATTATTAATATTGTTTTACAATTTTCAGTGTTATTTGATGATGGATTTTCTGGTTTTGTACAATTTACTATATTTACTGCAGAAGTATTTGAAAAATCGTATACGTCATGTGAAATCGAATTTGTGTAGCGCTGATGGATGGCTGTACCACCACGATATGTTTTCACATTCACCAATGAGTATCTAAGAATTCTTGGAGTGTAATTTGATCAACAAGCTAAGCTATCCTTCGTAATCATTAGGCCTAGGCCCATTGTGATATTTTTTGTTCCTGAAATGTAAAACAGTAGCGTGGGATAGGTCGTACCGGGGTGATTCGGACAATAATATGTGATATGACTAGACAGTTAAGAAGTTCAAAGTTCGATAAATCCAAAGGATATTTTGACTAATTAAAACCAATATGGGACAAGTGTATTGGAGAGCAGTTGTATTTTAAAGAGATGATATCTGTAACATAGATTTCGTAAAAAATTGATTTTTGTAACTTTGGTTGACATATCTGCTGAACAGACTATATCATAACAATTATTAATTGAAAAAAGCAGAATGTAAACAAATACAATTTCTTTAACGTATTACTTACGGTTGTACTAATATATAAAATATTTGTTAAGCAATCTGAATTCATTTCATTTACAGATTGTTTAATAGCCAATAGATAATTATATGAAGATGTCCATAATAGATCTACTGGTAAACTATTCTTCCAATCTGGAATAAAAATTTTGTATTCTCATTAAGGAAATTTAATTTAAAAGTACAACAGTAATGTGCAAGTTCACCTGTTATTAATATTGTTATTATACAATTTTGGTTAGGTTTAACAAGTGAACGTAAACATAATCTAATTACAATAAGGAACATGTATTAGTTTGTGAACTAGTGTTATGGAAGGACACTTACTAGTATGAGAAAACTATTAAAACAGTATAATTTTCAATCATGGGCTGAATTGAATGTAGTTTACTTTGAATATAGAGCTAAAATAAACAACATACCGCGTGTAGTTTATATTACTGACTGAACCTTATGGTATGTCCCGATAAGAATAATGAATGGTACCTTTGAGATCTATTTATGAACCAATATTATGCATATATGTTTTTATCGTATAATTACTAAGTAACTAAACTACTTGTATTCATGTTCCCTTTATCATGAGCTTTATTTTGAACTATAAACTATCATTATACGATTTACTATTCTTGAGTTATCCCTAGTCTATTAATTACTGCCTCCCACATTCACAGCCACATTTGGCTGAATCTTGTACAAACGTTATTTTTTATTTTATTGGTACGATGCGGTCACTCTGTTTGGTATATAAACTCAGTATGTTTGAAATATAATGATTCATACCACAGAGGCTGTTATTGGTTTTCTGGACTTAACTGGTTGGGCTAGGCAGAAGCAGGACCGATAAGTACTCTAGAATGCTCGTACGGTTTTCGTGTGTCACTGTTCATATCGGCAATTCGCTGCTCACTGATTGGCGGTTTTATAACGTCATAAATTAACTGGCCATCCACTCAGCCACAAGTTATGACACCTAGACAACCAATGAAGGCCAGGAAGCACTAGACAGTTGTTTCATCCCAGCATGCGGCTCATCAGAAGTAAATATAACCAAATGTTTCTCCTATTACTTACCATGATTTGATTCAAACAGCTGACCAAGTGGAACAATGCGCTTTTGTTGTAGTTGTGGGTCTACTTGTAAAATTAAAGGACCTTGCATAATTCCATTTGCAGTGGACAGAGAACCATTTAAACAAATAGCAAGTTGTTTCCCTTTTGGACTCCAAGACACTGAACAAAACCCCAAATAGAATAAGAAAAGGAAACAGAAAGATTCGAAACAATAAACACTAACTGGAGCATCGTAGGTCATAATTTTACTATTCGATTCTAGTCGACATAATACACAGTTACATTGCATTTCTTACTACATTACATAACAGATAGAGTTTATTAGTAACAGTAATTCTTAATTTCACAACAATAATTTAAACACGTGTTTTTAAACAGATTTGGATGGTGGATAACAGTGGAATCTAGGACGGAAGTTTCGTCCTAATTGGGACAAGTTAGGCAGATGTACCTGGATCTATGTCAATGTTCACACTAAGATTTAAAACCAGTACATTTCGCTTTAAGCCCCCAATGTATTATCCATTTATTTACTAGATCTAAATAGCAACTGACCTATAAAATAGGATGAATTTAATTTATTTGTATTGGTTGTTTGAATTTTTCCGCCGCTATTTTGAACTATGATTGACCAGTTTCTTTTAACATACGTGTATATCGAGACTTCGCACAGGATGCACACATGACAAAATACTCATCAAATGTAGTTCAATGCATCGACGGGAAGATTCCAACAACCAATACAAGCGAGTCCGCGTATTCACATACAAGTAAATGCTTACACCATTACTACTTCGAAAATTTCTGTCTGGAGCAAGAACTGAATTTATAAACTACTAGTTGAAATCAGCGTCTGGATCGATGAGCTATTCCGAATAAACAAAACTCCCAAGTTTAAAAAAGTAACAAAATGACGAAATACTCGATCACGTACGTTAGCAAAACACAGTTTTCAAGTTCAGAGTAAATAAAAAATTCTCAAACATGACAAGATTTAGGTAAAACTAACATACTCAAAAATTAATGCTTAATGTAACCTATTTATCAAGTACAAATTTGTGTAATCAAGTTTAAGCCATATAACCAGTGACATCAATGAACTGCACAGACCGAAGTAGATAGGGAGAAGTTTAAACCTGTTGCTTCTTTTATGTGCATATTCATCAAGATCTTGAAACCAATGAACCTATAGCATAGAACTCCACCATTTTTCTATTGCATCCAAGTAGATATGCTACTTTTCCTTATTCTTTCTCACTAAATAATAAAACCGCCAATGGATGTCGGTATGACAAACGGAGACTAAACCATGTGATAGCCACATAGTATGAGAGCCACGATTCATATATATTTTACTTTCAAACATTTTAACTCACTAAAGGAAAGTAAAAACTAGCATTCTACAACAATATCCACTAAATTCTCTCGATAAAAGTATTTTAAAATTTTAAGACTGAATAATATTGGGAATCATTTTTATTAGCATTTAAAAGAGCTACCTTATAATCATTATAAGTATATTTGTGAAACTTAGCAACTAAATGAAAAGGTCCGAATACTTGGCTGAACCTTAATGAAATCCATGATGTCTAATAATACATCTTGACAGTTGACATTGTAATTCATATAACTACTTCTATGAATTCGGTGTTCATCTTGTTGTGCTAATATGATGTGGCAACTTGGACCGATGCATATATATGCCTGGTTCAACGTTGTAACTGACTAACCAGAAAGATATACTTAGTTTATAAGGTATAAAATTGTTACTTCCAAAGGAGTTGGAGTGACATAAAGGAATAAAATGAACTTACCACATCGACAATCTGCAGTTGCTGGCAATTGACCAACAAGAGTGATTGATCTACTTCCATCGGGTGGAAAGTTAAAAAGGCGAACTGCACCCGAATCAAGAACAACAACAAAAGTAGTCGGATCAGTTGGACTCCAAGCAAAGTCACGTAATCCATACAGACTGGTTTCTCCACCACAAACGCGGACGGGACGGCTAATATTTGACAAATCAGTCGATCCAGACTAAATTGGGAGGAATAAACAGGTGAAATAAACAGTCAGTAGTAGAGCCCATTAACTACTGGTTGAAGGCTGAATACCTAAACTAATGAAGCACGGTCTCATATCACTTATGCCAACTCATAACGAGGTTAGACCAATGATAAACCCTACCATTTTTTTCATCACAATAAAAAGGTTTTTTATTCATTAAGGTCTCCAAATGCCCTGATACGATCGAGGGTGGAAGGTTCGCTATCCCTCTCGAAATGCCTTCATATGACTACGCACATATACCCACTGCCAGGGAATTACTACTCACTGCTTTCTCGTGGTGAGGGTATCGTTTACAAAACTGATATGACGGGAATTGGATGTTTGGAGCTCGGAGTGGGTTGATGAGTACGAAGCATCTATCCAAGGGAGTTCGAAAACCTTGATTCCAAACCAATGGTGTACACAGGAACAAATGGAGTATGAACTCGTCATTGGTCAACGGCTATCATGGGACTACATCTGACGTTGCTACACTGCCTTGAGGGTTAGACTTATAGGTCAAAAGCTCGGGGAATAGTCCCATAATAAAACTGTCTGCTGTGGTTTGAGGACCCGGGCAGTATCCCAGCCCACACAAATTTGATTTGTGGTGCATATATATTTTGGTGCCTCTTCGTACCAATGTTTGTCTGTTTACATAGATAGATAGATAAATAAATAAAACTAGTAAATGTTCATAAACAAGCATTATTTTTATGAATTTATTCTAAGTAATATTAGATTGTTTACAAACCTATCTTGTATTACGAAGATAAAGGAAAGAAAAGCGGTCAAAAATTAACAAACGCAATACAGACAGTTACCTTCACAAGATCAACTACATTAAGCAAATTTGCAAATGTCCCACGACTTTCGCTGGACGTCAAAACAGCCAATATCAAACCATCGCAATTAAAAGCAGTCCAGATTATAGGATCAACCGACGAAACAACAATATTCGGTGTATGGTCAGGAAGCGGTTTATCTCTTCGAAGTTTACAGATTCCAGTAGCTTCCAGATAATGTTTCGTATCATACAAAAGGAGACCTAAAGTTTTCGGTGAAAAGATATGCGAGGTTAATTTAGATGAAACTGATAAGCTCGTAAGTCATGATCAATATTAGGCCATTGACTAATCCCGTGAACATATTTACTGAGATCGAATAATTTTAATACACAGGACCCATCCAAAATCTAACGGCTGGGCAAAAACATTCGGTTACAGACATCTTAGGTAGTATTACATAACCCATAAGTAAATGATGAAAATACAACTCGCGACCAAAATGAAGGGTTCAAACTTGTGATTAACAACCTGAAACCTGCAAGCCCTGATAATTAAGCTAATGTCACACTGTAAAACTCGGTGAGGACAAAGTTTGGCTAAGTGTGAGCAGTAAGGCAAAAATAAAGGGTGTCTCAGACCATGTCAGTCAAAACGAAACAACTGTCGTAAACATGTTGCTACTCGTTATTAACGGCTACATATCGGTCCCCATAGTCTTACGCCAAACACAAGGAGGTAAGTCAAGAGCGATGAAGCAGCAAGCTTATCTGAAAACCACAACAAATTTTATCGCATAATTATTTTCTTTTACTGATGATGCAGGTCATACACTTACCCAGATCGGACACACAAACAAAACACCCATGGGGACATATGGAAACGAGAGAACTCCGTTCTGGGAAGGCTAATGCACCACAATGGAATTGGTGCAGTTGTTTATACACTATTTCACTCATCAGGATGTTAGCTTCAAGGTAGTGCGAAGAAACGAATCAAGCGCCTCTTAACTACTATAATTACAGAAATCTTGAACACAAAACAAAATATCTTCTCCGGATAGTAACCCTGTTTTTATTCAATATGTTCTGCTTATCAGCCTCTGTTATACACAATACGCTGCTTGCTGCTTCCATTATACTGTTCCATTATCTTCCTGAGTTCAGAACATATCATATTATTGGCCCTTATGTCAAAACACTGTAGTCATAAGAATACTGACATATTGGATGAACTACCCTGATAGTTGTTTTCAGCAATTTCAGCAAAGATTTTTGCCGACAGAATTATGTTCTATCCTCAATGTTGTTATTTTGTCATCCATTGTCAGGAACATTCAGTTTTTGAGTGTAATTCAACCAGCTTTTCCTTTTGTGTATAAATATATACACTTCTATCGGTCGGCAAGTATTAGGCTCGCTAACTTGTTCAGAGACAATAAAAAAAGTTTACTCGGGAAGAAAATTGTTGCTATACAATTCATAGCCGTTATTGAGTCACCTCTAATTCTTCTATATGGAAATGAGAATGGATTTAGTCTAGTTAGTATCTCATCATACGGCTGCACAGAGATTCTAGAAACCAGTTGAGTTCTTATACTCCAAACCTCTTCTAACAGCTCTTCATCTTTTCAGATACAGTTCTCCAGTTACATCCGTCAAATACTTTATACTAAGTCAAGAATGTCCTAACATCTGTGTGGTTAAATGATCTAAGTAACGGCCAGACTACTAAAACTGTCAGCAGCATAAACACAACAGTGCATCGTATTTCCAAGTCCTGGCTAACACCGTCAGCAAAACCGATGATTGCCTGTAAACTGCGAACTTCAACACTGTTCTCCGTGTATTTATTTATACCATGATGACTAATATAAATCATAATCATAATGGAAACCTTGATAGGCAGTTGTCGATTTCTGGGCCGCTTGTATAATTTCTTAAACTCCAACCGACTGCTCTCGTGTTTTATTACTCTTCATAATTTCGTATCATTGCCAAATACCTTTACACTTTGATGAAAAACATCAGCGAAATAGTTTTCCAATGAATTCTGCGTATCAAATTCTGAGTATCAATCACGCTCAGTTTCCTCTGACATGAGAAATCAAAAACAAACCGGTTGACAGTAGTATAAGTGTAAAAAAGCATAGTTAAGAATAAAATTCCATATTACTGACGAAGTTAAAGTAAAATTCAAGTCATCTGAAATATTCTGCTAATGGCGTTGTGACTATAGCTTAATATTGACGATTCCATCGGTTACTGACTCTGACCACTTAGCTAACCTTGGAAACTTTAAGAATTAAGTGATTTATTGTAGGTTCGTCATGTTAGTCAAGTATGTTTCAAAATCTTTTATCAATACATTCGATCGATTTTCAATAGTGTTCATTCATAGGTATTTTACTGACCACTGGATTCCTCTCGTCGATTTCCAGTCAGTTACAGCCAGACATGATAGTTGTCATTCACCCAAGTTGTGAGTTGTTAACGTGTCTTAACTTAAGACTAACGGTGTAATATTTGATACTTTTATTGCGTATTTTAGATCCATATGAAACTGTCATTATTCATTGTACTCACGATTTTGGCTCTCTTGGATTATTATCTACTTGAGCTCGTTTAGAATCTCATTGATTTTAGTTTGATTATAATTAAGAATGGGGCCGCTTCCATATTGGTTCGGTGCGTTATAATTTTTGCTGGTTGAATCGAATAAGCTGAACTACTGTATAATGGGGAAATAATATTTTTTGATTCTTGATGCTTCATTAATCAACAGGTAAGCAACTTGCATGAATATACAATACCCTCACTTGAAATTCATTCGCACATTAAAATTTTTTATCCCTTTATTTAGTGGTGTGAATTCGTTGGATAACTATTTAAGTTAGGCTAAGCGGCACCTATACTTTATTAACGTCGTCACTCGATCAAATAGAAGTCAGATCAACGAGTCACAAATGCGCAATACATTCACGCAATTTTCATGCTTCACGCTTGTTATATCCCGACGAGTATAATGGAAGGCAACTGTATGGACCTATTTATGGACTAATATTGTGCGAATGTTCATATTGTATGATAATTAAGTAACTATATTGTATGCATATTCATACTTCCAACATTATAAGCTGTCATTTGCCCTATTGACTATTATCATACGATCTACTATTCTTCAGATGTTTTCAATTTATTGGCGATGGTTTCTCACAATCACAGCCACTTTGGGTTTGTTCTTGCACAAATGTTTTCAATTTTATGGTGTGATCAATATGGTGTGACCAAAGTATAGGATAATAAAAACACATGACTGAGTAAGAATTGCACGATTGATGGCCAGAAATGTCTGGTAAAGTAGGCTGAATAAAAGAAAAACTGGTGTGTCAAATGCCACCATTTGTACTCTCCTTCAATAATATATCAGCGGTTAGTGGTAATATGATATTCATATGTATTGATGATTTTTTCTTACATTAATCTGCGTTTATCACGAATCCCGAACACAATATGTCCAGGTGTGCTCATCAACTTCTCTCTGTCTTAAATCAAACTATTGTGGAAATTGCTAGTTAGTGTATCAATTTGAATACTTCCAATTATCATAGACAGCCTTGTGCATTCTTTCCAATATGACGCGATAAGACAAGTTCCGCCGAAAATAACTTTCGGTACATTTTTGTCAAATACTGTGCAGATGTAGTAAAAGTGCCAGATTTTGACGTCTACCGAGAAGAAGCTGTTTACAAAGATACTTGTTAAGAACCACGGTAACTACAATTTAGCAGAGGCAAAGGCTAAAAATCATCTCTCTCACCACCCCAAATATATAATTCAAAAGACAAAATAACCACCTACTACCATTTAAATGCTAAGATGTAACTCAAGCTGTGTGGAATAAAGAGACCACAGATACACGGAATTCGACAACATTGCAAGATCCATTTTGAAGGTTTCGTGTGTGAAAATCCCTCCATGCATACGTTTGCAACTTCTTAATAGTTGCACATTCTTGTTAATCTTTGTGATGCCAATTGAGTTTCTAATGTTTCATTTCATAACAGTTTTATCATTCTCTCTTTCACCTTCTCTTAGCTTCTATGTTTCTTTCTGAACTGCATCTACGTTGTTCTAGTTGATATTTAATCTTGCTGGCAGCAATATTGATTATTCCGTCTTTGATTGTGCTGCTTGATTTGACTGGGATCGTGCATTTTTGTTGTGAATTGGAGCACTTTCCCAGAATTTGAAACGCTTTGTGTTATAAAGTAACATATTGAGCGTATTTTTTACTTGCTCTATCCAGAAAGGATAGAATGACCTTTATTTTTTGGAGCGCTCGGTAACTTTCTTATATTTCCTATCACTTAGCCATTCATTGCAATTTATATCGATTATTGTGGGAACAATTATTGGTTGAATAACTGAGACGTTGACGGATGCCTGAAGAGACATCACTCCCTGTTGCATAAAGATTCGTCAAAGAACAGATCAGAAGATAAACTGGCTACGATAAACTATTGTGGACAAGATAGGCCAGTGGACAGTCATGTGTGTCTCAGAATGATCTTCGTGCGGTTGAGAAACCTGGATCGCTGAAGTTGTAGGGTACGCACTTTCGGATAATGTTTCTGACGTAACATTGATCAGGTCAGAATGTTTGAAGTTGCTCGAGCTAAATGAGGAACAGTCGTCAGTGGTAGTACAAACTGTGAGCAGTAATTGGGTTACAAAAACACATTTTGAAGTGTACTCTTTAGATTAATCTGAGCACGTTAAGAATGAAGGATACCTGGTAGTGTCGCAAATACCTGGGCATAGGCCGACGAAATCAGTTATGAGCAGCCTAGTCAAGTGACCGCATTCGAGTGATGTACCCTTAGAGGTTATAGATTCTGCGGAAGTTGCATTGTTGATTGGTTGTGATGTTCATTGGGTACTCGATCACCGGTTGGGTGGAAGAAAAAATCCGTACGCAGTGAAAACATTGCTCGGGCGGACCGTATTTGGACCTGCATCATTTTCGGGATTGAATAAAAGAGTCAGTAATTGTATGAGTAAATTGCAGTCATTAGAAGAGCAATTCCGTAAGCTTTATAATGTAGAGTTCTCTGATGTATATTCAAGCGATAAATCGCCGTCAGTAGAGGATTGAGCAGCAATAGAAATAGTGGAAAGGGGTAACTTCTTCTATGATGGTCACTTCGTAGTTCCAATACCATGGAAAATGAATCCAAACAAAAAAAACGGGAAACTATGAAGTAGCGGCCAGTAGATTACTCAGTTTGAAGCGCAGGTTGTTGAAGAATAGCAACCTACACACCAAATATATTAGAAGTATTGAAAGTAATCTTGCTAAAGGATATGCACGAAGGGTCCCTGAAATACAGTTGAGGTCAGATTATTTCCCTCCCTGGTATCTGACTCATCACGCAGTGATAAATCCGAAAAACCAGAGAAACTGAGGGTGGTGCTGCACTGTGCTGCTAAATTTACTGGGGTTTCACTGAATGATATGCTTTATCAAGGACCTGACACTACTGCAGAGCTAGTTTGTATATTATTACGATTTCGCAAGGAGGCAATTGCCATCTGTGCAGACGTTGAAGAAATGTTCATGCAAGTAAAGGTCCTCTAAGATTTCTATGGTGACAGGAGGCAGACATGTCGAAAGAACCATCAGAGTTTCAAATGGCCGCCCATCCATTCGGAGCAACGTCTTCGCCATTCTGTGCAAACAATGCCTTGATCAAGACCGCTCAATCATTCTCTGATGGATATGATAGCTACGTCGTGGAGGCGGTTAGGAACAATTTCTATGTGGATGATTGCTTGGTATCTTTTTCTACTTGTGATCAAGCAAAGAACTTTGTTAATCAAGTAAGTGAATTACTGTGTAAAGGCGGTTTTACATTAAAGAAATGGATAACCAATTCGGAAGAAGTTAAGTCCGTTTTGCCTGGGGTATGCAAGGAAGGGCCTGTGATGGAAATGTCTGAAAATTGTGATGTCATTCATCGTACCTTGAGGGGTACAATGGGATTGTGAAAAAGATGTTTTTCAGTTTTACTTTGACGCACCGGAAAGGCCGTTAACTAGGAGAGGTATTCTATCTGTGGCATCTTCTGTATTTGATCCTTTTGGGGCTAATTTCTCCAGTCTGTCTCACCGTCAAACTTCTGCTGCAAGGGTTATGTAAGTCCCAAATAGCCGATCAGTGAGCCTTATATGTCGATTTGGCTAAACTGGGTGAACTTTATGCGACAGATAGGTCACGTTATAATACCTCAAGGGATCAAGAATAAATTAGACGAACCTAACACACGCGCGGAATTGCATTTGTTTAGTGTTACTTTCGAGATTGATTATGGAGCAGTAGCTCATACACGAGTCAGTTATTTGAACGAACCGCCGTGTTGTATTTTGCTGTACAGCAAGTTCAGGGTAGCACCTATCAAACTAATTACTGTACCGAGGCTTGAGATAGCGTCAACGGTTTTAAGCGTAGGGTTAAGTGAACTCCTACAAAGAAGCTTACCCAATTACTTCCGCGAAGTGAATTTTCATACTGATTCTATGATACTGTTGTATTACATCAAAAATACAGAAAACTGATATAGTACCTATATTTCTAATCGTCTCGCTATCTTACATCAGTATACAAAAATTGAGCAATGGACTTATGTCAAATTTTCAGAGAACCCAGCTGATTGAACGTCGAGAGGTATACAAAAATTGGCCGATCTTGAATTGTGAAGTAAATGCCCTACTTTACTGCATTCCGATTTTGGTAAAGCTATTGCCGACTGTCCACAAACCATTCCTGGCAATATTGAGTTCAGAAAAACTACTGTGGTTAATTAGAGTAGAGTGAATTATGACAAGTTTCCTGTTATTTCTTATTACTCAGACTGGTTAAAATTAGTTAGGGCAGTAGCTTGGCTGAGAAGGTTCCGATTAGTTACTCGTTATAACAATGTGTGCAGGACGAGTAGGCGTATTGTTGTAAGTCCTACCCGTTCTTTTATTATGGAATATGCGATTCGGTGAACCATGGCAGAAAGGGCATCAGAATAGCTTGTGCAGTATGGAGGGATTTTTGGGGCCGGTGTTAGATCCATTTTGCAAGTGAAAATCCCTCCATGCATACATTTGTGATTTCTTCCTTGTGGTTTCTTTATTTGTATATACTGTTCACTTTTTTGATGCTAATTAAGACTGTACCGTTTAATTTTATTGGTTTTTCTATCGTTTTTTATTGAGTCTCTATGTTCCTTACTGAACTGTATTTAGTTTGTTTTAATTATTATTGTTCTGGCGGCTGCCATATTGACTGCTCGCTCTTTGATTTTGACTGGGATCGTGCATTTTTGGTTGTAAATTGGAGCACATTCCTAGAACTTGAAATACTTTGTGTTATAAAACAGCAACTCAAACGGAATGTTACTTGGTCTATCTAGAAAGGATAGAATAACACTTACCTTTTGGTGTTTTCGGTAATTTTCATATATTTCTTACCACTTTGCTATTCATTGTAATTTTGATTGAATATTTTGGTTGAATAACCGGGTGGTAATATTTGTTTAGGTAAATTTGTATATATGATTAAATTTAAAACCGTTGTTAACCAAAACACTTTGTACTGATTTTGATCGGGTCACGAGTCTATAAACCTATTCCCCCGTTATTCGGCCACATCCGAACCTATTGGAATCTAGGTTTGGATCTTACACTTACCAACTTCAGACATCTGGGTTCATACGGGGTCAAACAAAGCGTTTATGTATATCTATTCTTTACTCGAATTAAGGGGTGTGATAGAGAATGAGGGTGTTGATATACCAGTTTCCGATACCCTTCAGATACGAAAGGGCGACTACTACCTGAGGAAACATCATTAACAATGGGGAAGATCGATAAAAATGAAAATCTTCATATCTTTAATATGGCGTTAGCATTGAAGATGAGGGATTCTTAGGGATATGATATCTATTATTTGTAAGCTCTCCAGTAGTCCGGACATATATATGTTATAAGATATGTCAATACTGATTTTACAATCTGATTTTTATTTTCTTCATTTATCTGAAGGTAACCCTTTAAGTGTAGATTTGCATTCACTCCACATTTGGTTACTAATAAACTAAAAACAACTGCTCTTACTTAATAGTTGCAACAAGTAACGTTGACTTTGAAGTATATCTATACTATAACCATAGTTTGTGAAAAAGATGGACCATACATTTTTTTAAAATGCTCCCCATTTTTTACTTTAATGAACCATGTAAAATTCTGAGCGTCTCACCTAAGCGAATATGCTCCAAATTAAACACTAAAATAATATTTGGAATTTTCCCCGAAAAAATGACATCGATTACCACTCATTACTGACCGAGTTATTACTTATCACGAGACTAAAGGTGTCGCACGTATTCGGAGTTTGACAACGCCCTTACAAGTAACACCTTTACAATCCAAGTATACCAACATAGTCAATTCAGAAATGAAGAGGTTTAGAGATATATTTGAAAGGCTATCGATATATCGGGAAGCGTTTAATGTAAGCTGGCTGACGGTTGTAAAAGATGTGTGGCACGGCGTACTCACTCGTGATCTGGTGAGGATCAGTGACTGAGCGCCTTCAGCCAGGTGAGTTCAGTAAAACTAATGAGGTCACCATAAATGTTGGGAACTCACAGGACTATTTATTTTAGGGATTAATATACTGCTACAGGACATTAGACAGTTGTAAGGTGGTGGTTGGACGCAGTCGACAGGGAACACTGGGGATAGGTTTTATGTTATTCGGTGATCGTCAGTAAGGTGAACCTGCGACTTTGGGAGAACTGGTGTTCCCTGGGAGATAAATCGATGGAATTAGCCATGCACTAAAGACCTGACACACATTATATAGGTCATTACTCAGTGACCAATCGTACATATTAGACAGTCCTTTGCAGACACCAGTTGCGTAAAGTAAGACACCACAGTCACTTGTATAGGAATAAATACGTCAACTAGTTGTGGAATCCATATCTGTTATTATGCATTCAACGCAAGAATGTATTTACTGTGCTGACCTAAAAACAGATTACTACTCTTACAATTTAAGCGAAATACAACAAACTTTGAAAACTATAAATCAAAAGACTTGAAAATTTTTATCAATAAATCAATGTATATAAAATCTCTTCCTCCTACAAAAGTAAACTAAATGTTTTCATAGGAAGCATTAATGTTACAGAAAAGAAAACAACGTGTCAACAGAATAACTATGGTCACATATTTACAACATTCAGAATTTTAACGGAACTGTCTTGTGAAAAATGTTCAACTTTAATTGAACTCTTTGCACTCAAATTGGTAGGTTGGTTTTGTTACAAAACTTCGTTAATCTTTTGCATCACCTATACCGTCGGCAAGAATAGCGTACATAGCTTCAGCTTCCGGTAAACAAGGACTGTCATATATTTTACAGATTCTAGTTTCTCCACGACCTTTTCTGAGATATAATCTGAAAAGAGGTTGCATTTTTTTCGAAAGAAATAATTGTACATATGATGAACAGTAATACAAAAATTGTAGGTACCAATGCCAAATTTTGACTTGATAGTTTCAAATAAACTGAACATTGGATAGAAAGTTAATATTAAATATATTTTTGTCATATCCCGATCAGTAGAAAATTTGTATTTCTGATGTTTCGTGACTTAATGTAGGCCACTTCATTTATTTACTCTGAAGACGTGACTTACATTGAGCCACAAAACGTCGTAAATATGATTTTTCTACTCACTGGGATGTTACAAAAATGTGTTTATTATTATTGATACAACAGTAAGAAAACTTTTAAACCGATTGGCGTTAAAACATCATAAATGACTGAGATGGCTACATTATAATGTGCAAAACGGACGGATACCTGAACAAGGCGGTTACTAAAAAAGGGAATTGAATGACTGAATATGGTGTGAAGGTAAACAAAGCATTTACGTATAAAAATATGACAATCAAGTTACTTATCAGATGACAGACTACTGACTAAAAGTGCAAATGACGATCATGCAATTAGCCAATGAATTTACAACTTCATTCTCTATTATCAACAAACGACGCACCATACACAGATTTTCATTAATTGAAGCATATCATATTCAACAACAAAGCTAATTTATAAATCTTGTTGTTACGTAGCATGTGAGTCCATATGTAAGCGACTAATGTTAGCCAAGTATATTAGATAAATCGATACTAGAAAACTTGATAACACATTCTGTTTCGTCGATACTCGTTAACATCACTTCTACATGATTCGGAAAGAACAATAGTAACATAATATAGATTTTAACATGACCACAAGTTATAAAAGACCAAAAGTAAAAACAAAAACACTTATAAGTTAGATAAGAAACCTTAGAGCACCTTCTGAAATCGTTTATCCGCAATGATCGGTTGGAAATAATCCTATCAAACACGTTCGAACCATTCTTGTACTAAACGCGTACATTAATGTGTACAAAACCAATCTTCTTAAAACTAGCTATGAACTCTAAGAAGTGTAATAAAAAAAACTTGTTCTCGGTATTCCTCCACACATATTTGGGCCTAATGTCATATGGAAAAGGAATACAATCATAGAAAAATACTTGTTATTGATTTCTTTTAACGAAGCTTCTTCTATAATCATAGTTTAATGGCAATTATAATTATAATTTCAAAAATAACTCACTAGGTTTATAGTCTAAATTTATTTAGATGAAGGTGAACCTCATACTTAAAATGATCGTAAATAAGGTGACCATTAAGAAATAGTCAATCAGTATGTTGAAACTGGATTGTATTTATTTTTACATGGCAAATAATACAACTGTTAGACTCTACACACTTCGACTACCGTACTGAAATAACTACTAGATTTGTGGCCCATTCAAATAAAAAAAACAATTAAAAAGGCTGTTTATAAACTTTTTCTTACGTATAGATAGAAAAGTTTTTAAGTACTATGTTATAAATGTCAAAATAATGGCCAACCAATCTGAAATCAGTCAATCGCTAGTAACTGTTTAGTAGAGTAACCATCCATCTTAATAATTATATGGTAGATTTGAAAAAAAATTTAGTAATTTTCATGACTAACCGAGTAGTTGAAGCATGACCCATTATATTTCCACCAATAGGTTTCTTAGGATCAGCAGAGAACATAGCAGCACCGTCAACTTGAGCGACTACCTGATTAGTAATAACCACAGCCACACCAAATTCATCAGCCAGTCGTAATAATGTACGCAAAAATCTAGCCAAATGCATTTGACGTGCTGACAGTTCTCCACGACCAGAATAATCAGTACGATAAAGAGCTGTGGCGCTATCAACAATTAATAACGCATATCTAAAATAATTGTTGAAAATAAAACATACGGGAATGAAACAATGTTTGACACTATTAACAGAATATTATTAGACAACAGTAAAAAATCTCAACTACAAAACAAATTATTCGTCATAAGTACAATACAATAGGGAACTGATCACTGTAAACTTGTGGTTTGTTAAAAAGTTAAAAATACAAATTTACGAGGAAACAAGTGACTTTAAGTTTTGCTCTAGTCAAACTGATAATGTGACCAATATGGGCACACACTGTGATTTTATATATTGATAAAAAAAAATTGCGGTTTGATTGGTAAGTCGCATTTATAACTTTTATCTGTATAATCTAACTCATCTATTCTCATGTATACACAAAAAATATTATTACGTAAGTGTCAATTTCTCACTAACTATTCATCAGCAGTACTCATAACTACCCAAATATACAAATTTCTCGGCTACTATTAACGGAATAACACAAAGACCGAGTGTAAGCACAAGCTTTTCTCAGTCTTGCAGGAGTACTGTGCATTGAAGGGTAAAAAGTAAATCCCATAATTACAGACACTAATTTCAAACTGATTTAATGCAATTTAAACAGACTGTGTATCATCGTACAGTAAGACAATGTCATCTCTGTAAAGTTGAAGAAGGATGGTGAGATTGGATAACCCAAACTGCTACAAGACAGTTAGTGTAACTATTTCGAATCTCTGTACGATATATGAGCTAACACATACGCGCAAATAAAAATAAGCAATATAGAATAAAAACAATATGACATTTAGGTGTTGGAAGTTTTGAAATAAGTCAATATATGTAACATGCAAGTAAAAGAGAATGTAAACGATAAATAATCGTGAGAAAGCAAGTGAGATGCTATTTGGTTGTTCAAGCTGTTATACCTGAACGAAGAATAAATGAATGGTGATTGCTAGGAATTTTTTATGGATCACTATTCAATATATTCATATTTCTTCTATAATAAGCTTTCACTTAACTTATCGGTCATTGTTATAGGATTTATCACTCCCAACTCATTCCCAATTTATCAGTTACATTATCCCACACTCAGCCACTTCTGGCTTGATTTTGTGTGATTATTACTTTTCTTTTTATGTGATGCGGCCTGGTCTGATTGCATATAAGCTACGTCTGTCTGAAATATATTATTTCGTACAATAAGGGAGGGCATTGTGTTCTGGACTGAACCGGGCTGGATTAGGCGAGAAGCTACTATGTAAAGGGCTCAGAGATGATTCAGGGTTGGTCGTGCTGGTTAACGAGTAATTAGTTTAGCACAGGGATAAGGTTATATAAGTCGGTATTCTAGTTGGCGATTTTGCCACGTGAAATAGGACAAAACACAAGTAAAACTAAATGAAATCCTATTCACTAATTCAAATTAGGGACATTTAAGATTTTAGTCCAAACTTCTTGTTGGGTTTGTCTAACGACTCGAAAATCCAAAGCATGTAGAAATTTTCCGTAATATGGATAATATGGTTTTCAGAAGAACATGGTTATCTGGAAGCACAATGAAAACACGACAAATTTAAAAGAAACACCAGTATCGAGAATATGAAAATTGTCAATTTTAGAAACCTGATTCCAACTAATTTTCCTATAAACTCGTTGAAATGGAGAAAAAAACACATGGAGCGAGGGGGTAAGTTATTATTATGGTACAAAATAACAAGGTTTTAAATAGTGAGATTAATAAGCAGAGATAGATGTTGTTTATAGTGGAATATTAGACGCGCGTCTCGTCCTACCTGGGAATTGTGAGATGGATGTACCTACATCCAAGAGTTGTTCACTTCGAGACTCAAACCCAGTACCGTTTGCTTCGAACGTCATCGCGTTATCTACTTAGCTATTGAGTCCAGATAGCCACTGGTTTGCGCAATTGAGTAAAGTTTAATTTATTTTTTATTGGCTGTTTGAAACTTCCTATTGGCGTTTAGGATAGCAACTGATCAATCTTTTTTCAACATATGTAAATTGTGTGGATTGCCTTAATACGGCATTGTGACCAAAGTTGGATAGTGAATATTATGAAATCTGGGATGCAGGTACATCCAGCTGACGAGTCCCAAATAGGATGAACGTGAGTCCTGGATTCCACTGTTAGCTACCATTCATAATGCTTGTGACTTAGAACAATATAGAACCAATCTACACAGGATACATATATCCTAATAAGAGAATGATCTATTACAGTCCTAAAAGTCAATGGAAAGATTCAAACAACCAATACAAAAATAGTGAGAATAGTTTGTAAGCACCTGTAATATGATCCTGATTATCTTAGCAGAAAAGTCCAAGTTGCATGCTAGTAAAAACATTAAATAGTTAAATGATAAACAGCCATTAAACTAAACTTTATAATGGTATTCATGTTGCTAGTTACATCTTTACTCCTTACTATACCATAAATGACTTTATCAACACTTTAAGCTAGGAAACACCTTACCTTGACTCACTCATCATAGCCGCTGCGTTAATAAGTAATTCCATTTGGTGATCAGTATTATAGGCTCTTGCATAAGCCACATTGTCTAGGACATCGCTACCAGATAAACCATATCTTTCTGCAACTGCTAGCAAACGTTCAGGACGAAAAGTGCCTTCCGTATCAATATATAAACATTTCCCCTCACCACCACCCATATCAATGGGTAACTAGTAACAGAAAAAGAAAAACACAGCTGACTGAATAAAAGCGCTATACAACCACTCCTCATCTTGAAGCAGGACATATGCTGGAGTAGGAACAAGTTAAAAGAAAACTAGGAATGATTAAGCTAAAATGTGGCATTAATTCATAAGGCCCCTGATCATTAGTCTGGGCCATATTTCAGATGTTTGGTAGCATGGTCTACATTTAGTTGTAATGGCTTAGATGCATTCAACCGGTCTTCTCTAAGACCCAGAGTTTGAATTTTTTATATATTTTATTGTGCTAGTTATCGATTCTTATCCACTATGTCTAGTCATTTTTACTAACACTGATACTACAACTATTTTGCCATTTCAGTATTCCCGTTGATAACTTCGTATCAATGTTCCAGTGTGGTGTGTGACAACTTGGGCCGATGCACATGTCCCAGGCTCTATACTATTTATGATTGACTCACCGTATAGTATACTACCATTTCAATAAGACGTAAGCGACAGTATATACTGCGGTTACACGAAGTTTAATATCTGTAACTGGCAACTTTGAGATCAGTTGAGTATTTTATTGATACAAGCTTTCCATTCGCAAATATTAATTCAACCACATTACGTCTTATCATACAACTCAGAGCACCAGACAGGCATGGATAAACTCTTAAGCTCTAGGACACTGATAATTCTAACTTTGTACGTGAACTCCCTAATTATCTGTTTATTTGAGAACATGAGATGCTACACAAGTAAAAATGGTCAAATTCAAACATTGTGTTGCGTAAATATTTTACAGTTATGTAAAAAAGCTGCCTTGTTACAGCACATCTGACAATAACTAATGAGAGGATGTACTTTGTACATAACTTGATGAATGCTAAGGAAACTTAGTATTCCTGTTCAAATGTTGTCTAGCATCACATTAGTGAAGTCAATCATACATAGCAACCACTTTAAATTATGAACATAAACACAGAAAACTCAAGAAATAGCATTTTGTATCCGAACTGGGAAACATTTCCTTCAGTCATTTACAACGTAGGATCAGGCACATATATGCATCGGTCCAAGTTGCCACACCACATTAGCACAACAAGATGAACACTGAATTCATAGTAGTTACTTTAATGGTAGAAATATATAAAAAAAAATAGGTTGCATATAAGAATATAATACAAAGAGAAAGAAGTAGTTCGTAGAAAAAAGGCATAAAGTAATTTTAATCTCACGGTTTGAGGGAAGACAAAGAGTGTATACAACTACGTCATTGCGATCGACTCTGAGCCATGTAACCCAGAGTTTCCGATAATTGTTTACGAAAGTCACGCGGACCCCAACCAAGTAATCTACATCTACCAACATGTCTCAGATTAGAAGTTAGTGACTTTATGGACTGATGCCACGTTTGGTTTGATTTCCCCCAACTTTCTTCCAACTGTCTCCAACACTAGTCAGCATTGCGCGTCGTGGTAATCGGTGTTCAGCATACATAACACGTGGCCCAACCATATCAGTCGGTGAAGAGTTACAACCCTACTATTACTTACCCGGTGATTCTAGCAGATGTTGGCAATATTTCTAAAACATCTGTGACCAAATAGTAGTACTTAGAAGTATCTTTTACTCTTAATAGCCAAGTTTCGCAGCCGTCAAGTGGAAGACAACGAACTGCTGTGCAATATACTCGTCCTTTAATTGATAGACGGTCTAACTTCCCTTTTTAAAGTAGGTATTTGAATCGAACTTCCAGATGAGTTTCTGGGAAATCAGTATGAAAATAAATGTTTCACCGAAATAAGAAGGTAATAAGCTTTTTAACGAGTAACATTTACTGCCGAGTTTGAATGGTAGCTTACTTGCCGACACTGATTTCCACCTTGCTAACGTCAATTTAGCAGTCGATAATGTTGGCTCTGAAACTGCATAAGTTTGAATGTTAAGAAAGTATTGAGTAAATTTATCATGTTATCAAGGATATTATTCGTCAAGGAGCAGTTTAGAGCTTACTCAGTAGTGATATTTGGAGTGACGATACTTGTTTGTAAAGAATGATGAATGTTCTGAACTTAATATTCCTATAAATCTACTGCTATAACTGATATGTTTTATAGTTCGATCTCAAAGAATTGTTTCATGTCAGAAACCTCTGACTAGAATAAACCACACGAAAAACAAAGTCTTTTTACCTGAAGATAACTGGAAATATCTGTAGTGAGTGTACCAACTATTTCAAAGACTGTAGCTTAGGTCTAAATACTATATCGTATCTAACATTGTTAACAGAGAACTCTGAATCTATAATGCTTGCTTAGTTTAGCCTTGGTCAATCCAAAAACAAACAATTGAAATGAAATATTTCATAAACAGTTTCTCAGAGGAAAGTGGTTTATTTAGGGAAGAATCAATGTATTACAACACAAAAAATTCAGTGAAATCTACCTTACCTGACAAGTTACGGCTAAAGTATGACATATTTGTGTTTTTCCAGTTCGGAACTCTCCAAACAACTCCGTGATTGATCCAGTTTCAATACCACCTACAGTGATAAGCAACTAATGTATCACCAATACCTTGTAACAGTTTATCTAACTCTTTGGAGCCAGTGGTTAACTGGATAATTTCCGACCGTTTTTGGTGAAATTCAGTGGCAGTTGTAAATCCAAACGGGACTAACTTTTGAGCAGCTTCCTGCAATGTAGTAAACGCCTAAATTATTTTTACTATAATTTTGTCAGCTTTAGCTTCGCTAATCCCTTTTACTGCCAGCAAAGTTTTCTTTGGAACAAACTGGATACTTTCAACAGTATGAAAGCCTGCCTCTCGAAGCTTTTTAACGTCAGCAGCAGCAATCCCAGCCGACTGAAAAAAAAAGCTGAAGCTTACGAAAAAATAACTTGTTAAACAAAATAACAGTCAATCAATTACGTGTAAACCTTTTTAAGGAATGTGATAATATTAATTGTTTAAACAATGACTTCGCCATGTTTTGCAGTTAACACGAAAATAAACGCCGTAGCTCCGAATTTTTTCAACAAAGACATGGACGGGAATGTTAAAGCTATCAATAATCTGATATTTCTTTGGCACTTGACAAAATGGGTCATCTAAGGTGTTAGCTGGATAGTCGACTGTTTATCAAAGTATAACTATAAAAAGGCTTTGCACTGTTACTCCATGGTTGTTACAAGATAATGAACAGTTGGCCATTATATAACACTCACTTCCAACTCAACCACTATAGCATTGCGATATTTTTAGCAGATGAAGAACAGGGTTTTGTGGCATTGATTGATGAGAAAAACAGACGATGTGCTGTTAGGAAATAAAAAGGCGAAATACGTCTAGCCGACTGAAGATTGTCTAGATACGACCCTATTATTGGGTTTTATTCACTGAATAATTTCTTTGTTAAGACCCACGCACTTTGAAGTGGAACGTCAACTAATTTAAATGAGTGCGACACCTGCAGTAGTTTTTTTCAGACGTTTATGTTCTAGAGCTGAGTACTTGGACGAATTTGTAAACCTTACGGACGAAAAACTTATGAACCTAACTCTGAGACGTGTACCGATTTAAATGATCCACAAATGCGGGGATTCTCCGAAAATTTATATTGGCTAGTTTCCATGGTAGGTATAAATACATAACCAGTCATTTAATGACATATGTAAAGGAGCTAATGCCTTCAAAAAATTTTGAGTTAATTGATTGCTTGCCACCAAGCAACTTTGAGAACTACAGCTTGCATATATTATAAGAAGGTGAATGTTAGTACGATAGCACTTAGCACTTACTACTGCAGTTGTTTTTTATCAATAGAAAAACTTACTTCTAACTTTTGTATAAGCAATGGACCACAATTTTCGTCATCTACTTGATCATCTACGGCACAATTAGACTCCTGAACAGCCATAGAGATTATCGTCTGACTTTCGTTAGATCAGTGTTTAGCTTGAGGATGAATTGAGCCAAGTGTGATGTGAAGCGTATAAGGGAATCTTGAATAGAGAATAAGAGAAAAGGTGAGTGGACGACAGTTAGTAAAAAACGAAATGGACTACAGTTAGCAGTAAAAAAAAGTGGTGAGATTAAAGCAGTCAGATGATAAGAACTAGTTCCACAGAGCAACATTACGACAGGACTTCGTACCAGGCGGTCAAACTAGGAACAATTAAAACTTGGTGCAATGTAACAACTTTAGTTCAGATTTTGAATGGTTTCAAATGGTTCTGGAGGCAACAGAAGAAGCTTTTATTCAACAGGTTTCTGTATCCAGTGACAGTAGATCGCCCATGCCTCCAGGTAAGGACTTACGTATATTTAACGAAAAAACTGGATATATATTAGTAGATTATAGAGAGGTACTGTCCTTAGTCCTTAAGGATATGCTATGAGAAGCCCCTCAAACTTACTCAGCCGACAGCGAATTCCAGCATTTGACAACTCTTAAGGAGTAGAGGGGATGCCTACAGTCCGTTCCATGTTGTTGTAGGGCCATCATCGACCTCCTTCAACTTCAAGGACAACAAACGCGAATCAATTAGTCGTATGCCATGGTATGGCCCGTGTGGTGGTGGTCTCATTACCTCCTCTGTTCTCATTCTCGACAATATATTTCCGTAAAAACATCCTTTGTGTTACACGGTCACCAAAGCATCCGTAGTACCTTGAAACATCGAAGGAGTAATCCTTGTTAGTTATGGACCACGAGGTGTGACTTTGAAGTTAACTTCTGGTTACACCACTCCAGCCCAAGTCGAGTGGGCTCCCAATCATTCGACATAGATTATCTACGTTAGCAATCCACATTGTGTCTCCAGGTTCTGGGTGTTAACCCTGAGGTTTGTGTTTTAACCGACCTTATGTAGATATTTGATAAGATATACAGAAGTGTATAGGATATTGTAAGTCGTTAGGAGGTCACCTCTTAGATGTCTGTATTTTAATGAGGAAAGGCTTAATGATTTGAGACACTCTGCATTAGGCTTGAATTTGAGTCACTGTAGAGGTAAGCAAATCCCCAAATAGGTACTTCTATAGGTCCTCTACATTGATGGTGACCTCATTAGTTTTACTGGACACACCTGGCTGAAAGCGCTCAGTCACTCATCCTGACCAGATCACGAGTGGGTACGCCGTGACATATATCTCATACAACCGTCGGCCAGCTTACATTAAACGCCTCCCCATATATCGATAGCCTTTCAAATACATCTCCAAACCTCTTCATTTCTGAATTGACTATGTTGGTATACTTTGATTCTAAAGGTGTCATGTGCAAAGGCGTTGTCAAACTCCGGATACCTTTAGCACCCTTACCCCGAGCTGATTTCGTGACTCGTCTTTGGATATGTTCCAATGTATTCTTCAGGCCACAGGGCTCCAACAGTCCTAGATCCTTCTCAACTTGGGACACCTTCAGAGAGGAGCTATCCACGATGTCTTCGTAGTCTATAACATGTCCAAGATGGACTACTTTACACTTTGAGATGTTAAAGGTAAGTCTGTTATTGTTCATCCAACTTCAAAGTCGTGTGCGATTCTCATGAATTGTCAGCTAATCATCTTGGTTGCAAACTTTGCTCCAGAGTTTCATATCATCAGCGAAAAGTAATATACCAGACAACGCCTGCCGAGGAAGATTGTTTACATAAATTGTGAGAAGGGGATGTCCTGGTACTGAACCATGATGGACCTCAGTAGAACATTCCTTAACCTGAGAAAAAGTGAGGTTTACACTGGTCGTAAAAAGCCGATTATCCAGATATGTACCGAGTCTGTCAATTAACATTGGTTTGATACCTGGCCGTTTGAACCCATTAATATGATTGACCTTATAAAAAACGTTTGATAAGTTACGGTACATAACCTCAACTTTCCACCTGTCCACTGTATTCACCAGGTTGGTTATACAAGAATGATCCTCCCTGAAACCGTCCTGTTAGGGTCAAAATAATTTTATGTACAACAGGTAGTCAGGCAGATCATCGCATATCAGACATGAATTATCAATCGGGATGTATGCTGCCTTTTTGTTAGGATACCATCAAATTCTCCAAAGAACGAAATAGATTTAGTGATAGAAGCTACCTTCTTTATACATAGTGCTTAGTAATTCCAAGCTTTAGTTTCATAACGACAAATTTCTGAAAATTTCTTTTTCATCCTGGTGATAGGGATTCTTCCAGTAGATACAAATTTCTTCTGGTCAAGTGTGTAGGAATATCTATAATCATTTGGTGAGGCAAGAAGTTCTACTTATCGGTGACTTTGTGCCTGGAAAGTAGGTCATCAGTTGTTAATGAATTGTTTATAGGTCTGTAAAGACCTTTGCAGTGTCCTCATGAGATCTTTGCTATGAAATAAAAATTAACTGTTGTTATATCCAGTTCAAAGTTATCATAAAATCCAAACTACGTTTGGGCGAAGTATACCTGACTGTGGAATACAAATATTAACGCGCGACTCAATCGAAATCAGAACAAGGTGATTGGGGTAACAACGGTTCTAAATTTCATCACTTATACAAATGCACAATTTTGCCTAAACAAATATTATCACTTAGTTATTCAACTAACAATTGTTCGCACAATAATCGATCTCAATTACGATAAATAGACAAATTGATAGGAAATATAAGAGAATCACCGAACGACCCAAAAAGTAAGTGTTATTCTTTCCTTTCTGGATAGTTCAAGTAAAAAATCCACTCAATGAGTTTCTTTATAACACAAAGTGTTTCAAATTCTGGGAAAGTGCTCTAATTTACAACCAAAATGCATGATCCCAGTCAAATCAAGCAACACAATCAAAGACGGAACAATCAATATGGCAGCCGCCAGGATAAAAAATCAATTAAAACAACATGGATACAGTTCAAGAAGAAACATGGAAACCCAGTGAAAGCAGCGGTAAAACTGAGAAAACTATCATGAACTGAAACATTACAACCTCAAACGGCATAAATTGGATTAACAATATTGTTATGACTTGACCTAGCCGTCGCCAATTTGTTATGTTTTTGACCTAGACTGTAGCCAATTGTTATGACTTGATCAAGGTCGTCGCTGATTCGTTATGACCTTACGAATTTAACAAGGATGTAATTCGCGCAAATTGTCCACCAATAGAATACGACTTCTAGTATGAGTAATCTAGCCTCCTTATTGGTCCTTATCCGCCTAACCCGTCCACTTGAGTCCAAAACCCCAATAACAGCCTCGGCAATACGAATCGTTTATTTCAAGCATACTTTGTTTATATATCAGACAGACAGGCCACATCATACCATAAAATAGAAAATAATATTCGTACAAAACCAAGACAAATGAGGCTGTAAGCGTGGGAGACATTAATCAATAAAACTGAGTATAACATAGGGACAGTAAATCATATAGTAATAATCAATAGGCCAAAATAAAGCTTAGATAATCTAGTTACTGAATAGTCATACAATAAGAATGATAGTCCAATAGTAGGTCCTGCAAATTACCCGTACTTATGTCTTCGCTACTATATAACAAATATGTACAAATAAAGGAACCACTAAGACGAAGTTGCATATGTATACATGGAGGGATTTTCACACACAAACTATTCAAAATGGACCTTACAGTTATTGCTGAGGAACATGAAGATTGGATGTTCATATTTTTATTTTTATTTTGATTAATCTGTAGCTTTTTGTTACGTTCCAATGAACTCATCTTATGGTTTTGTATAATTACACATTTTTGCAGTACTTGTGTAAAATTCTGGTCTAGTTCGTTGTTAACACTATCATAATAATAGACCTAATGCCTAAGGCATAGATATGTCATGATGTGACCATCTCATGTACAAGATCTTACGTTGAAGTCACATCATGATCTATCCTGACTCATTGTATTGTAACAATTAAAGGTATAATACTTAGTACTTCTGAAGAACATATTTAGGCTGAAGATTGGATAATATATTCAATATCAATAAAGATAAGTTATAAAGAATGATCGCATCTGCGATGCTGAGCAATGCCATCCGGTTGAATGCATGAATATTCCCGCGTTTACCACTGTTGGCCTTCTCTACATGTTAAATATTGAATATATATTGTCCATGTTGTCTTACGATCAGGTTCGAGAACTGTGTGGTTGGGACTAATACCACCGCAAGTTCAATCGAAGAAGCCAGACACTGTAGTTAACTACTCACAACAAATCTCTCGTAATTCGAAAGCCTCGAGTTTCCATTAATAAGAGTAGATGATGTTCTTCAAATCCTTCCAGCAGGTCAGTCTGCAAACCTACTAAGATATTACTGAACCCTGGCCAAATCATCCGGTAATCAGGTCACTGAATGTCGAACAGTTCACCGATCCTCGTTAAGGTCAAGTGCAACCAATGAACATCAGCTCCACGGACAGGTTCATGCAGCAGTGGTTACTCTCTGTTCCTTAAACCTACTTCTACCGATATATTTCTGAAATGATTTTGTTTGTGCCGTATGGTCATCAAAGCAGCCGAAGTACCTGGATACGGCGAGAGGTTGATCCACCTTGGGTACTAACCGTGAGGTGTGACTTCCACGATGGCTGGTTTTTCGCACCATTCCCGTTTAACTTGAGTGGACCACTAATCATTCAACACAGATCATCTATGTCGATTATCTACATGTCTTTTGTAGAAAGAAGTTGACCGCTGAAAAGTAGCGGTACAGTCTTCGTCAAAAGAATGCAATATAAAATGTCATGAATGTCATAAAATCTATGTAGTTAAATTTTAAATGGGTTCTAGAACATTTGACAAACACCGTATAGCAATGCTTAACTGTTTACAAACACTCAACCGTTAATAACTCCTAAATCATATTGAGCCTCAACAACTGGTAATTTAACATTATTTATCAGGCATCCATCTGTACCTTGATGTCTAACGTGCATCATAATGCGGCTGAAGTCATTTGTATGCAGTTCCTGAGGACCGAGTCATTCGTAAACTTCGGCGGAAACTTTTGAACCATAAATATTTTTCTCTTCGGTTTGTGTAATTATTGAAAGGCTATCACCCAACACCGAGCTCCGCTGAACTCAGACTTCCATCTATTAACGTTTAGGGGCCTCAATGCCCATAGAGAAGGAAGGGTGGGCAGAGATGTGTACTATTTCTGGAGAAAGATGAAATTGAGGCACAGCAATATGAATTGTCAATAAGCAGTGTCGCGGTGCATAGTTGAATACTTCTTTAAGCACATTCTAGTAGTCCATAAATGTCCCTAATTAGTAGCTCATTAAACATTCGGCAGTAGTGCTGACCAAGTTTTCGAGCATTAGTGAACTACATTTGTGTATGAGGCATGTCCGTAACCAAAATAAAATGGCATCTCTATTGATGTTAGTCCTTTATGATTATGCCCAATGTGTTTCACCTATTCCAAGAAGTCGGGTTGTATCTACCCCCTTCTGCTATTTGAACGACTTTAATGTCTCTTGTATCACAATGAGGCGTCGTAGCTCTTCTATATGCAGGCCTAATTTCCCTGAGCAGTTTAAATGGGTCATTTTGCTTACTCTTGTTAGTGTCTGTTAGAAACGATTTTACGTGATTATGTACTCCGATTGAGGATTGAAAAATGATTGTTCTTAGTCCTTGTGCTCTCTGGTAGCCAAGATACAGGCTAATCCGAGGTGCGTGTACGCATTCATTACTAAACGGAAGTCGATGAACCAAGGAGTCCTGCACATCCAGTCCTCTCATGTCACTAGACAGTTGAACGACCTTCCGAGATCAAAAGATAACAGTTCGTCTGGAATTTCTTGACCTCGCTAGAGCCTTTGACAAAGAGTCGTGCTCAATTATGACAAAGGGGCGAGACTAAAGAACATGGACGACCTTTGAACGAATCTTAAATGACCTTGAGAAATATTGGCCAATCAGAAGACAGTTAGCGTATAGTAAAAATTTATTATACAAAACCAAAGAATTAAAGTGGATACTGTTTTTTTACATGAGTTAAAACCTTATCAAGGTTGGATATAGGTTCAGAAGTTCTAAAATCATATTGCATGCGGTACATGAATTCATCCATATGGCTCCACAGTAGTCTGCCTCTGGAGCCATGATAAGGTCTCAAAAACTACTTTATTCTTGACTACACAGTTTCTATGTTGTTAGTATGCACCCCAGTAGTAGGGTCAACGAAATGTCGCTTATGTATAACGACTTCATGCACATATCCCAGTCTACTTAGAAATCTGTACGCTCTCCAATCATCTGTATAAACAGTAATGCGCGGCAGCATATATTGCTGTACAATCGGTATGATTGTTGGTGCCTGCCGGTTCCTGACTCTTTGAAAATGTCCTTTCTGTAATGGTCTATCGTATATTCCAAAGACCTGTGAGGTATGTTTATGGAAGAGGTACTTACCCAATCTTCTTTAATACAACGGCCACGGTTGTGTTTGCGTTTCCTTACAACCGTTTCGTCTATTTCAACAATGTTTCCCACTCCTCCATACAACTGATGTATGCTTGTCAGTTTTGTTGTGCAAATATCTCGGCAAAACTCGTACCATTGAACTGCCGAAACTTAGCGTGCATCGCCAAAGGTGGCAGCTAGTGTTACTGGTGCTTTTATTATCCAATTCGCAACAAGGAGCATAATTTGTCTCAACCTTAATTTTGAGCGAGCGAAAAAAGTCCTTGTTCTAGCTGATTTCTTCTTCCAACATGAAGGAAATCGCAAAATAATATCATCACGATAGTCTGCACACCGTACAATGTTCATTTGACTACCGCAGTCACAAGTATAGGAGATTCTCAATAATCCCTTTTCTTGTAGTCCCTCAATTATCACGTCTTCTCGAAAATCCGCTGTCAAGCGATCGTACGTAAGCATCATGTTCTGAAATTACCGCCGTGACCTTGAAAACCCGCGAAAGCTTCTGATTGGCTCGTCCATGTTCTTTAGTCTCGCCGACAAATGTTGCGAAGACGGATTCCACAGACGTGCTATTATCTTGACCTCGAAGTTATCTGGAAACCGGACGTTCCGCAGCAGGATCTCAACATCAGTAGTCCCACAAGGAACTGTTTTAGGTCCACTTATTTCCCGAATTCCCATTAGTGACCTATAAGACAGAATTAACTTGCGACTGTCGTGTATGTTGAAGATGTAGAGATATGAATGTCGATTAAGATCTATTTACTACTATGTTGAACCTTACAGTGATGAGAAAATGGGTGAAAACTTAGCCCATCGAAATTTCATGCCATTAACATTAGGCTTCACTGCCAACAGACAACTTACACCCTATATGGAAATCTGCTCCTAATTGTCACTCCGGGGCGTGATCTCGGGCTGCTAACCATAGAGAGCCAAGATATTGACTCAAAACACATTAGATATGGAGCTGGAACAGATGTATATCTTCACTTTATACGAAGACAAAATATTGCAACCGTCGCCAAACTGTTTCTGACACTGTTTATAACATACTCACGGCCTTAACTCGAACTCCACAACGTTACTCATTCTCCATTTTATAAAGAGACATAAATCTCTCAGGCCGAATAAAGCAAAGTGGGTGGTAGCACTGAGAAACATACATTACAATGACACACTCTCGCTGAAACGAAAATAAAGAGCAATCTGTTAATGGCACAGAGCATACCAAGTACGTCAGTTCTCCCCAACACAAACACCATACCAGAATTTCAACACCCCCCCATGAGTGAAACCTCAGAAATTTCACATCAGAGAGTGAAATCCCACGTGCTCTTTCACTTTTCACTTGCTTAATGGATAGCTTAAAGATGAAACTTAACATGTACTTACTTACTTATGGGTTACCATCTCCCGCTTAGAACAGTTGTGTCTGATGCATGTTACCCACTGTCGTTATCACCACATATCAGCAGCTAATTTCTATCCCTCTTGTTATCATTTATACTGCTCTTCTTATTCTTACACTTCGGTCTGCTCACGCTGTCTGCAATACCAGTTAATTAGCTTATTTGTGAATTAACTGATTTTTTGAAAAAGTCGTCTTACTCTAACAATCGAATTTTCTAGTCATTATTTTCCATGATGTAACCAACTACCATCTTGCCAGCTATTGTGATAAGTGCTGGTTCCAAAAACTTGGCTGTTCATAGATAAACACATTAACTCTAATTACAAGAAACAGAAACCCTCAAGTAGTGCATTCAAGTTGCCGGAATATCGCTCTTATGACACTACCGAAGATCTAGAGCCGTATGGAAATGAAAAGAGGCAAGCTCAAAAAAATCAACCAGTGAACACGAGTTTGTCTCAAGGATGTTGGATTCAAGTACAGTTTGCCCGCCTTCACCTAGTCGCTCAAAGTCGTGCGACGAAAGGTAGCTCCAACCAATGGCTTGGCACATTTTTCTTTTATATCCTTTTATCTGAATTACTTACCCTAGTTGGTGTTCGTCAGACTGCGCTCTAACCCATTTCTACAAATTTATCGTAAGCATGCTCCTGGAGATAAAGCTCGCTTGATTTAATTATTCAGAGACTGATCTATAGATCAGTTTTTCTGTTATACCTTCCCCAAAATAGAAAAAATCGGTAGGCTCACTCGAATAAGCCCAGTCTTCAAGTATACTTGAAGTAAACAGATGGCGTAGTTATGTATAATGAATGCACCGACAATTTTCGTTCTTCTAAATGAATTGAGTGTCAGTGCAATTATGTTAGGGATGTGCTTCAATGTACGAAAACATTTATGAATGCGTTTTCTGCATAATATTTTGCATGTGCTGTGCAATTTAAGAGTTTTTTAGGTCAATACCTAGTTTGAGTATAACTAATAGACAAGGTCACCAAACATGAGATGTCTCTCTCTGCTTATGTACCTTTTGTGTATGTTATCCGTTTACTCCTCTTTTGCTTTAGGTTGGATGGCTCCTGTAAGGAAAATTACCTCTTCTCGACATTCTTCTGATCGTTTTTCCAAGAAACACATTTGTAGGGAGGATGGATCAGTATTGGTTGTAAGTAAGAAAATGAAGAACATTATAAAACAAAACCTTGAAGCACAATCCATAACTAATATGATAACTGACGATCTTAATCCAGAAGTAAGTAATTTTAGTTTCATGTAGCAAATATAAAAAGACTAAAGGGTCATTGTAACTTTTATATTTCAACATAGAATTTTAAATTATCTTATACTCTTCAGTAGCGCTCTCAAGTTGAGATCGTCACTAACGTATTTTCCCCAACGCCTTCAAAGTGTTATCAACTGGTAAATATCAACCTCGTATATACCTCTAACCACAATCAAATCCACCTGAACCCGATCGCCTTAAAAATCTGGCTTTCCTGCTCTGAGTGTATTGTACAAAGTGTTATTATTTGTACAGTAAATATAGTTCGTAATTAAAATATTCGACTTTACTTCAACGCTTCACAGACCGATCGCGTATGTTTTATTTTTAGTATAGTCAAAATGAATCCAAAAAGTTACTTAAATCGTCCGACTATTTTAGTAATTGATGGTAGGAGGACTATTGGTCAGATATGTATTCTTTATGTCTTATTATTATTATTTACGACAAGTAATATATGGTGATTGTAAATATCCAGCTCCAACTTCCTTGTTGCTTATCATTCTTTTTAAATAGGATCATTCAGACCTTTCTCAATCATCTTTCAAACACACCTTAAATCCATATCCTGATTGTAGTGGTAACAACAGTTTGAGTAAACCTTGCACTCGTTTGTCATCTAACAATACTAATATGCATCAAATCATCAAAAAAGTTCCCCGTAAAAAGCGTCGCAAGTCCAAACTACACTCTCATTTTAATCGCAATGAAAATTTAAGATCAACCTTACTTTCTATGGAAACAGATATAAAAGGAGAATCTCGTGGAAATCAACAATCGATGGTGCGCTTTTCTGCCGATCAGTCAGCTTTCGTGAATTCAAATGGAATGCATATTCAAAAGTCGAAATTGAAAACCTCACAAAACCAACAATCAAAAATAGACGATAATCATATTAAAGAAAAAAGACCATCATCGTAAGTTATAAATTTTCTTATTGAGTTCAAAATACCAACCACATTTCTTGCAAACGAATTGCTTCATGTTTAAAATTGACTGATCACAGATTGATAACCCATATCGTGTTTGTCTAGTCTTTTAGTACTGAGTGAGTTTTACTGACCGAGTCATAATGTGGCTACTAGTCTGTGTGACTGGACATCGCGTGAACTACGTTGAAATGTAGGCTATTAATTACCGGGTAAATAGTGGGATGTATATTTATACATGCAGTTGTAGTTATTTTTCAGTCGTATAAACCAAGCTTTCACTTAATCTAATGAATACTGGTTCACCAATCCTCTTGAAATGTTCCGCTTTTAGCTTAATGTCTGAATTTATATTGTTTTAATTTCCGTAAACATCTATGAGGACATTGTCCCACTTAGGTGTGGTCTGACAATCTTTGGCCAGTGCGGCTGGCTAGAAGATCACGAGAACGTGAGAACTGGTATAAATGGAGAGACCCTGACCCACCAACTTCCGAGAAGAACCGATTACTGTACAGATTTTGTATCCCCCGTAACTGTAAATATTGTCTAAATTTCATACAGAGCTTAGTATTTCCGGTCATTTGTATTCTTAATTCGTGTTGTGATAGCATGTCTCTTAGGAAAACCATCACAGTTATAATGGTATACATTAGACGGCGTACTACTGAAAATCTACTAACATCTTGTCACCAATATTGGCATATGTATGCATTAATAATAAAGGAAACCTTATTACTGATTAGTTATCTTTATCTAGTTATTATACTGGATTACTTGAATCATAGTGTTTAAATTTTAATTCTATAAAGCAAATGGATAACAAAAATAAATAGTTACGACCTAAATGAGTGAAATTCATGAAAGCCCGTGGTTTAGAGAAGCTTTTGTAGCTTTTTACTTCATCTCTGTGCTTTATGGTATACCGAGCATATTTTTAAACCGATCTTTATTATTTGCTTATAGTATGTTGACAAGGAATACCAGCGTCATAGATACATTAAATCCTAAAAAGTACCAGGTATCAAAACTTTAGTTTTGGAAGGATTTACTTCATAGTATTTAAACGCTTTCAACTTTCAAGAAATACTTTATAGAGAAACATTTTTCTTCTAATCGTACTCTAAAATACAAATATTCAATTACCAATACGTTTTCAAAGCATTACACTCGCATACTTATAGGTTGTATTATAAGTCAGTAAAAAGATTTTGTTTTTGGCGAGAATTTGTAATTTCCCGCTGTTGATACTCTGGGCTTTGATTGACCAGCCGCTGTTAGAACACTTACTTTTTGATCGGTTGCCGCGATATTCCCTTTTAGTTACAATCCAAATATACTTGAGACTGCATAATTGTTTAAATGCTAATGTAGTGAATTTTGATGGGAATTTGACTACATAGTTTTAAGCATGAAGTTATAAAAAGGATAATTTCCCACAGCAATTCAATGTGAATATACCAGTTCACCTGTTCCTCTGCAGTTAGGTGAATATATCATCTGTCGAAACCGCTTTTTTGCCTCACCCAATAGTATCTCCCAGCCGCACTTGGCAAAAGGTAATGCATATCAATTATATAGTAGTAGCTTAATGGTGAGACAGTGGCTTAGCGATTAAAGTATTCAACCTTAAGTCACTAAGTCCCAGGTTCGAAACCCGTTTTAACTACCTCGGTTTGGATAGTTGAATAGTATCATCCACCCTCACAACTAAAGTGTGGTTCATACCCAGTTATCTGGTGAATGATTTGGTCCACTATTTACTAGTGGCTTCATGATATTCAGCATTAGATTCATACTTTGATATTATTCACACTAATTACAGATCCCAAGAGATTTGCATCTAACTCTACTTTATGTTGTCAAGGCTCTAGGCACCAACAACTTAAGACCACATTTATGTATGGTAAAATAGTTTTCTAGGTCTCTTTTATTCAGCATGGCTTTCGTTTTATTATATTTTGTTAATAAGTTTGCTGAAATGCTTCGAATTTCCTCTGTTAAAATTGTTTTCACTTGGAATTCTTAATTTTCATTGATGTTGCATTCTACAGATTATAAAATTTCAATCCAAAACATTTAAATTTATTCTGCTTATCCTGGTAATTGTATGTCTTACATTTCATAAATTCTTCCCTCTGCAACTGTTTACTTAAGATTATGTAGTCGATTTTAAATCACAGTTCACTGTTTTAAACTCTTAAAAATACAACTTTTAGTATATTTGAATTGTGGGTTAACAATTGAATCTATAACGGACGTTTCATCGTATTGAAGCTTTATTAGCTCGATGTTCTGTATCCTAAGGTTGATATTTAAACAAATTTGAACTCAATACTTCTCTCTTGACAAATCCTAACATGTTATCCATTATGCTATGAAGTTCAGGTAGTTAGTAATTTTATTTATAAGGTTTTGGCATTAACATGTTGTCGATTTCTAAGAATAAACTTTAGACAGTTTTTGTTGGAATATGTGCATTGGAGGAAGAAATATATATTTGTTACACAAGTTTAAAAATGAACTTGTTTAAATGAATTTCTATTAATAAATACATGGATATATCCAAATCAAATATTCACAAGCTAATTGTATCTAGTATTATCTTTCTATTCACCTCAAAATGTTATTTATTTATTTGAACACACAAATATTGGTACAAAGGGGCACCAGATACGTATGCGCCCCACAAATCTCATTTGATTTGTGTGAGAGCTGTTATACTGATCAGGTGCCCAAACTGAAGCAAGTGGTTTTCTTAGGGGACCACACACGGATTCTTTGACATAAAGGTCTAGTCCACAAGGCAGTGGAGCATCGTGAGGAGATGCAGTCCCATGGTAGCCGGTGACCAACGATTGGTTCATACGTCATTTGTTCCCTCAGGGTACTGGAGCCCATGTACACCATTGGTTGGGAATCAGGGTTTTTCAACTCCGCTAGGTGAACTTTCCGTGTGCACCAACCCGGTTAAAGCGCCGAACATTCGCTTTTCGTCCTCTCAATTTCGTAAACAACAGTAATGCCATGAGAATGCAGTTAGTAGGACTTCCATGGGAGAGGCTATATGCGCGTGGCCATGTGAGAGCATTTCGAGAGCGAGAGCAGACTCTCCCCACTCTCGTTCGTACCACGGCATTTGGGGGCTTCGAAGTGTAATGTATGAACGAAATGTTTAAAGCGGATGATAATTTGAATATCTATTAAGTAATTTATGTGCAATACACATGGTAACTTTTTCTTCATTTGAGAACACATTTTTATTTGTCCTTTTTTTTGTAGAATAAACATTGTCAATTCCTTTCGCAGTTTACTACAACAATTTTAGTAGATATTTTGTTGTTGTTGATTGTCTTGTGAACTATTTCTCGAAGTAGATCATAACGTTTGTAGATTATAACAGTAACGGTATATTTGATGGTTGATAATATTCTAAAATTGATTTTGGAATTCGTTTTTTGTAAATAAATAAGGTACATGAATAAAGATGTATATACTAACTGTATTTCAAGTTTCTCATTTTACTTGGTTAAAAAACCGATCACATGAATTTTTCAAAATTGAAATTTCAGATTTCTGACATTTTGATTTTCTGCTTGTTTGGTTAAAGATTCGAAAATCAGTCTTTACTTTAATTTAAATGATATTGCTAGTTTGCCTACAATACATGAATAATGATTGTTAAGTTTTACTTCCAGTCAATCATAAACAACGTAGAACCTGGGAATATGTACATCGGTCAAAGTTGCCACAGTACTAGAAGTATTAACAGTGTCATTATTAGTAGTAAGGATTACACATAAACGATATAATTAGAGGAGAAAGGATAAATTTGTGGAGTAAAAACTACATAGGATAATTTCCAAACTCAGCGTCTAAGGGTAAACAAAGAGTGAGTGCCAGTCTACGCCACTGTGACCGACTGCGCTCAATGTCACCCGTAAGTGAAAATATAATCAAAATAATATATACAGTTCTAAAATGATGAAATTATACGGCTATTTGTAGTAGGGGAGCGTACTTATGACATAGCTCCATCCCAGTAGTCTATTTTTCACGATTTAATAAAAAGTGTCAATGAATACATGTTTTATTCACATTATGATACTGGTTTTCGAATTATTTACGTATCTGTGATAATCAGAAGTATTTGAATTATCGTACAAACGTATTAGATGACCACGAACGAATGTACTGTATTTGGAATTCAAAATCAAAACAGTCATCAATACAAAATCATTGATTCATATAAACACCATGGTATCGTTATACAAAACTTCTCAGTCTCGTTCTCATTATATCAAGAGCCTATTTTAATGTGTCTTATGGGGCTTATTACCTCAGATGTGTTAAAATTGAGAAGTAACTTCTCTATTTTATCCATTTTGCTTATAGTCTACTCATTTAAGGCTCCTCTATAGTGTTTGGTTTGTGTCTATAATAACTCTCCACTCGTTCACTATTCGTCCAGTTATTACCGTTACGAAATGTGATCCATTTCAACCTACATGCATGCCCCAACGCTTGAACGGACTAACTTAATGGAGGAGAAATACGTGACTTTCCAAAACGGAATACTAAATGATATAGTCTTGGTATTTAGAGGTAAATAAACTGACACCTAAATGGTAGTGGTGAGCACGCATGAGAGATCGATAGTCCCATTAAGGTCTAAGATGATTACACCGCATTCAAAAACCTAACGAATCCCATTTTATGATAATTGACTTGTGAATTTGTGGTTTAAGTAAGCTTCGTTTTGCGCAATACTTGATTTATTCCCGTTTGCATAAGTTGTTAGCACGATGGCATGGATGTAACATTAAAAAGACCTATTTCGGAGTTTATTCATAAGCCACCTTTGTGAACTTTTCTCTAAGTAATGGTCAACTTAACTACATAATTCACGGTTCTAAAGTTTCCGTGTTTCGTTCTTTTATAGACAATGCAAAAATAACATTTTTAAGAAGCTTAACCTTGTCACATTGATGAATGTAGTAATGTAACTTTACCGCTCGATATTGTATCAGAATAAGTTATAATAATGGCAGTAAATCCTCGTCTTAATTGTTTCTCAGTAGATTCATAATACGGACCACAGTGCAATGTGGTGCATGGAGGACGACTGACAGATACATTCCAAGTAAGGACCTGAGTCAGACGAGGTTCTCTACTCGCCCTTTCTCTTTCTTCTGGTAGTTGAATGGATTATAAAGACCTCGACATCTGATGGGAAGCACGGAATACAATGGATAGTTTGGATGCAGCTAGACTATTTGGACATCACAGATGACCTAGCTCTCCTATCCCATACACACCAACAAATGCAGGTGAAGATATCCAGTATAGCACCAGCCTCTGTAGAAGTAAGCCTCAACATATACAATAGAGAAACCAATATGCTCACACACAACACAGAGAACACCAACCCATTCACACTTAATGAAGAAACTCTGGAAAAGACGGAGAGTTTCATGTATCTGGGTAGCATCATCGGTTAACGTAGAGAGTCTGATGCAGACGTAAATGTGGGGATAACAAGTACAGCATTCCTACAGTTGAAGAACACGTGGAACTCAAAGCAACTGTCAACCAATATCAAGGTGAGAATCTTCAATACAAACGTCTAGACAGTTCTACTGTGTAGAACTGAAACTTGTTGAACTACCACGACCATCATCGAAATGGTACAAGTATTTATAAACATTTGTCTACGTAAGATATTCAATGTTGGTTGACCTGATACCATCAGGAACAGCCTACTATGGGAGAGAACAAATCAGGTTCCAGGTGAGGATGAAATTAGGAATAGAGGCAGGAACGGATAGGATACACTGAGGAAGTCATCAAGCTGCATCACGAGGTAAGCACTAACTTAGAGTCCTGAGGACAAAGAAGACTAACAAAAGTTATTGCGTCGGGAATTGAAGTCAGACGTGTAAAGAGTGAACAGCAATGGGAAACAAGTTATGAGGATTCCCCAGAACAGATTTCGATGAAGAATCCTCTTGGGCTGCATTTGCCTCTCTACAAGAGGTAAAAGGCCCTAAGTAAGTAATCTTCAGATGGAGTAGTGCATTTCCACAGCTTCCTACTTGGTCAGGAGTTCTAGTGACTTGATATGAGTTGAGCTGAATGTCCAGATGTGTATAAAGTAAGGTTAACACTATGGTTTAATACTTTGGACTTACCTTAGGACATAAATATTATATGTAATGTCTCTGTTCGAATAGGAAAGCAAAATTACAAACCACAAATTTTACTCACGAAATACCGTGTGACTATATACATCAGTCACTTGAATTAAAACTGTAGGTCGACCGGAAAATACCACGTCATTTCTAAAGTCAGCAATTCATTACGATAATGTCAGAGTGGCAGGGAAGTGTATGAAAGTTTGATAAATGGAGCAGAATAAAATAGATTAGAGAAATATGACTGTTTACAGATGACCGCAGTTAATGTACTAGTTTTCCGTGTATTACTGTTTTTGCTATCGATGTGGCGTGTGTCACCCTTTATGGAGATAAAGGTAGACTAAGGTTTTGTAGTGTTACAGCCTTAGAAAGTTTTGTTGTTGATAAAGATGTTAGTTTTACTGTATCAGTACTCATTGTGTCTGGGTTTCTAGCACCATTAAATCAACAGATTCAAAACATATGTGAATCACTCCGAGGGTACCTTTGAAGGTAGACAATACCTATTTATACGTTTTCAAGGGAAAATTTAAGTAATTAATTAAACACATACTAGTTCCTTTATCGGTTTTCCCCATTGTTATTAATGTTTCCTCAGGCAGAAGTCACTCTTTCGTATCTGAGGGGTGTCGGAAACTGGTATATCAACACCCCCATTCTCTGTCACATCCTTTAATTTCAGTAACCAATAGACATATACATGAACGCTTTGTTTGACTCCGTGTGAACCCAGAAGTCTGAAGGTGGTAAGGACGTACATTTATTAACAATGCAGCAAATTCCAAACAACACCGTCATTTAACTTGACAAGTTTGCAACATGGGATAGGCAATTTCAACGCACACACTTGGAAATTGTTGGCCTCCTCTCGCCATTCGATCCCAGTACTCATATGTTTAACGTCGTATATAGATTCACTAGATGGGCCACAGTTTGCCACATAAAAAATATTTCAGCAAATTTCTATCTAAAATTATCTTTATTAACTGAATAATAATGATAATAATAAGTTACATAAAAGTGATTTAGACAACACCAATTAAATCAGATCCAAATGTGAAAACAATAATAAGCTATTTATTTCTATAAAAAAATTAAGATAAGTTATTCTACAAAGATAAAAATCTAAAATTTATGTACTGAATTTTTAACTACAAAACAAAAGAACAAACTTCATTTGGCTTTCACATGTTTCTATTGCTCAATTGAAATAAAAACTAACTTTCCGAAAGCAAAAAGTTTTACATCAACCATATTCTATTGTCATTAATTATAAGTAGCTATATAGTCACAGAAATGGACAACCCTAACCATTTCCCATGATCATGTTTTTTAGTTGCTAGTCATTTAGCTACTGAACAACATTTAAGTAGTTTAACATTTATAAACAAACAATGGCTGGTTCCGACACCAAATGCATTGGTTAAAACAAAATTAAATTGAAGAACTGATCATAAAATACACTATATAAAACAAATTAAAGGGTGTTTTTCCAAGTGAAAAAAAGAGTGAAGCAAATGAACTTAGTAAAGCTTAAATAATATTAACTATTATAGCATTGTATTATATCATTCCAATTACTTAATATGACTAGAAGGATGATTCAAGGAATAAGTGGAAGAATTTTTGTAATGACAATTTGATTGAAAGTAAGAAGAATCTATTAAATGGTGAATTGAAGATTACAAATTTGTATAAAGACTATGTATATACGTAAAGTTGTGCTTAGTATATGTGAGTGAGTGTATGAGTATTTATGCCTGTATTCATTATTATCAGTGACAGTTTTAATCTACCATTATTTCAAAATTCAGTTCATCTTTATTAGCATTTAGCACATTTGAAATTGTACATTTAACCAAAATAGCGACACTCTTTTTAGGTGATTTAAATTCCACAGCAACTATTGGGCCAAGATAACCCGCTTGTCCAAGATATGGATAATAAGCACTACTGAATACCCCACTAAAGAATAGAGAAAAAAAGACAACAAAGGTAATGAATACAAAAATAAATTAGAGAAAGATAGTTATTTTTCGGTCACAAGATTTAATCTAGAAACTATAAATAGGCTAATATCATGATAATATGGGAGTATATAAGTGGGGAGAAGGTTAGAAATTTTTTTTCTTAAAATCGATTATTCGATAATTTACTAGTGAATACTACTCCTAGTTTATTTTTTAAACACCATGGTGATTGTAAACCCATTGATCGATTAAAGTCATTAAATCATTTGAGGACTTTGCTGACAGTTGTCTTTTTTTGCCTGTTGTATTTTTCACTATAACGAAAGTAAGAGAGTTTTATTTTGCTTTTTTACGTTAAGTAGAGTAGATGATTTTTAAGTTGAAAGTAAATATTACAAGCAAAGATGGATAGTGGCTAACAGTGGAATCCAGTTTGACGCGCGTTTTGTCCTATTCGGGACTCATCAGCTGGATGTACCTGCATCTCAGAGTTGATGTTCACTCCGGGACTCAAATCCAGTATTGTTCGCTTCAAATGCCATCACCTTATCCACTAAGCTACTGTGTCCTGATAACTACTTGCTTGTGCAATGGAGTAAAGTTTACATTCACTTGCTATTGTTTGTTTGAATCTTCGCATTGATGCTAGACATTATTCATCTTTTCTTATAATGCTTGTGAATTAAGGCTATATCGAGGCAATACGCGCAGTATGCACATATATCAATAAGAAACTGATCAATTGGAAGATTCAAACAAACAATACCAAGTAAATCTGAAAGTAAATAGTATAAAAGAATGAGAGGTTTGGAATTTTAAAGACGAATGTGTCGAATGATTGTGACCCCTTTTAATTGATCGACTGTTTTCAAAAGTAAGTTACATATAACCTGAATTGTTTGCAATGAAAATTACGGATATTTTGTTGGTTTTTTTTCTAAAAAGAAGATGTGAACTGATTAATGGTAGGTAATATGATATATTTTACATTGGAGACTTTGATTTTTATTCCAAAAGTTAAATGACCAACTGGCATATTGAATAAGGTTATATTAATAAGAAAAAATTGGGTTCCATCATTCAACATTGAATAAAGTTGAAATAACTGTTAAATCAAAAATAAAATTGGAAATATTAACTTCAATAGGAAAATGATATTCACATTAGAATGTTCATATCAATAATACATTAATATTGTGTTTATGGATATCATGACAATGAAGTTTATTAGTTAACACTTCATTTATTATTTGATTAGTAACTGACTGCTTTGATCTGGGCACTCGGCCAGTATCATAGCCCTCACACAAATCAAATGAGATTTGTGTGGCGCATATATATCTGTTGCCCCTTTGTACCAATATTTGTGTTTAAATAAAAAAAAAATAAAAACTGACTGGATAAAAAAATCTGGTAAATAAGTTCATTCTTTAAAATTCAGTTAATATATTATTCACATTAGATATCATATGACAAGAATCTATTTATATATATATATTCTAAATAAAACTCAATGGGGATATTCTCGAAGATATATTTTCAACATAATTTACAGAAATTCCTATACACTGATGATAGTAATTGATATTGCTTAGTATGGATATTTCTTTATACTATTATTTGATGAGATATAATACCCTGGTACGGACGAGAGTGGAGAGAGGCCGCCTTCTGTCTCGAAATGCTCTCACACGGTCACTCGTATACAGCCTCTGCCACGGAAGTCCTACTCATTGCCTTCTCGTGGCTGGGGTGTTGGTTACGAAAGTGTGAAGACGAAAAGCGAATGTCCGGCACTTTAACTCCACCTAGTGGAATGAGGAAAGCCCTGATTTCAAACCAATAGTGCACATGGGCTCCAGTATCCTAAGGGAACAAATGGCGTATGGACCAATAGTCGGTCACCACTGCCTTGTGGATCAGACCTTTAGGTTGAAGGCTCCGGGTGTAGCCCCTTAAGAAAACCACCTTATTCAGTCTGAGCACCCAGGCAGTATCATAGCCCTCACACAATTAAATGAAGTGACAATTTTTTGTGTGGCGCATATGTATCTGGTGCCTTTATGTACCAATATTTATGTGTTCAAGTAAATAAATAAAATACAATTTTCTATGTTTAAAAATCCAATTGATGTTGCTTCTAAATGAACAATTTATTTAAAACTGGACTGATTACTGAAAAGTAATTAATGTCATGTTTTTCTAGTCTTTTACTGTTGGTTCGATTCCATCGGTTGCTTTATGTAGTAGACATCAGTTTAGGGTGAGTCAATAGTACATGTACTACGTTTTAGTGTTCAGTATTTAAAAGTAATCGGAAAGTACATTTAAACCTTCGTTTCGCTCTGGAACGCGCAGGTACAGTTTACTGATAAATATCAACTAGCACAAAATCTAAGTCAGAAGGCTTCTGCTGACTGAATGTTCCCAACCGCTGAATATCCAAGGTAATATAAATTATGAATTGATTATTTCATGGATTTTCAAAGAAGGTATTCATGCCAGTTTGAGTACAATGAATTGGCATTATATCAAAACAGATCTTTATTCTCGAATAAAATCTTTTATAGATAATGATATTATATGTTGCCCTAGCAGTTAATTGGATTGGAGTTGGATAATGACAGTGGTATGCATACTGTGAAAGTATTATACCATCTATCTATTGGTTAATTGCTCTGGCGCGAGACTGGTAGGTCCTGGGTTCGAATCTCGCGAGGGCGGGATCGTGGATGTGCACTGCTGAGAAGTCTCATAATAGGACGAAACGGCCGTCCAGTGCTTCCAGGTTTTCGATGGTGGTCTAGCTTCAATTGACTCGTGATTTCAACTATGAAAAATATTATATCATTATTATACCACATGTTCAGATTGTTCCAAGTTGAGTTACAAAAGAAGATAGAATAACTATTTCATTATTCATTAATTCTTGTTAAAAACTAATATTAATTTGCAACAAACAAAATACAAGATTCGAATTATTTATTGGCAAAATAAATCAAGAAATTATTTAGATTCAGTGTGCCAAAACTGAAGCAAAGTATGCATTTCTTATTAATATGGTTACATGAAATGAATAAGATACACACACACACACAACTACAAATATAGACAAAAATATCAAGTTCTGCATTACATGCATCATTGTAATGAAAATCATATGAAAATTTTCAAAAAATAAAAACTGGTACTCTGAAGACATACTGTATGTTAAGATGCACTAATGTTGGGTAGAAATACCATGGAAAAACCTGAGAGCATGAGATAGCTGTCTCATTCTTATAACAGCCTCTATATCAGTGCATAAATAAGATCTTATCAGGTATAAAATCAAGAACCTTCAAGTCTTATGGCGAGTACGCCTTCATTAGGTCACTAATGAGTCAGGATCCATTAACCCATATTATTGACTTCAGTCACTTCAAGGTATACAGCGAAAACATCATTCACTATCATATTTATCTCTGAGAGAAAAGAACTACATTGATTACGGTTTCTTACTTCTCAAAATTAGATATCTGTGAATGAGTTCATGATTGGGATAAAGATGGAAGGTTTATGAAGATCGTTTAATTTAAAATCCATTCCTCATCATTGATCATTATTCAATCTTATATAGAAGGAATGAAAATATGTCTTCAGGTGCATTATCCTTTTAAATAGTCCGCTGTATAAAGCGATGCAAGCAAACTGTAAGGTTCAATACTCATTTCCTAAATTTCTACCTGCTTAATAAATTTGTACAATAAATATATCAGTTTATATCGTATACATTTGACATACTAAATTGTATGTTTAGACGCTGTTCAGTTGATCTAATATTTTGAGCTCGAAACAAATCGAAGGGTCAAATACTAAAACTGAAATTCGACTTCCATAGTCTTTAGTTTTAAAATGTTCCTCGACTAATATAGAGCACTCAAAATTGATCTTAACCTTCTTGATTTTAATAGACACTAGTGAATAAAGACTTGTGGTCAAGTATCATTAAAAGATGTATTAGCCTCTCTTACTCCCCGTAACCAGTTCAAAAGCTTTATGTTACTCTACCACTGCATACGATAAAATATGCTTTTCTACTCAATCATCATCTTTGTTCGTCTTTAAGTTAGATCATGTCGTGTTCAGAGTAACTTTACTACTTCACACTGAATAACTCCGCATACTAATGAATATATTTCTTGTTATATCCTAATGAGTAAGAAAATTATATTTCCGACGTTTCGTAACTTAATGTGAGTCACTTCTTCAGAGTTCTGGGGATCTAACGTTCTCAACGTATCCAGCAATATTTTTTTAACAGAAGTCACAATTCATTTTGATGCGTTGATGTTATCTGTGCTGAATGGTCACGAATACCTATATTTTTTTATAAACTTGGGTCATGCTTTCTGCGAATTCTTAAAAAAACGCTTGGGATTTCTGATTTCATATTTAGGATGAAACAGATAACACAAATAACAACTGGATGATAATCTTATTCTACAAAAACTAACTAAATATGTGAAATGTAAACCCATTTGATGTCAGCTCAGTACTCTGTAATGGAAATGCGTTTGCTAAGGCACATGAAAGTGCTGTGGTTTGACCGCTGGTGTGATTGTGAGTGCATTGAGACATGGAATCACATGCAAAAATGAAACAACTAACTAGTAATCTCTGCTTTTCAAGAGTAATCCAGCTAAAGTCAATTCATGAGGAAGTTTTTCTCTTAAATAAACAATTTCCACGAACCTTTTATCTTTTTTGAAGAAAAACTTTGTTCGACTGACCATTGTATAGTCATTTGATAATAATTCACCCTTAGGGGAACGGGTAGGCTTGCTTAAATAATCCGACCTCATATGACATTATCAATAAACAATATGGTTTCATTTCACATGATCTATCGACTAGTAACCTATTTAATCGTTATGAAATCAGTGGAAAATTCCTTTTTAGAAAATTTAACCAAATATCTTACTGTACAACACATAAAATGAAGCGAAAACTAGCCATCAATAGACTGAGCTCGATCATCAAACCACAACGAAATAATCATCACAATACAAAGACGAAAAAAACCCATAAAATTTACACTTACTATTGTTTTCCACTAAAATTTTTAGAAGGATAATAAGCCAATGAACCAATATTTTCCTCGTCTGCAGAGTTCTACAAAAAATTCAAAAACACGTAAATGAAACTTCTTTCATGACAACATTGGTAAGAATATATCATAGGGACAATCTTTAACAGCTATCAGTAAACCAGAAACCAGTGTTTTGTTCTGAAGCGATTTATAATAAATAGTGATAAAACTATGATGCATAAATGGCTTTAGCACGAATGATAAGTCAACAAAGGTTCGAATTGAGAATGAACAGTGCAAGTAAGGTCAGGAGTTAGGATTAGACTCTAAAGTAATGAGTGTTATGAATAAAAGTAGGATATAGTATAATTATTTAAAATAGGCTAGTACTTTTTATTTATCAAAACACCCTTGATTATACCTTGAATTACATTAAGTACGCTCAGATGTAATCTTCATTCGAAAGCGGTTATTTCGGGTAATTTGATATACGCAGCATGTCACATCCTCTGCATGGTTGTATAAAGATATTTTTTTACAATCTTAAGAATTCTAAGAACTAGTTGTCAACAGTTGTTTCTACTTATTTCTCAATAAGATACTTGGTATTCTTTACTACGTCTTAAATTTTGAGAAAAATCTAGTAGACGATGTTTTAAATCTGATTGACTTCCTGAAGGTTGTTAATGTGATGTTATACTGCCGAATTCGGTTTGTAATTATCTTGCTTTTGATCGAACATATTGTGCATTTACTTGGTGAAATTACTAGAATGAATAAACATTCTCATATGGTGTTTGAGCAAGCAGTGTTTGAGTGTTGATATTTTAGTAAACTTCATGAAACTCATTGAAGAATGTTATCATTGATATGGAGTTGTGAAGATCGCTGAATTCTATTGAAATCAATAACTTATCTTGGTTAGATAATTATTGAAAACTTGGAGGTACTTTTAGAAAAGATAAATAGTGGATAGCAGTGGAATCCAGGACGCGCGTTTTGTCCTATTTGGGACTCGTCAGCTGGATGTACCTGCATCTCAGAGTTGATGTTCACTCTGGGACTCGAACTCAGTACCCTCGCTTCAAACGCCATAATGCTTGTGAATCAAGGCTATAACGAGGCAATACGCACACTATGCACATATGCCAATTAGAGACTGACCAGTTGCAGTCCTAAAACATCGATGGGAAGATTTAAACAAACAATACTAAGTGAATCTGGAGGTACTTTGTTATGATTTTGTGCCCGGCTCTTGCCACGTGATTTATCCACCAATCAGAATTCGACTTTTCCAATCTTAGCTCTATGCCAACCAATGACGTTCGACCGGCATGAGCAGTCTAGTGTCCTTATTGGTCCTTTGTCCGCCCAGCCCTTCCAATTGAGTCCAAAACACCAGTTACAGCTTCTGCTATGCGAATCATTTATTTCAAGCATTCTCGGTTTATATACCAGACAGAAAGACCGCATCACACCACAAAATAGAAAATAATATTTGTTAAAGATTAAGCTAAATGTGGCTGTGAATGTGGGATACAATAATCGATAAACTGAGTTCAATTTAGGAACAGTAATTTGTATAATAATAGTCTGTAGGTCAAAATATAGCTTATAATAAAATGAATATAGATATACACAATGTAATTACTCGATAGTTTAACAATAAGAATATATACAGAATAATCGTCCATTAATAGGTCCCGGAAGTTACCTTTACTTATGTCTTCACTAGGATATAACATACTTAACAACTATTTCATCCTAATATGGATCTCCCCAGCAGTGAGTATCCGTGACATCACAATCGGTAATCGAACCCAGAACCTTCGACCTCACGGGCTAACGCTCAACTTCTAGACCATTAAACCAACATTTCTAACTTTAATCAATCCACGATATCGGGTGACCATCTTCCATTATCTTTGATGGGTAACTTCTTCACACCCGACACGATTGAACTTCACTAGTTACGGCTCGTCACTAGAACTTTGGGAATTCCCTCTAGGAACCAGTCATTAGTGAGTACATGATACTTATCAGTATGGGTTTATTGGGATCACAAACTGACGCAGTTTCGAAGTGGTAGACGAACGCTTCTGAGGAGTCCCGTACTAGGACGTAACGGCGTACAGTGTTTCCAGATTTTCAATGGTTAACTAAATTAGGTCGATTCATCATCTCAATAAAAATATAATAGATTACTCGCATTAGCAAATTGCAAATTATTTACAATTGTAAGGTCCTAACTGTACACTGTTGATAAGACTTTTAGACATTCATGCCGTAATTTCCATCTAATTTTACTATTAAATCCCACACCGATCTACATTCACACACAAATACACACAAAAGGACAATTACATAGCTTACACTCATTCATATACCACAATCTGTACTAAAAATACACCCGAATAAATATTTACGATTGGGTGGGGTTACATTACTATGTTGTTTTAATTACAGTAACAAGCCCAGAATGACTCAACTTTGTTTTAGGGGACAAATTTGAGAAAACCTTTTTTTCTTAAGAGAAAGGAAGTGTTATTTCCATATACATACCATAGATTTAATTATTTATGTACAATCAACACATACATACACACATACCGAAGGTTAGATGGACATAATAGATAGACAAACATGCAGTTTAGGTTTTAAAATCTTTTTTTAGGAAATTGCGGAAAGAGAAAAAACGGTGGAAAAATCAATAAACGATGTATGAATAGGATGATTGGTTCAGAATAATTTAGATGAGGAAATTGTAGATGTCCTAGTTTTGTCAACTAGTTCAACAGATACACAGAATTGATAAAATAGTACATTTTCTGTTATAGCTACAAGAAGATCTCAACTGTTAAATGTTAAATTGTACACACCAATGTATAACCAGTTATCAAGATTCGATAATTTAGGACCTAATAAACTTGATAAGCAAAGATGGATGGTGGCTAGCAGTGGAATCCAGTTAGACGCGCGTTTCGTCCTATTTGGGACTCGTCAGCTGGATGTACCTTCAATTCGGAGTTGATGTTCACTCAAGGACTTGAATCCAGTATTGTTCGCTTCAAACGCCATCGCGTTATTCACTCGGCCAGGTACATCCAGCTGACGAGTCCCAAATAGGACAAAACGCGCGTCCTGGATTCCACTGCTAACCACTATCCATCTTTGCTTACCATGCTTGTGAATTTAGGCTATATCGAGGCAATACGCACACTATGCACATATGCCAATTAGAGACTGACCAGTTGCAGTCCTAAAGCATCAATCGGAAGATTCAAACAAACAATACTAAGTGAATTTAATAAACTTTAGATTAGTGATTTTAATTCATTTACTGTGTAAATTTCTGTATAGTGAAATAATTATTGTCAGTATTGCTTAGTATCATATCGTGTCTCAGAAACAATGATTTCGGAGTACAAACTAATAGCGAAACTCCTTAAACTAAGTTAATTTTTAGCGTGTCAGATACCACTTCCATCGTACCAAGTGAGTAATTTTGAGAATAGGATTATTGCAATAAGTGAAGATGAAAGTCGATGAGTCTGTGAATCTCTTATCGATTATAGTGGCTTAGATAAATCTACCTATGCCTAACCAACGCCTACTTTGTCATGAAGTTCTGGTTAATGTGGGAATAGGTTGAAAAAATCCAAGTGTAGCATCAGTCTATAACGTCACAGACCGTTCCCGAGCCACGTTGGTAGATACAGACTAAGTAGTTGGCATCTGCACAATTATCACAATCAGTGAATAGACACATTGAATGGTATAACTAAAAATAAGTTGCGATGGCCCAGAAGTAAACACTCATTATTTTCTCCTAAATACTTAGTTTCAGCATTATCTTAATGGATTTTTGTTCGTGAATTTATCTCGTCTTTTCTAACTATATTTTTCAATGTTTAGTCTTGTAAATGATTTTACTAGTATTCAGAGTTCTTTGTTGATATTCTTATTAATTTGATCCTACTGTTCTGATGCAGTGTGGCAAATTGAAACAATACACGAGTGTGCCAAACCTACATGAATGATAATGATGTAGTGAGCATAAAATTTACGGTTAGCAACAAATAAAGAAACGTAGTATTTCGAAAAACAAGAAACAATAACTGAAAACAACTTAGAAGATGATGAACATTCTCGTTTTATAGGTATTCATCACTTTTATTTACAGTAAAATTGAGTCAAAATGAATCCCCATATAATAAAATGGTTTCATTATTTGATAATTCCGTTATATTGGTAAGTATGAAAACGAAAGATATTTACGGATAGAATAAAAGAAGTAACAATTAAATAGATTCGTCATTTCTATCAGCCGCTTCGCTTGCTGTCTGAAACCATATACTCAGGCTTACAATGTTTAATTTGATGTATTCACATAAACTGGCGATTTTTTTACAGGAAAAAAGTAACGTCGATAGAGCCGGTTATATAATGATAGATTAGTTCAATAGCTATAATTCTACTTCACATACATCGGTTTGAACAGCTGAGTTATACTGACAGTATAGTGTCGTGGAGATTGTTGAGTTTCATTGAAATTAGGAATCTATCACTGTGTTGGACTAGAGGTTGAGGGTTTGCGAGAGAGTGATGACACTGGGTTTGGCCCGAGCATTCAGGATCGTGGATGCACGCTTCTGAGTTCTATAATGAAACGAAACGGCTGTCTATTGCTTCAACATTTTTAATAGGGGTCTAACACTGATCGGTTCATGACTCAAATGAATTACATTACATGCATATTGAAAGGCAAAGCCTAATTCGTAAGTGAGAAGAATTAATATTTAGTAAAAATACCACCCATTATACACACATTTTGACCCAATATCAAATTAAAATCACAGTGTTAAAATGGTTTATGTTGATTGGTTTATTAACAAAATAGATGATCTGATAAGCTTGTTACAAACAAGTAACAGCAGAAATCAACTTACTGACCAATAACCTGAAATACTGATTTATACTTTGTCCGCTTGCTATCAGGATAGATTTGTGTTTGTTTACTGAGTTGCGCAACAATAAGATTGTTTGTAATCAAGTGAATAATGGCTTATACTTCAGCTCATCCAACTCATCTTACTTCGATTGTAACCACAACATTATCAGGAACAATTCATTTCGTACTAAAACTATGTACAGAATACACCTAGTATTGCTTGTTTGAATCTTCCAACTGGTGCTTAGGACTGCAAATGGTTTGAGATGCAGGTACATCCAATTGACGAGTCCCAAATAGGACGAAACGCGCGTCTTACTGAACTCCACTGCTGGCCACTATCCATCTTTGCTTATATGTACTGAATATATATATATATAAATATATATATATATATATATATATATATATATATTATTATTATTATTATTATTATTATTATTATTATTATTATTAGATAAAAGATATTAAAGTTATAGACTTGCTATTCATAAACTTACTTGTCCAGAACAACTAACCAAGATATCATTTGATTGAGATGGTCTCTCAATAGACGGCATCCATCCAAACACCTAAAATAATTTTGAAAATATATAATTTAAATGTATAAAAATTAAATCTATTCCATGAAATACAATTACAGTCATGCATATGACTAATAATTATATATGGTAGATGTATTCTATAGAACTGCATGTGATTATTAACTACGCATTGATATTAATTATCATTTGGAAATTGTTCTGTTCATTACAGTAGTAGTATTGATAGTGTTTAATTGATATCAAGTATAAAATGACAAGGTACTGTCAAAGAATTGTATGAATAGTTTATTATCATTAAAAGAAAACAATAAGAAAGTATATTCAATTATCAATTTATACAAAGATCATGGTGATGATTATTTCAATACTTCTATATCAAACAATCTCTGACGAAGATAAATCAATACTATTCTCGAATGTTCCTTTATTAACGTGCTCAAAAAGTATTGATAATTATAAGGAAGAAACTTTTCACTTGTAATTCCTAATAAACATGTGTAAATTACGTAGAATAAATAAAAAAAAACATTATTTGAAGTCAGTCAGTCAAACATTAGTAATTAAAGACCCACTACATATATGCATCAGTCCAAGTTACTCTACCATATTAACACAAATGTAATTATCAGAAGGGGTTTTGTGGAGATTACAGTATTTTCATAGTTGAAATCATGAGTCAATGGAAGATAGACCACCATCGAAAACCTGAAAACACTGGACGGCCGTTTCGTCCTATTATAGGACTCCTCAGCAGTGCGCATCCACGATCCCGCACTCGCGAGATTCGAACCCAGGACTTACCGGTCTCGTGCCCGAGCACTTAACCGATAGACCACTGAGCCGGCATCCAACAGTGTTAATGTCTAACTTCAACCAATCCACGAAGTTGAGCAACAATTCACCAGGACGAAACTGTTGTCCTTCTAGGTTTTCCATGGTGGTCTAGCTTCAATTGTTTCACGTTTTCAACAAATATAATTATCGAGAAAAATGCCAGATAACTAGAAGTAGTAACATTGTCAATAATCCACTTCTTCAGAGTAAATAAATGAAGTGGATTACATTAAGTTATGGAACATCAGAAAGACAATTTTTATAATCATTGGGATATAAGAAAGAGTATATTTAATATTAACTTTCTTCCTAATGCTCAATTTATTTGAAACTATCAAGTTCAACCTTGACATTGATACTTATGAATTTCCATATACGTTTTAAATTAATAAAAGAATCGACAACTATATCATCTAGTATTACTTCATTAAATATTCAATACAAGAATTGATAGTCACACTTTATTAATTATAAGTAATAGCGTACTAAAAAAATACGTCAACCAATGACAGTCTATGATTTCCGAGTGGGAAATGTAAGCTGTAAGTCAACTAAGTGTCTCTTGACGCGAAAACATGAAATTCGAATTTTCAGAATAAAATTAGAAAATTAGGAACTTTTCCATGTGAGTTCTGATGATCTGACATCCTCAACATATTCAGCAGTAATTTTTTAACAGATGTTACGATTCATTTTGATGCGTTGATGTTATCTGTGATGAATGGTCACGAATACCTATTTTTTTTATAAAATTGGGTTATGCTTTCTGCGAATTCCTAAAAAAGCGCTAGGGATTTCTGACTTCTGGAGTTGGGTCAAATTTAGGATGAGACAGATAACACAAATAACAACTGGATGATAATCTTACTCCATAAAAACTAACTAAATATGTGAAATACAAACCCATTTTTCAAAGTTGAAATCATGAGTCAATTGAAGCTAGACCACCATGAATGACTTGAAGATACATGTCCTGGAGTCCTAGTGGGAAGCAGTGACCAGTGGAGTTCAACCGGGTCTGTTTTGAGATAGTAACTCACTGAAGACATTAGTGGATGTGTCGCTCAATTTCTTGGATTGGTTGAAGTTAGACATTAACACTGTTGGATGCCGGCTCAGTGGTCTATCGGTTAAGGGCTTCGCCTCGAGACTGGTAGGTCCTGGGTTCGAATCTCGCGAGTGCGGGATCGTGGATGCGCACTGCTGAGGAGTCCTATAATAGGACGAAACGGCCGTCCAGTGTTTTCAGGTTTTCGATGGTGGTCTATCTTCCATTGACTCATGATTCCAACTATGAAAATACTGTAATCTCCACAAAACTCCTTCTGATTATAAACCCATTTGATATCAGCTCAGTACTATGTAATGAAAATGCGTTTGCCAAGGCACATGAAGGTGCTGTGGTTTGACCACTGGTGTGATTGTGAGTACATTAAGACATGGAATCACATGCACACATTGATAGTTTAAAAGATAACATAGAAAAAATATGATTCAGAAAGAAAGAATGAATTCACAAAATAGTAAAGAATAATATGATTTTAAAACTTACAATCTTAAAGAAGTCAAAACGTGAATACATTTGACACTTTGTGACATTAGATCAAGGGACTATTGTTTTTAAACTACTTTTTATATCAACAAAATTAATCTTGCCGACTAAACTGAACAATGTGATCACACTTTGGCGGTTTACATAAACATATACAAAATACAAATGAAATTACAATTTTTTTTTAAAATAACACTTTTGACGTTATTCCAGTTGACAAGACAAAAAAGGTTTAAATCAATCAATAAATGATGGTAGCAGTTGAATAGAGCTCTTTGTTCTATGAAGAATTCTTCGTTGTTGTTGCCAATTTGTATTATCACACACACACACACATGTGTAGATAAACTTTGTGGATTTGATTCAATGGAAAAATTGAATAATCATTACTAAAAATAGTAATTATAATAATTTATACATTTAAAAAAATGATTTTTTCATAAAAATGTAGGGTGATAATAAAGTGAAATCACTTAATTTCATAAATTTAATCGTTTTTAAAAAAAATCTGAATTCTGGAGATTAAAATCAGAAGGGGGTTTTGTGAAGATCTAAGTATTTTTATAGTTGAAATCATGAGTCATTTGAAGCTAGACCACCAAGAAAAACCTGGAAGCACTGTACGGCCGTTTCGTCCTATTGTTGGACTTCTCAGCAGTGCGCATCCATGTTTTCCATGATGGTCTAGCTTCAATTGACCCATGATTCGAATTTTAAATACCATACTGTCAATTAATAATTGAGTTAACAAAAGTTTTAATTTAAGAAGATGTAATTAACTTATTCAACACATAATACAATTAAAGTCAGGTTGTATTCAGTGAAATTTCAAACAATTCGAGTTATAATTAAACCAGCAAGTTGTTTAAAATCTAACGAAAAAATATATATAACAGGAAAATAACAAATATCCATTCCCATCATATCTCATGAGTTCTAAACAGTATAAACCTAAACACTTCTTTGAGCAAGAAAACTTTACCCTTACTGATTCTTAGTCCATTAACTGGATAACCAATATCGAATATAATGTCAGCGCAAGTTTCAGTTTGAAGTTAATGTGTCAACTGACTTGAATATTTCTGTTAGACTATTAACAGTGAATTATCTAGTAAATGTATTTGTCGCACCTAAAGAATGAGTATCCTGCTCTGCAGTTCGTTATGTTCTACAGTGGGGTTGTAAACCGTGGCCTCCAAAAATTTAAGATATTCATAGATTACTAGTATATGATCATAGATGACTTCGAATGATTGTTTCCATATATTGGAATTAATGAGTGAGCAATCTTGTAGTTACGTACAAAGCACTAGGTAAAGGTAGCAAAATGATTGATAAGATTGTTGATTATATCAACTTAGGTGGTTGATGTATATGTTACGTCTACCCAGCTACCACCCGTCTCAGAGTGGGGTATTTTCTGAAAGGTAAGCTGGATGAGTGCTAGGGACAGTTGAACCAAGACGTGGGACCCGTCTATGAAGTTACTAACTGTTGAACTAAATCGTTTCGGCAGGTGAAGACTATCCGGTTAAAGTCTACTGGATTATCAAGACCAATGGTTGAAGAGACTAAGTGAGCTGAATCAAAAACAGTCACAATGGAGCAGTTGCATTCACCATTTATGTTCCTTCACATTTCAAATTTTAAAATTATCTTACACACTTTTATTCCCGAAAATTTACTCTGTCTCCGTGAATCATATTACTTATATCTGATGTCTTTTACTAATATTGATAATGTTACCACCTTTATTACTCTGTAATTTGTTCTGATAATTTAGTCTCTTTATGCTAATGTAGGGTGTCAACTTTAACGGATTCGTATGCATGCCAGGTTGTACGTATTTTACGACTAACTGGATTCGTTAAATATAAATACTTTTGAATGTTCTCAAAATTTACATAACATATAGTTTATTTTAGATCGATCTACAGTAAACTCTTTACCAGCTAGATATTTAAAAGTTGTTCGATATTTATTTTATTGGTAAAGAAAACTAAAGAGAGAGAGAGAGGGAAAAAATCATTACAGATTAAATGGAGAAAAGCAAGTCCTTGTGAAGATTTTAGTTTTAGTCTTGAAAGGAAAAATTTATTTCATTTGGCTAATGATTATTTTGTAATCAGAAGAGGTTTTGTAGAGATTTCAGTATTTTCATAGTTGAAAGCATGAGTCAATAGAAGCTAGACGGTCAAGGAAAACCTGGAAGCACTGGAAAGCCTTTTCGTCTTATTGTGGCACTCCTCAGCAGTTCCTATGTAGGTTTTCCATGGTGGTCTAGCTTCAGTTGGCCAATGATTAGTTGCTTGTTTGTTTGTAATTTATAATCTATATAGTTAATACACAAACTTGGTTACTCAATTTTTTTAGTAAAACTTCGAAAAAATATCTTATTAAAATCCTGAAACTGTGAAGACTGTTTATGGTAATAACCAGTTGAATAAAATAGCTCATATTGTGTAGATCTAGCGTTTCAGTGAGTATCGTTGAGATTGTAAAGACGTTATAAGACCAAGGTAGCTCTTGATCACCTGTGTTAATAAAAAAGTTAAACTTATGGGATCTCTTGTGTTGCCTGACGTTCAACGTCTTTTCCAGGTTATTACTAGGAAATTGAATTCAGGAAAATCATCTGAGC